TGAAGGGTTTAGGTCTAAAAGGCAAAGGGAAAAGTGCTCAAGAGACAGTTATTAATGTCCAGGGAGAATTATGACATGATAAATCAAGAATAGCAAATGAGTTCAATAATTATTTTACAACTGTGGCTGACAAGTTAGCGTGTAAATTACCAGTAAACACGAACAAATTCCATGCCGACAGTGAAAGATTTCAAAAGTTTTATGACGAGAAAGACATCTCAAAAGATAGTTTTCACTTTTCTCCAGTTACAGAAAAGTTTGTTTTAGATGAGTTAAACAAGTTGAAAGTATCGAAAAGTACTGGACTAGATATGATACCAGCCAGATTTTTAAAAGATGGGGCGAGAAATTTGTATGAACCTTTGAATTATATAATCAATTTATCTCTTGTCTTCTACCTTTCCTGACGACATGAAAATTGCAAAAGTAACACCGCTACATAAAAAGAAAGACAAGACTGACGTTGGTAATTATAGGCCTATCAGTGTTTTAAGCGTAGTTTCAAAAATTTTGGAAAAATCGGTTCATGCTCAAATAGAGAAATATTTTCAAGAAAAAAAGTTAATATATGAATTTCAGTCCGGCTTTCGTAACGGATATTCCACTGAAACATGTTTAATACATTTATCGGATTTTGTTAGGAATGAAGTTTCTCAAGGGCGCTTTGTTGGAATGGTTCTTCTGGACTTACAAAAAGCCTTTGATACTGTAAATCATAACATACTGTTAAAGAAATTGGAAGTGATGGGTTTGGATTCGGCATGTGTTAAATAGTTTAGATCATATTTAACTAATCGTCATCAAGTGGTAACTATGCAGAAGGTAATATCTGATTCCCAGCCTATTAAATGCGGGGTTCCACAAGGGAGCATTTTAGGCCCCATTCTCTTTATGTGTTATATTAATGATATGTGTACTTGTGTTAATGATTCTAAATTACTTTTATATGCTGACGATAGTGTGTTACTATATTCAGATACAAATCCTAAGTCAATTGAAGAAAAACTAAGTGCAGAATTGGCAAAATGCATCGAATGGATGACAGACAACAAGCTTAGTTTACATGTTGGAAAAACAGAAAGTATTTTATTTTGTTCGAAGGGAAATTTTAAATATACACGTGACTTCAAGGTTACCTATAATAATCAAGTGATTGAGAGTAAAGATTCAGTAAAATATTTAGGAATAAATTTAACTAGTGATCTGTCATGGACAGGTTTGGTAGATTCAATTGCCAAAAAGGCTAATTCTCGCTTAAAATTTTTGTATAGATACCAAACTTGTATGAACATGAAGTCGAGACGTATTTTGTGTTTTGCTTTGATACAATGTTTATTTGATTATGCTAATGCTGCTTGGTACAGTAGTCTGGGCAAGATGGATAAGAACAAGTTAAGAATAATTCAGAATAAGATGGTAAGATTTATTAATTGCTTAGGCCCAAGAACACACGTCGGGAAAATGACTGACTTGAAGAAGCAGGTATACTCTATGTAGGTCAAAGGTCTAAACAACTCGCGTTACACCATGTCCATAAAATATACTACTCAGATGTAGATCATTATATTACTAATAATTTTACTCGTGTCTCAAATATCCATGGATACGATACAAGAAATAGTCATTTTAATTTTGTTTTACCCAAGCGAAAAGGACAAATTGGAAACTCTTTTTATTTTAATGGTATCCAATTTTGGAATTCTCTCCCAAAACATGTCAAAATAGTTAAGAATTTTTCACACTTTAAAAGTGTATTAAAACAATACCTAAAGCATGAATCCCTTCAAGAACAGTAATATCAGTTATCTTAAATCACAGTTCATTATGTGTAGCGCATGTTTTTAAGTTTAATCTTGCATAATATACCGTAGATCATTGTTTGCTATAAGTTCTAGAAATTTTTGTTGTTGATTATGTTATATTATTTATTCGTAATATTCGTAGTAGTTATTAGTTGTGATATTTTATTCTCATGCCGTACTGTACACGTACTTTATAGGACCCCGTTGGAAATTAGCCTTTTCCGGCTTTCATGGGTTATCCTGTCAATGTATCTTCTCGTTTCATTTTGCTTTATGTATGCATTCATTGTACTATACTTGACGAATAAAATCGATCAATCAATCAATCAAAACTGTAGTCTCGTAATATCAGCTAGATGGAACTAGGCCTAAAGTCATGAGCAAAACTCACTTACATGTATCATACTCTTTTTCAGCTTCTATTTACAGTAGTGATATAGATTTCTCAAAGGTCTTGGTAAATCGTTCCAAAGCTTAGGACCGGTAAAACAGATAGTGTGTTTTAAAAAATAAAAAAAGAGACATACACTTCAGTGGTTGCGAATTCATACATGCAATTTATTGTAATGGTACCATACTTATGTAACAAACGTCTGATACAAGTTAAAAAGATGTATAACTGAAAGATAGTTCAATCAATATAATTTTTCTTTATCATGTTTATTATCCATACATAATCCATAGGAATTAGTTTGATTTACATGCATAATACAAAACAAGATGATAATACAATTGAGAATTTAGACAACAAAGTGCACAGACTGTTTCAGTTTGTTTTTATCTTGTTTACGTAATCTAGGAGATCTGAAAAAGTGAATCACTGTTACACCGTAAATATGAACTTATACGTAGAATCTTCTTTTGAAGAGTTCATAGCTTAGACTACTTTGATATGTGTATTTGCCCACACCAAATTCCAAGAAGAGAGATATGCATGGGGAAATTAACAACAAATACAAGATTCGTAATTATTTTTTTTGGTCGGTCGAAAATTTGTCAGGCGGAGGGGGGACAAACCGATCCCCCTGCCCCTTCAAATCTTTTAGACTAGTGCCTCTATCTAAAACATTGCACCTTTGGCAATCAGGATTTCACGTCCGATTATAATAATTCGAAGTCTGCAAATTATAAAGAAAATAACAAATACATTTGCATAAGAATAAACAAAGGGTCTAACAGTTGTAATGTAATTTACAATGACGTTCCTTTACAACCCTTAATGAAACCAACAAAGTATGATATTAATTAATGGATAGATGAAGTATGTAATGGGGAGGGTCCAATCACACAATTATCATACAATTTTAGAATATTAATGCTGATTAACTGAACTACAGTGTGTTCATAATATATTCAAATAGCATAATATAATGTAACATATTTCATTTCAAAAGATCAGCACAGTTATAACGAATTTTACTTTTTTTTGCAAAAAACACTGCTTAACAAATCAAAGAGGAAACAACATGCATCCTTTCGATGTGTTGTACATGTATATTTTTAGCAAGATTATATGCATGCCCTCCTTGCCAATACTCGAATTATACCTCGTGTTTGCTCTAGCTATACTAAATTAACATGAAAATGATAAAATTACCGGCATTGTAGGGAAGAGAGGCATGAACAGATTTATTCATTCTTCAAAAACATCGAGAAAATAAAATCATAATATTCCAACCAAACAGAAAACTGTGGTTGAATATAATGTATTTATTTTGTATCTATATCATTTGTTATGGGCACATACAGATTGAACCATAAGGTGGAGCACTAACGTGACTAAGTTAGGCGACAATCTTGCTGGAATTTTTTTTCCAAAAATATAATTAACTCGACACACATGTGGGTATATTGGTCAGATTAACCATCAATTATGTCAAAAGTTAAAAGTTGAAAACTAAGTTGAAAGTTTTCAATATGATATTTTTTTCCACACAGGTATTCAAGAGCTTGAAATCTCACATATAATTCTCCACCGTCAATATATATAGATTCTCGCTCGAAAGTAAATAAGATTGATTGTTGGAAAGAATATTAATTGAAATTGAAGACGAACATAAAATCAGCATACGTATTATCCATTCGTTTGTTTCCTATGGCACATTGCATTTCAGCTAAATGTTTGGCAAAATAGCACGACATAACATTTGCATATAAATTACAACATATAAATGTTTAAAAAGTAATGCGTGCTTGTTATAGCAGTCTTTCAATTATAACTATTTTTTTTGTTAGCACATAACGGTATTGAACGGTCAAACTTCTTTCTTGTTATTATATCCAAAATTAATATGTACTTATACATTAAGTATAACATTTTGATACTCAAAATCAAAAATGTTCGTTTAAAATTTCAGTGATACATTTAAGTACATTTAGGTTATCAGCCAGTTGTTATGTTTTTTAAGTTTTGGAAGCAGAAGTTTATAAGATCAATTTTCGCGATTTGCCGACAAGGCTGGAAATATTTCCAAATTTGCCGACATAAAATTCTGGATGTGGTATTAGACCTCATCACTACTGATAATAATAATAGTTCAGTCTTGTATGTGGCTCATGTCTGGCACTGTGCCTTATCTGGCGCTCCATTATTATTAGTATTACCCTGGCTTTAGCATGCCTGTCATTGCAGCTCTTTAAGAAATGTGTTCCTGTCAGGTGACGTACCCATTTACCTCACATAGGTGGAGTATGGCAACTGTAAATTAATGTCTTGCCAAAGGACAGGGATTCGAACCCCTCACCTTGTGGTAACATTCTGTAGACCTATCCACTGGACCACAATACACCTCTATAACACCTCGATCGTCCCCTGCAGTGACGGCCTTGACTGAGAGAGTATTATAACAGTACAGTGGCATTAGCATGGTTCCCTCCATTCAAACGGGGGTGCTAATCTCATAGGGGTAGCCCGATGTATGAAGTGCATAGGCTGGGCATTGTGGTGGTGTTAGAAGGGGTTGTTCAAGTTCAAGTTCAAGTTGGTTTATTTATTTCATTTCCATAAAAAACACAGCAAATGCAAATAAACATACAAGTATATATACATACAAGGAATGGTCAGTTATTACAATAGTTTACTTCTGCTTCTAGCAATACTTTCCATTCTCCCCTTTTCCCTTTCTCTGTCTATTTATTTATCTACCTAAAGTATATAAATATATATATATATATATATATATATATATATATATATATATATATCTTTTATTATTTTGTTTGCCAATCGATTGGGGGAGCCATGCCCCCTTGTACTATGTAGCTAAGCCAGCAGTTCAGAATATCATACAAATGTACTAATGCTCCAAGGGGAATAAGGTGGCGGTTGTTCACTGGTCCTAGAAGAGATCGGCGACGTCTGTTCATCGCTAGGTATCATCGACGTCCTATGAGGGGTTGATGGTGGGACATGGTCATAATCGTAATTGTCATCCGATGATCTTGAATGGTGTGATGCATGATCAATATATGGTGGTGGACAAGCATTATTGTCAGTAGAGTAAGAGGATGGGGTGATTATCCCACGCTGTTCGGTATTTGAACTGTGCATGTCTGGAATGGACCTGCTTCTCCGTGAGTTACTTTGCTCAATCTCATTATCTTGAATAAATGGATGATGGACACTGGATGCACTGTAAGGCGGAGGTGATATCATTAATCCAGAGGATAAAGTACTGCTTGCATCTGCCGAGGAGAGACTATAAGGAGGCGGTGAAGATATATGTCTATTTGATGGAAAGAGCAGTATTTGCTGATTGTCAAAGTTTACATTTAAAGAAATATTTGTCACATGAATAGGAGTCTCTTCGTTGTACGAAGAACGATGCTCGTTCAGTTGAACAGTCAGTGGGTATTCAGGGGGAGGATCATTCGGTGTTAAGTTGCTATGGTGACTGTCCTGATCAACTTGAGTTGAGTTCCGTGACTCGTCATGAAAAGAAACTGGGTTCCTCATATTTTCAGCTACATGTCTTATTCTGGACCATAGAGAACATGTTAATTTGTTCCCGCGTTTAATGCGTATGATGATGGCAACAAGCACGATGAGCATCACAAGACCAGCAAAGGAGAGAAACCCAATGAGTACTGATGATATTCCTGTCGATCGAGACTCAGTTTGGCCTATACATAAAGAAGAAAAATTACAAATTATCCAATGATGAGAGAAATAAAAACAATGTGGTATTTATAACTGAACTAATTCATTATTAATCTTTTAATGAAAACAAATGTGTTGTTCTGAAAATGGTTTTTCGAATTATAGTATATGTTTAATTGCAAATTGTAAACTTGACAAACTTTCAAATTCCTTTTGCTCTCCTATTCTCTAACTGATGTACAAGATTGGAAATTATGTGAGGAGTCATAGTGATCAATAATGGGTTCCATCATCATTTGGAGTGGATTCCACTCCAAAACGAAAATATCCCCCACATGCATGGCTCATAGAGATTGAATTACCTAAGAGTGTAGACTCTGAGGATGTACTTCAAATGTGACTCACCGCATATTACACCAGCATCATCAAAATGTAAGCAAAACCTGGGATACCAGTCACTAGACAGACATGATGAAAGACTGGACTCTGTTCCGAAGCATCTTATATTCTCCAGTACAATTCTTCCACTACCTCGTCCAAAGTACGCATCAGAGACAGCTGTCGCATGATCAGTTGGGAATCCTACTTGGCGACAGACAACAGCAGCATCATCATCATCCCATCTTGAATCACAGATTGTACCCCATTCATTATCATGATAGATCTCTACACGACCTTCATTACGTGATGAGCCATCCACTAGACGCACATCTCCCTCCTTTGAGACTGCAATGAAGAATAATGGTAATCAGCATAATTTAAAACTTGAACAACCAACATTTTGTAATAATTATTGTGAGAGTGATGGAAATATTCACCTCATTTACTCAGCATAAGTCATTACCAGCTTGATCGTAGTTGTCAGGTAATGAAATCCCAAGAGCCCCCTATAAAACAGAGCCCATTGTTGTACGTGTCACTTCAACTCCATCTACCAAAATGCTTTAGATGTAAGAAAATGCTATTTCTTTTTTAGCATCTAACTAAAAATAGTTTATTCGTTGTAATTCAATTCTAATTTTACATGTAGTAACTTTGATAATTATAATTTTCTTGAATGGCAAATTTGGGGACAAATCATCTTATTGCTGTTTTTTAGATTTTAAAGTTTGTGTTGCTATTTCAAAAGTTACAAACAAAATTGTTATGGTTATATAACACACACATTCGCTATCTCCACTTATTTAATAATAATAATAATACACAACATTTATTAGACGCTTAATACGGGTGTTTCTAAGCGCACCGGCCATTGTCTTACTAAAATTTAATAACCAAAACTTGTAATAAACACACAAAATATAAATCTGTTCTTTATTCAATAAATCATGCATATATAATAATAATATACCTTTTGTCCGTTTCACTAATACATGAGTGGGTACATTTTAGCTTGGAAGTCACAGAGTGTACATACCTAGCCAGCTCGTCAAGCAGGGCCAGGGGAAGATCGATGTTTAATGTGTGTCTTCGCATGAACTGAATAGCATGCATACTTTTTAGTTATTGTGGTCAGCTCGGATCAATCGTAATATATAGGACAGGGCACAAGTTAGTTTTTGTATGCCTGTTTGGAACACGACTAATTAGCGAAATAAAAGATCAAAATTTAACTTACCACAATCAACTCCCGCATCTTCAGTATGTTTACAATTGCTTGGCATGGACGAACTTGGACAACTTTTTAAGCTCTCTTCATTGCCGTAACATTTGACATTATCAAGTGAAATATATCCACTGCCCATACCGTAGTATGCTGAATATCTTGCAATAGCACCATCTGTGCTGTAGCCAAGCTGACGACAAACAACCATGGCATCTACATTGTCCCAATAATCATCACATACAGATGTCCACCCTAAGCCATCGTAGACCTCCACTCGACCCCGGGATGATTGACCACCATTCATCAACCTAACATCACCATCTCGCTCTGTGTTGGATGAAAATTATAAACAAAAAAAAATCATAAAAATTAAACATCTCACACACAGTTATGTTTACCATCCTATTAAGCCATCGTAGACCCCCGGTCGGGCCCCCGGTCTACTCGACCTCGAGATGAATGGCCACCGTTTATCAACTCACCCTCTCGCTCTGCTGGTGTTTGATGAAAATTACAAACATACATTTTAATAAAAACAGAATATCTCCCTGAAAATCCTACCCCCCCCCCCCCCCCACACACACACACCCTTGTTCATGTACGGCTACCATCAGAGTATTAAGTCCACTCCAAAAATAACTTGCATTTTAAATTAATAGATGCAGAAAAACAAGAGAAATATAGCAAAACTAATTTGAGTAAAATCTGATAGGCCTAACTAATGTGGAAGTTATGAATTTTTTTAAAGGGTATGAAAAACTATGGAACAATGGAAATCACTACACAAATTGCCAATGTGGTTATCAGTTTGTGACGTCACGTCCTAACTATTTATCAATTGCTTTATATATTTTAATCCCATTAATTTCCCTTTTTATCCCCCAAAACTTGATTTCCCCATGCCTTTGCCCAAGTTAAATGATTTGCATGATATTGCGTGCATAACATTTTACAAAATCAGTTATGCACTTTGAAAAATTGATACTCATTTTCTGGATATTGTATATTCATAATTATTGATTTTCATATAAATAGTTCATCAACTTTCACATTGTTCAAGATTTAACTGAAAAAAAAATTACTCTATACTTATGCACCCACACAAAGACATATTACTATCAATAAAACTTGCTGGTGTGAAGAAATAATATTATTGGGGGAAATGGGAAATTTGTATTATCAATATAAAAGAAAACAATTAGTGGATAGTGAGGCAATGATGTCACAGACTCATGAGTGAGTTGCCAATATGTCTCGTGATTTTCAAAGTTGTTCATGTCATTAGGAATTCATAACTTTCTTATTAGTTATCCGATTTTGCTCAAACCTCTTTTGATTGGTTTGTCTGATTGTTTTGCTTTTATTGAAAGTAAGTTATTTTCGGAGTGGACTTGCCCTTTAATGTATACTAGCCTACCAACATAATGAAAATAAACAGTTGCCATTTCATAATTGCCATCGACCAGCTTTTGATACCAACTTTAATCGGGGAATATCATATTATGAATAAAATCCTAAAATTCTCTTTTGGTATAGCATGCACACATTTCCTATAATATAATCGAATCCCTTAAACAGGGAGAGTGATGTAGCCCACGAGAGCAACAGCCTCAGCAGCTACAATACCACAGCTCACGAGCCTGACAAAACAAAGAAATATAATGTTCATGTTAGTAGAAAAGAATAAAAGATAGATTAATATCGGTCTCGATCGTGGGCTGTAGATCTCATGGGCTGCATCCGTTTCAATAGGGACTTTTAGATTTGCACGTCGACAGCTTTGACTGCAACGTGTGACGTCATTTTTAGGCACTGCGCATGCGTCACGTCGTCTCAGTCGGCGATCGAGAATGCGTCAACCTTGATTTTCCTAAATCTAGTACGGTACTAGTATATGCCGCGTGCGCATGAAATATACAGTTCCTCAGGTAGACAAAGGAACATCCCTTCCCTGCTATTATGTAAAAATGTGTAGAACAGGTGTCACATGCATATTCACTTGTTCTACACATTTTTACATAATAGCAGTGAAGGGATATTCTACCACAGCAATAGGCCATCTTCGTAATGTAACCAAATTTAATGCATAAAGTCTTTGTGAAGTGCCTCAATACAAATTATTTCATTCACCGGGTAAGAATAATAGTATTTCAATAGACATAATCCAAACTGCATACATTAGTAGTTGCCAGGTTGGACAAACATTATGGCCCGAATTCACAAAGCAAGGTTTGAGCTCAAACCTCCTTTTGTTTCGCCAAACCTCCTTTTGTTCTTTACAAACCAGGTTTGTAAAAAAATCGCTTAAAACGCGTCATATGACGTACGAAAACCAAGGTTTGTCAACAAACCTCCTTTGTGAATTCGGGCCCATGGCTTGACCTAGCAACACTTGATATATGCAGTTTGCATTCCGACTATTGAATTACTATTATTCTTATCAGGTGAATGAAATAATTTGTATTGAGGCACTACACAAAGACTTGTGCATTAAATTTGGTTACATTACGAAAATGGTCTATTGTCCGTCATGTTCATAGTGTTACTTCCTGCATGCATGTATATCATCTAGTGCAAAGTAACATAATAATTGTAGTCAACATGGGCAGTTGAGTTGACACGCATGATCAGTTGGCGTTCGTCGTGTTCTCGTCCACTCAATCTAAAAGTCCCTAATACCGTTTCATTCGCTTTTTATTCTTGCACATTAATTTAAATTGAAATGATTTTGCCATCAAGTAATTACGTTTGATTTTGTTTACGTTTTACTTGTTCACAGACATGCTGAAGAATTACATGCTGCACAGGCTAAATGTTTTGAGCCTACATACCGTGTTTTAGGTTGAATTAAAATGAAAGGCCCTACGAGAGCAGCTACTATTAAAGTACTAGTATGATGTACGTGATTATCAAATTTTTGTAAGGATTAGCTAAAAGATCGAGTCATACTCACGAGTTTGAATACATCGAGGCCATAAAGTAAAGAACAAAATGCACCAAATGGTACTTCTTGACGGCTTCGCCATGTTTGGTTATAATTATTTTCCAGCTGAGCGATCGAGGCTTTTGTTGTTCAAGCGAGCTACCTGACGGCTCCTGGCACGATTTTTGAATAGAAATGTTTGTGTATCTATTTCAAATAGGTGCACGATCGAGAAAAGATCCAAACTTATAGTCTAGATTATATAGTCCTTATTTTGTAACAAGCATTTACTTTCCCAATCGATATTAATTCATCCCGCATATCTGCCTACATTCAAGTAAAGAAACATATTTTCAGACATTTTTATTCACATCGATGTCCTAACCCGAAAAAATCCAGATCATTAAATAGGGAAATTTTTTCTTCTCCGAAATAGTCTCATTTCAAATGAAATATAACCATTATAACTACTATCATTATTGCTATTAATATTATTATTATCATCATCATCATCATCATCATCATCATCATCTTCATCATCATCTTTTTCTTCCTAATCATTAGTTACAATTAAGTAGCAAAAAGTATAATCTTGACATTAGTATAGCAGGTAATGAAGGCTGTAATGAGCTGTTTTACCCAGACTAGACTACTCCATTCCTTTATGTAAACATCGTGCGAAGGAAAAAAAATGAAACCAGATAACAAAGGATTATTGTGACTGAACTACATATAAATATGATCGCTGTATAAAGATTCTTCTGTGCTTTTCATCAAGGGAATTTAGTGAAATAGTGTGCTATGCGCTTTTACCGTTTATAACAATTGCAGATCGACATATTTACATGACTTGTGTACAACATATGCCCTTCTTATATACCATCACCCTAGACAGTGTCTCAATTATTCTTTATTTTAAGGAGATGGCATTAATTTTGCACTCATTATTAAGAAGAAAACATGAAAACGAACTCCTTGTTGGGTTTTTAATGTGTGATCCTAACGTTTGCACAGTTTTACATTAATCTGGCACAAATTGAGTTTCACATACAATTTTCAAGACAATGTTGCTCAGTGAAGTGTGTAGGGATTAATGTAGTCAGTGTATCATGTAAGCATCTTCTACTTTTTTTTAATTAAGAATTATATCGATACTGCCCTTATTATTTTCTAACCGTGTGAGATCGGGTTCATTTTTTGTTCTGGGATACATACACTACACATACATGGATAAATGTTAATTTTTGAAAAGATTTTTAATAATAAAAATATTAATAATATCGAATATTTAGGAGCGCTAAAAACAGTACCATAGCGCTTACAAAATGAAAAGAGGACAAAAATGTACAGTACAGGAAGAATATCGCGTAGATCATATAAAGGGCAATCAATGCAAGCCAGCCTTCATCTCATTCGAATGAAAACAGAAAACAAAGATAAACCGAAAGGCGAAACTTTGAAATAAATCAGACCAATAATAAAAAGCAATGATAAGAAATGTTTTCATTAAATATGATATCCCTACAGCTATGCGAATCTCGAATCGGCAATTTTGTAAGTGAACGGATTAAACGTGACGCCATAATTGCGGATAGTATACAGTGCGTCCCAGAAAACACGAAACCGAGAATTATCGATGTTTTATCATAACTTAATCACAATTTTAATTAATAAATGCCACATATTTGTAAAGCTTAGATCCTCTTCTTTCATTTGATGTAACTCATATGATGCATATTTCACGCATGAGTGATTAAAAGCAATTTGAAGAGAGGAATCCAAAAAGGCATTTGGCGGGCGGTATCTGAATTTCAAGGAGAAAATCACATTTCTAGAAAGTTCAATTTCTGCACTTTCGTATGATCAGCCATGCATTAAGCCTTTCGTACCTCAATAAGGAAAAATGAACCAGGAATAACAAAGTTCTGTTTGTTTAAAGTAATGCTTGCATTTCCATAATTTGATTTGAAGAGTTCGTTTTCACTGGCTGCCTGCCGTAGCAACAAACAGAGTTGACAAAAAAAAGAGACTTAACTCCGTTTCGTTGACGATCAGCCATGCATTAAGTCTTTCGTCTTCTTTGAGCATGGCTGATCGTGGGGAGGGGGGGGGGGGGGTAAGGAGCACTAGTTTTTTTTCTTCTCCCCAATTCGTGAGAAAATTTAGGGCCGAAACAGCCAGTCGGCGAATAAGCGGAAAGGGGGGGGGGGAGGGGGTAAGAGCACTATTTTTTGTGTGGTTCAACACACATCTCCCCCCTTAAGCCAGGGAGAGGGGGCCCGTCTTCATTTTTTCTTCAAAAGAGCTTAAATTTACCTGTTTTTGGAGTCCCCCCCCCCCCCTTTAGATCCGCCATTGGGAAAAATTAGCCACCGGCCCCAGATTTATAGGGTTAAATTTGTAGACGTTGGCACATTGGCATTCATGTATTCGTCGGTAATTAACCCTACCCCCCCCCCCCCAGAAGTGGCATTTATGAGAAGGGGGAGTGGCTCTGATCAAGAAAAGGTTCATTTATCATAAGGGAAAAAAGGGCAATAGTGAGAAGAAAAAGGGCGCGTGTCAAAGTAAAAAGGGGCACTTAGCAGATGTGAGAATTGGCACTTGTAACAAAAGAAAAGGGCACTTGTTAAAATCAAATGAGCACCTCTCAGATTTGAATAGGGGCAATTATCATAAGTAGAGGGGCACTTAAATACCAGAGGTGATAAGAGGCACTTATACGAATCTGGAACGGACAACTATATAGAAATAAAAATGGGCACTTATCTGAAGTAAAAGGGGGCACTTTTCCTTTTTAAAAAGGTGCACTTTAGGGGTACCTGAAAAAGTGAGGGCACTATATGCCCCCACAAAAAGCGGTAAGTATTTGCGTCCGATTTTATGAATCCACTACTACTGCCAGCCGAATTCTGAAGCCTTTCAAAGATTTCAAAGATTTCAAATTTATTCATGTTTCCAACAAAACAGTACAAATCAATTATAAGCATTTAAAACAAATTTAAGAAATACATGTTTGACGATACCTCCGTGTACGTGTCTATACTTCTCGCATTTGAGGGGGGGGGGGGGGGGTGCTTTCAAAGGGAGGGAACATGCATACGCGTATACCCTAAAAAAGGTGTCGTATACCCTTTGCGACCGACCCAAAATCTTGAAATCTACGGTCGGGTTTTTATAAAGGTTTTTTTTTTTACCGTTTTTTGGAAGAAAAAAAGTTTAATGAATAAAAAAAAAATGTATTAAACCCCCACTGTACTACTTGTAGCTATTTGCTCCCTCTAAATAATAAACAACGCCTAAGAAGTGCCTGTTGGTTCCCATATGATCCTCTTTTTCTTATGTTAATTGAGAGCCGATCGATGAGATAGCCACTTGTCAGTGACCTCCGTGGGTGGTCTAACCCCCTGGTCATACTAGTATAGACAGTCTTTAAAGGTACTATGTCCCTTTTGCAGGCCCCAAAAAAATGAAAAGGTTCAATTCCAATGGCATTTGAAAGATAATACTGATTTAGAACTCCCGTAGAAGAAGGGGGCATGAAAATGTCTGTAAGTGGGAAAATAACGACTATTAGTTATCGAATCGACTTATGAGCTATAGAGCCAATAAGTAATAGTCTGATTTTCAGACCAGTGTACCGAATGGTCGTACGTTTTATGCTACGCAAAGATTCAATCAGTTTAATTTTGGCCATTACAAGAAGTGGGTTATTGATGAAGACAAGTGTTCATGTACCCTTTACAGCTCATTTTATGTATGTTATTACCAAAGAAGAAAACAAGCCAGTTAGTCACTCAATAGTGTCTGGCAGTGAAGTCTAGCAAGTAGACAGGTTTCCTTGCATAATTTGAATATTAGGACACTGCTAGCGTTTAAATTTCACAGATAGGACATGCATGACATATTCACAATTCCTGCAAGGTTCTACAGAATTTGATGTTGGCTGCAAAAGGGACATATCTTTAAAGCATTAAAAACTGAGAAAATATCAGCCCAAAGAGGAAGAATAAAAAGCAAACATGACGTAAAGTCCTCGTAGCAAAATTGAAATACCCCCTTGCTTCTTGCTTGGATGGAGGTAATACAACATATATCTTTGTTATAAAGGCCTGACACTGATCGAGTGGGGGTGGAGGGGGGGGGGGTGCTCCGAGCCCATTGTGATTATACATGGAAATTACAACAAAACTTGCACCTTTAATAGTCACTTTACTGAGAGGTACAGTAAAACAATTTGTCTCGTGGATAATTAGACTGGGGAGGTGAGACTAATATGCAAAGATAATGCCAATAGGTTCGATTCCCAACTACTCCTTTACCCTATTTTAATTTATACTAAAATGAATTTAATAATACTAACATTCTGTATATAATAGCTAATCTGTTGGCCATTGACCACGTACACCCAATCCCCAACCACAATAAGCTGCAAAAGGGATTAATCTTGATGATTTGTTTGATGACGTCACATTTAACCACTATTTGCCGTGTGACGTCATCAAACAAATCATTTTTTTTTACAATATCCGAATTTGAACTTCACTCCGAAAGAACATAACAAATAATCAAATAATGACCCAAAATTGGGAACCACCGAATATGCTAGATATTGGCTGTGATATAACCATCCGAATAAAGAGATTTTAATGGGAAATTATTACTGTTCTTTTGCTCCGTGGTTCGTAAATATGAGAGCAAAATAACCGTGATTTCTAGTTTATTCGGATTTTTTTTTCTCTTCATTTTACGAAATCTTGTAAATGTGTGAACCTTAGAAGAAGATAAAACTTGGAAATTACGTTTTATGCTTTCTTTCAAAAAATGAAGTTCAAATTAAGAAATTCTAAAAATAGATTTGTATCATGTCCACACATGAGAAGTAGAAGGTTGAACTTGAAGATTCAAGGGGTGAAATTAGTCTAATTTCAGACGTTAGAATGTGAATGTGCTTAGGGTCGTTATCAAAGAATTGTTAGCTAGGCCTACTGCTATTTAAGGGTAAATTATCTGTTCACTTCATGTCTGATATTTCAATGTCTATTTTTGTGCCAATAAAACACACACTGGGTTGAACTTGAGACACTGCTACATATATAGGCCCTATATATATATTTATTTTTTAAATCAAATAGTATTGATTGAGGTTATCTGTTCAATATTTTTGTGTAGATCTACGAGTACGAGTACGCGAGCTGCCACTAGATCTTGCTAGCTAGCTACGTTGTCCTGGATATCTTTCTTTGGTAAGTAGACCTAGGCTTTAGTAAAAGTTATGCCGTTTTCTTGGGCATTCTGCCGACAATGACTGAAAATCGTTGATATGCTCCTCCTTAGCCGTGATACCTTAACGTGATACTAGTCTATAAGCCCTAGATCTAGACCATAGATCTAGGCTACTGGACAAACTCCCCGGACCGACCCCGCCTGCCGGCGGACGGCGCAGCTTCAGCACCGGTGTGTGTGTATATGGCGACTGTTCTCTGTAATCGGACCGTGCATTAATTTTCTTCTGAACTCTGAGCAATTTTCATTAGAAACAAAGAACTTTCGCAAAATTGACCTACCTTACATAGATACTATGAATGAACTGATTTATTCTGTGTTCATATTGGCCTTCTTACATTAGACCTAGATTTTTTTAGATCAAGTCCAAGGCCAACAATAATGGCCAAGGCAAGGGCAGTGATTGTCAAGGCTCAAGCAATAAAATATTTATAAAAGTATGAATGATCATATTCATAGACTGTAGTTCATACTCTTAACTCGGTGCAGTTAACTCCAGAGAGCTCTGCCACCGAAGTCGTTGGTGCGGCGGGGCTCCCTGGAGTTAGGTGCAGTGAATGCAGACTTAGACCGAAAGCTTCAGTCTCTCTAATCGTCTATCCGTCTTGGTTTAGTTGATGAATATTCATTTTTTCTTTTCGAACGTCCAATAGCTACCGTACCTTCGTACGAGTCAGCCCGGCTTGACCAACGAACTCCCACGAAACGAGTGCTCTGATTGGCCATTTGGCTATGTTTTGGTAGGTTGACCCGGAAATATTTTGGCCGCCGGGTCATATAGCCCTATGTTCGAGTGCATGAATGTACTGTTTCACAGTTCAGACATACAAGTTGGATAATTCATATAAGTAAGTCCGTAAATTATACATTTAATATTGAGTTATCAAATTTTGATAACTGCAATTAGGACAAGTGACATACCGACCTAATTTACATCTGATTTAGAAATCAGAAAATTAGATCTAAATAAAGAAAATCGGGAAGAAAATGTCATGAACGAAAAGATGTTCATAGCCACCCCCACGGTACGAGATCTCTGGGTTACCATCTGTATTGGGGAATGACAACAAATGTCAGTTTTATTAAAGAAATGACCCAAATCAGATGGTTATTTCTGTCTAATGCAGACTGTAGTGACGGAGCGGAATATAACTTACTGGGCCTAAATCTTAACTATAATTACATGAACGACTATAATAAGGATTTATCCTACCATAGGCTGTATACTATACTGCTTGAAGTCTGTCTCAAGAAGCGCTTGAAGTGTTGCTCGTTGAGTGGAGCTCCACCGTCGCTAGTAGTAGTAGACCGAAGAGACAGAAGAGACGGGCAATCAACAGTGTTTGTCGCGTGCAGTCTCAGGTTCAATCTAACGTTCCCAGTGATAAGCACGCCCGCGGAAACTACCGCGGGTGTCGCCTAATGCGGGACTTACGCGCATATGCCGCCAGAGCCGTAGTGGCTCAGGCTGAATCACTACATTATTCCCCACTTAATGAGTTTGAAGCCTACTTCTAACTAAAACTAAACTAAAACTAACTTAAAACTACTCCCGTACCGCAGTGCGGGGTCACGCCGTTCCCGCTGGTGGATGGGTCAAGGACCCTCCTTGCCAGCACCAGTGAAGTCTTGGTCTTTCCAGGGGGCGGGCGCCTTTATCATACCTTACAACGTACTGTATTCCAAACTTTGGTACGGGAAATATTATTTAAAGTACAGGTAAAATGCACTGTAAAATGTAAAATGCACTGTATTCCACAATTTGGTATATTTAAGTACTAAATAGGATTCAAGTCCCGGAAATGTCCCAGGGATCAAGAACAGAAAGAAACAGAAATATACCAGTTAACCCTTACCGTGCCGGTGTCACGTGTAAATGACAAAGAATAGCAGTCCTGGCACGGGCGTAAGGGATTAACGGGGGCATTACAGGCATAGAGAAACAGAAATATACCAGTTAACCCTTACCGTGCCGGTAATACATAATGAAAAAGTGCAATACGTCTTGGCACGGGCGTAAGGGATTAACCGGGGCATTACATTAAATTCCCAAGGTGACCGAGCATGAAAGTGTGAGTGATCAACATAAACGATGAATGGCAATAAGTGTGCAGAAAAGGGGAAGAGCCCAATGGCTCCCCATTCCCCAAGTGCAGTTTGGATGGTACAATGTCCAGAAACTGGGCAGTCCCACATGAGAGCCAAACGGCTCCCTACAGGCAGTCCAAACGGTGCATATAGGAAGTATTAGAATGATAAAAGCAGATCACTGAAATCAGATGGAAAATGATATAGAAGGTGAAAACACTTCAACAAAATAAGATTACATTTTCTGGGCCACTCGGCACCCGGGGGCACAATAGCCACTACCGGCAAGTTCCTGATATCATTCAGGGCACCCAGGCCCACAACACCATCAAGCAAATCCAAAAGGCTCTTGTTGATCCAGAGGAATTACTCCAGAGGAATTACTCCCCCCAAACATGATCATATTCTGACTTATTATTGGAACCACGTAGTGTCACTTGGGAGATATCAAAAGCCGGCCGTTTTATGGCCTCGAACACACATGAGTGCTCTGTCTCCCTGTGGAAAGAATGCTTCCTAGTCAGCTCTTAAAGCGGAGCAGCTAATTCAGCATAGATAACTCCGCTAACCGAAGCAGAAACTTTTCAGTTTTATTTAATTGTTATCTATTCAGTTTAAAAACATCAACACTTAAAGTTCAGGAACTCAGAATGGACGATTTACAATGAAATTAAACAGTGTAAACAAAAGTGAACTAAAATATATATATTTAAGACAAACATGTTATTTCCCAGGAACAGGAACCGGCACCATGTCCTCGCGGACGAGCCGTTGTGAATGGCTTTGATAATGAACCATAATATATATACTTAACATGTTATTTCCCCCGATCAAACACGATCCGAGGAATCCAAAATGGGAGCCTGTGGGTGGGCTGGAAAAGGGAAAGGTCCTTACTCTGGAGCCCTGGACTCCCAACAACCTTACATCTTACCCGCTTCCCACTAGAAGGAGGCACCACGGCCGTCCTAGCGACTACCTGGACAAAGGGACCGACCGAAGAGTCAGGCGGGTCACTAACATTATTTACCTTGACAAAGGGACCGACCGAAGAGTCAGGCAGGTCACTAACATTAACTACCTTGTCCAAGGGACCGACCGAAGAGTCAGGCGGGTCACTAACATTAACTACCTTGTCCAAGGGACCGACCGAAGAGTCTGGCGGGTCACTAACTACATTAACTACCCCAGTATTTACCGATTGTAGGCCTCTCGGTTTCCAGATCGGAGATCGGCCTCGCTCTCCGATCCCTCCAGGTTTTCCGGAACACCAGTAGCCACGGGAGATAGAGGGCGGGCATTGGAAAGCATAGAAAACTCCAAAGACTTAACAGTCTTCAGTATTTCTTCTAGCATACAATCGGTATTGTACGCATGCGACTTAAGACTGGCGACTTCCTCTTTTAAATAGCCAATGTCATTCCTGGCCTGAACTTCAAAAGGCGTTGTGACCTTCCCCCGGTCCTCCACGGGAGCCGGACGGGGAACATCTTGACCTTTGGAAACTGTTGGGGAACGATTTAGGGGATGGGGTTGCCTATGATGATAAATTACCGTATCATACCTGTCCACCTCCTGATCGTACATGCAAGTCTGCTGCACCTGCTGCCGAGAAGCCGAATACGTACGGCGAGCCTCGCTCCCATAAACAACACGTTGGGTATGTTGCGCCCACCTGATGGCTTCCAGGGCCTCCTCGACGGACTTCGGGCGCGTATTGAGAGCTGTTAAACCCGCCGCCTTATCCGTACAACCCTGGCATAACTGCAATACCATTTGAGTGCTGTCACCCCGTTGGTCCCGCCCAAAAGCTTCAAAGGACAAAGCTTGGAGCCGATCGGACCACCCAAGAAGAGACTCCTCCGGGAGTTGGCGAGCCGTTCGAAATTCGGCTATGGCCTCCTCCGGAAATCGGGTAGCCCCAAACCGACGCCCCATCGCTGTTAACATATGGTAATAAGAATTAGTGCCCATATCCCTAAGGTTCGAAAAACAATCTGAGGCCAACCCCTCCAAACACCAGCCTAGCGCATCCAAACACTCGCTTGGACTCCACTGACACGATACAGCATAACTGGTGAACTTCCTGAGAAAGGAATGCCAACTTGTTCGCCCATCGTAATTAAGTGACCTCGGCAGACGGGGGGGCCAATCCCGGCGCCCCTGCGACCGGTACTCTCCCTGACCCCCAGGTGAGGATTCCCTGGGAGGATACTGAATGTCAGGTCGGGATTCCCCAGAAGGGGGATATACATAATCCCTACGTGGGGGTTCCCTGGAAAGCGGACTACAATTACTAGAAGGGGATTCTCTAGACGGGGGATAATAATAATCCCTACGGGGGGGTTCCCTGGAAGATGGACCATGATTATTAGGAGGGAAATCCCTAGAAGAGGGATAATCCCTACGTGGGGGTTCCCTGGAGGGTACACTGCTATCATCCCTAAGCCGATAGTCGGCGGAGGGCCCGGCTGGGGAGGGCGCAGACCCGGATATAGGCCCAGCTGGGCCTTCACCCGAAAATGGGGGGTATACTGTATGCCCATAAGGAACGGGACCCGGACTCTGGACAGACTGGGTTTGTGCAGTCAAGGTTTGCCCAGTCCCCTCCCCCACCCCCTGTGCCTGCTCAGCCTGATCCACCCGATAAGGCTCAAAATCAAATAAATGTACCAGCTCCTTGGCTTCATGGAGACGGGGACACTGCAAAAATAACTCCTCAGTTAAACTCCCACATTGCTCCCTCCAACTAAAAATCTTGTGGGACTTAGTTCTATCCACAACGGCCAGTAAAGCCTCCTCAGTCCCATAATTCACTTTAACCCTCTCCGAGGTCATAACCGGCTTCAAATCAGCAACGATTATATAACCAAATGATAAAATTAAATACACATACAATCTTTCCTTCTTGCTTACTTAATAATACCCTACTTAGTTTCCTAATAGCTTACTAAGTGCCTGACAGGTAAATACGGAAACCCTAAACCTCACTGAAAAACACCGCGGAATTATCTCCACGGTGAACAGCTTCAGCGAGCGGGCCAAAACTAAACCCTACTAAGTAACACTAAAGGACTACACTTAAACCGGCAATATACCTCACCGAAAAACACCGCGGAACTATCTCCACGGTATAATGCTCGGCGAGATGGCCGTACAATATTAGTAATGATGAAATGAAGATGAAATTAAATACCACCCACGATTTAACCCAAAATCCACAGATATCCAAAACAAGACTGACAGTCAAAAATCCCACTTAGGTACCTACCCAATCCTTCCTTCTTGCTTACTTACTAACGTACGTAGTTCCTTCAAGGAAAATACTTCTTGCTTAGACTACTTAGTTTCTTAAAGGAAAATACTTGCTTACTTACTTAGTTTCTTACTTAGTTTCTTACAGGAAAGACCTATTGCCTTCTTAAAAAGTAAGAACTTACTTAGTTTCTTTCCAAAATCTTACTTAGTTTCTTTCATAATCTTACTTAGTTTCTTACTAAAAAATTCCTACTTAAACAACCCTATACCCATAGTATACCTCACCGAAAAAACACCGCGGAATCATCTCCACGGTAATAATACTTCGGCAAGAGGGTTGAAACTAGTCTAAATAGAGCCTACCCCTACTTACTAAGTTCTACTTAACCGACCCTATACCTCACCGAAAAAGAACACCGTGGAATTATCTCCACAGTATAAAACTCTGGCGAGAGGATCAAAACTACGAGCACGACAAAAAACGGCTGTACAACTAGTCTAGTGAGTAGAAAAAAAAACGAGCAAATTAAAGGACAAAAACTGACCGAAACCGATGTCAAAATCGAAATACGGCCGTAAAAATACCAACGAGTCCCTAAAAAACTATCCTACAACCCTAAGTAGACAAGAAATGAAAAAATATGAGCTTATAAGGCCCTACGAAAAAAGTTCCAAAAATAAAAAATCCCTTCAACACACGAGTCAACGTATCCAAGATGGCGGCTCGGACAAGTGTGCGACCACAAAAAATTATCCCCAAAACACCGAAATGAGTACCAAAAAATCGGAATACAGCACTGAAAATACTCTATGAGTCCCTAAAATACTAATCTACAGCACTAATCAACTACCAATAGGGAATAAACAAGCTTACAAGGCCCTACGGCTACGAATGAAAGTACAAAAATAGAAAATCCCTTCAACACACGAGTGAATATACCGACAAGATGGCGGCTCAAAAACGTGCGCAATAAAAAAAAAACTAGCCCGAACAGGTTCGGATAAAAAAATTAGCGATTACGCCATTGTAGTGACGGAGCGGAATATAACTTACTGGGCCTAAATCTTAACTATAATTACATGAACGACTATAATAAGGATTTATCCTACCATAGGCTGTATACTATACTGCTTGAAGTCTGTCTCAAGAAGCGCTTGAAGTGTTGCTCGTTGAGTGGAGCTCCACCGTCGCTAGTAGTAGTAGACCGAAGAGACAGAAGAGACGGGCAATCAACAGTGTTTGTCGCGTGCAGTCTCAGGTTCAATCTAACGTTCCCAGTGATAAGCACGCCCGCGGAAACTACCGCGGGTGTCGCCTAATGCGGGACTTACGCGCATATGCCGCCAGAGCCGTAGTGGCTCAGGCTGAATCACTACAAGACTATGCCCTGGGCCGAGAGAGATTGTTCCCATCAGTGACAACTCTCGTTTTGAAGAAGTGCCCTCTGATATTGACTCTTGAGTCTGTTTCATTTCATCTATTATTAAGTCTTTTTTTTAAAAGAAGAAATAGCTTGTCAGGTAGCTAGCCAGTGGCAGTGGCTTGCGAAAAATACAAAAAGTAAAAAATTATTTTAAAAATTTAAATTTCTAACAGCATGAACGGTTTCAGTTAAGTTGTCCATTGTATGTATACATAGTAAATTATATGGCTATCATGGGGTTGCATTAGACAATTCCATAGTTAGAATGATAGATTTCAATTTTTGTCCTTGCAAATGACGATCTTGATTGTTATTTTTGATTTTGGCCTGCAACTGCATTGATCCATCAATTATAATGTAGTTTTTACATTTTGCATCTATAAATTAGAAAGGCTTCTTTGTTTGTTTTTTCCTGTCATGTTTTACCAGATTCCAACAAAATGCAGTTGAAAACTTGACACCTATGCTATAACCTGGATGTGAAGTCCTAACTTAATCTGGAGGAATGGAGAGTTCTGGAAAGAGGGCCAACACCCCAACATCAGAAAAGAAGAGGAAGAGGCCTGCTTCCATTTCTCCAAGAAGAGGGAAGAAAAGACTCTTGCTGTCAGAAGTAAGAAAGCATGTGAACTCTCCACAGCAAGCAAAAAGGATTGATCCAAGCACGTCTTGTGCAAACCTGCCTCGTTCCATAGAGTCATTCTTTGCAAAGGCTAGGCCTCCACAGTACACAGAATGTCCAGTGTGCTCCGAGCAGGTCAAACTGTCTGAGATCAATAGGCATCTGGATTCTGGATGTCTGTCCCAACAAGAGAGTCCCACCAAGGCAGGGGCAGAGCATATGAAACAGAGTGCAAGGAAAGTTGCAGATGTGAGAAACGATGTGAAGGATAAAAGGACGAGACTTCGACTGCAGGACAAGTTTGAATCAAGCCCTTTGTATCAGCCAAGCTCTTTGAGCCTTTCGTCTGATGATAATGAAGAAAGTTCTGTCCGAGATCATGACTCGGGTTGTGGTAGATTATCATCAGGGAAACTCAATATGAAAAGGAGCAGGGTTAATGCCATTTGCAAGACTGAAGGTACTGGTCAGTCAAACCACTCAGAAGACAGTATTGTTCAGTCGTCATCCTCATCAAAAAAGCATGAAAAGCAGGACAGAAGGACTAAAGCCAGATCTCGGTTAAGCTTGAAGAAAATACGGGAGAGAAAAAGTGATTCAGATTCAACTTTTGACTCTGAAGTAGTGTGCAATGCAACCAAAGAAGAGGCTTCAAAAGCTGAATATATATCTCGAGAAAAGAAAGTTACTTCACCCTACTTCAAACGTAAAAGTGTAGACAGTGCCAATACTAGCTCACCAAAAAATGTTGACACTTCTAGTATGCAATCAACAGGAATTTCTGCACAGGACTTGCAAAAATCATTGTCAACTTCTGCAGGAAGACCTGATGGTCTTCCACCTCCAGTCCTTTCTTGTAGGCATACTCCAACTCAAAGCTATACTCCTGAAAAGAAGAGCTCTCGATCAACTTTAAATTCTGTTAGTCCTGCATCCAAAGTGTCTACTCTTTCCTCATTGTTAAAGCAAGGATATTCTTCCAAAAAGGGTTTGTCCAGTGCTTTTGCAAAATCTCCTGACACACCCACAGACAGCAACAGAGGATCTGCAAAGGCTCAAAGAACCCCTGTGAGAACTCAATTATTCTGCAACCAAGCAAAAACCAAAGATAAACCAGTGTCATCATTAACAAGTAGGCCTAGTATTACGCTATCAAAGAGTCATTTGTCTGGAGATGCTGCAAGTGTCTCTTCAAGTACCAGTCCATCAAGTGATATCGCAGCAGTTACATCATTATCCAGTAGCCCTGGTCCAAGCTCAACACTGCCTCCCATGCCTACCATGCCTACCATGCCTACCTCACATACCTCAGCTACCAGTTCATACAACTCACCTTCAAAGTCCAATCCTATCGTGAATAATCAGGGGTCATCACTATCATCATCAAAAGAGAAAAGTGCTTTTGAGTCTCCTGTAAAAACTTCCCTTGTGTTAACAATAACACCCAATAAAGGCCCATCCTACACTTCGCCAGCAAAGTCTGGTTCATCGGCAACGTCGCCTGCGAGGTCAGACACCCTTGGATCTCCGCACAAGCCAAGAGAACCTTACTACATAGTGAACTTCAAGCTGATCTTGAACGCTGTCCTCAAGAATGAGTTTGATTCCCACCTCTTCGATGAGGAAGACCATGCCCAGGTGTCAAAGTTCAACAGTCTCTCAAGTGAGTTCCCATTTTGATACATTTGTGACCAAATTAATAGGAGAGTCTAAAATTATTATTTTGAAATGAAAATCAGGCATGTATCTGTGTGTGATGTTGCTTTGTCTCATACTATGATTTATAAAACACCAGCACCTTTTGCTTAAAGGGATAGTTGAGTTCTGTTTTCAGACCGCAAATGCCTTCAAAGTGCATGGTTATTGCTCTTATTCTTATCTTTGACATTTATAGTGCCCTTTTAGAGCCTAAAATTGCTATGAAGGTAATTTTAGACACCAAAATGTGTGAAATTTAGCCAACACGATCATACCAATTCAGCTCCACTTTCCCCAAAATACGGTGACCGTTAATTAATTATTTAATTAAAAATAACAATACATGGGCCGGCTGGTTGTGCGTAATATAACCAACACCAAAATGCCGACAAAAAAGCCAACATCGGCATTGGCTGAAATACAACATAAAAGGCGCTATTTCGTTTTTTCAACAGCTTTTTCAAATTATCTAATATTTGTGGTGGTACACAAGTATTAGAAATTATATTTATGGATATTTCAGCCGTCTCTGAACCGATTTTGATCAAACAAAGATGATTTTGTCATTTAAACTGTATGTTCTTTCAAATTTGACACTCAGTTTTTTTTTTTGTTTTTTTTTTTGCAGTGCCTTCTGCAACAGAACGCAACAATCCCTTTAAATATTTGGTTATTCAGTACTGGGACTTTGTAGATTATGGGAATATTCCAGGATTGTAAAAATTGTTAGTGTGCTTGTTTTAAATGCCAAATCAGGCTTGTATTGTGGTAAAGGTAAAAACAAAGGAGATTTCAATCAACTACATTGCCCTTTATTTTCAATTTAGAATAACCTTCACAATTAGTATCATACACCATCAATTGTTAGGAAACTGTTATTAATTTTTGCATCGTATTTTAAATCATTCTTTTGCTTCTTTTTTTGACAACTGATTCTTATTTTTGTTTTGTTTACAAAGGTCCTGCACAACAACTGTATGTCCGACTATTCCAAAGGAAGTTCACATGGTTTCGAACTGCCAAAGTTGAATATCCTAGGATCGCATTGAATTTAAAACCTCTCTTCACTGAGATGATAGATGCAGGTTTGCTGATAACAGGTGAGTTTATGAGAGTTATATCTGTAATGTTGACAGTTGTGGTCCCTCATGTGCAGATAGATATACCTAGACAATACATTCTTAAATATGAGTGACTAATTTTTGTGTTCATTGTTGTTTACTTTGGAAGTAAAAAAAGGATGTTGCTTCTGTGTAGAAAAGGATGTTACATCATGTTTAAATATTTGTCACTTTTGCAGACCCTCTTTCAAATGAATCGTCCAAACTTCTGAACATTCAAACTTTTTTGTCACTAACATTTCATTTCAAACTGAAACTATTTCACCCTGATAATGAGTCTGGTTGACCTCCTTTCATTTCTAGAGAGTTCATTGGATGAACTAGCTGTCACACTCAAACTGCTGATGGCCCCTGACCTGAAACAATTGGCCAAGGATTTCAAGGTTGCAGGGAGTGGCCAGAAAAGTGATCTGGTAGAGGCCATCATCAAGTACTCCTCAAGACAACGGTCCTTCTTCTCAGCCAACATGGATAAGATAGTAATGAAGAAGTAGGTATTATGCTTCCATCCTTTCATCTGAACACCATCGCAAAACCATATTAAGGAACCTTTCACACGATTACATACCGGTGTGTTGGCTCAGTCAGTAGAGCGTCTGCCTCACAACCAGGAGGTCGTGGGTTCGAACCAAAAGACGTTAAAAAACAGGAGTTGCTGCTACCTTGTTTGACGTTCAACAATAAGGGATAGAGCAACGTCGATCTGGCGCTGCTCAGTGGCTGCAAGGCTCACGATCAATTGGGCAAAAAGAATTTCCATTTTCGGTTTAACTTAATAAATGTGGAGTGGACTTTAAAATATTATAATTATTATTATTGTTATTATTATTATTATATCTCATTCATTTTGATAAAAATCTAGGTATTCTAGGCATTGTAGAAAACCTGTTATCAGGAATTGACTGCATTTGAATTTAATAATAGAGGTAAATCTAATGAGTTTTTTTTATGGTGACACAGAGCAGTTGACCCATGAATGGTAGAATGTTTGTATGTACTCTAAATTATCAGTTCTGAAAAGAAGCACAATAACCGTGGTCCCTCTGCAAGGGTACTCTACTAATTTGTTAAAAATTATAAGAAACATAACGGCTATGTAGTGCACATGACAATAGTTGTTCGCAAAATTGAATTCAATAGTTTTGCATTGTAATGTAGATAACGCTTAAATTGCCTGATGGGGCTGATTTTTTTGCTCATGCACACATTTTGTTTCTCTGTGCCAGTATAGATGTATCTTTCTTTCTCTAAATTATTTGTTTGCACATCATCTTCTTCTATATCCCAATTTTGACAGAGCCAAGAAACTTCTGGGTAACTGTGTGAAGCTGATCAAGGAGCCTCGTGTAATGTTCAAAAGGATTATCATGCTCTTCTCATTGGTGAGGCAGGATCTTATAGATGAAGAGAAAGGAAGTTCTGGTCAGTCTGCATTGTAAGTAGGGGCCGTACAGAAGGATTTCACAATAAGTGTTAGCTCCATAATAATAATAGCTAGTTCTTATAAAGCGCTTTTCAGGACCGAAGGCCCTCTCAAAGCGCTTTACAGATAAATATATTATTACCCCGGTCATCAGATTCAGGCTTACCTGCACACAATGTATGCTCATTCTCCACTCCCTGGGGAGCATTCCAGCCAAACACCAATGTAAGGGTTTGGGTGTAGAAACAGTGTCATGGCTTATGGCTATCACTACTTCTTTGTGCCTTATGTATAGACAGCGTTAGAGAACTTTGTCTATGTTTACTGTCATGGAACACTTAACATTAAATCAAACTGTCATTCCTATTTACATCAGCTTTATGTAGTGAGATGGTTGTTTAATTAATGGGTGGTAACAAAACCTGTGTTTAGAGAGAGCTAGATCCATATTGATGATTGTGATCATCAACATTATTGTATTGAACTTCTAGATAGATGTAAAAGCAAATCAGATGCTGTTATATCCTTGTAGTGATATTCTATGTCCCCATAGCCATAAATGCTATTTTGATTATTAGGTGTATCATTAACTTTTTGAAGTTGTCAGTTTGATAATTTCATCCAGACATGGATTAGTCCAGGATGTAGTGCTTGATAATTGCCCCTGTGTTAGCCCGATGGTGATTACCGCTGTGCTAGTAATTTATTCCATTGAACTTCTTAGAGAAGGGTCTACTATCAATGTTGGCTCAAGCTTGAATCTTGTAGATCTGATTATCTTCTTTCTGTCTTTCCCACTTTTCAGACAAACAGAACTCCTGGTTAACATGGGTCGAATGAGCTACCCTGTATACACAGTCTTCAGAACCAGGAGTTTCTTTCCCTCCAGAGAAGATTTGCTAAGGTGAGTATCAGGAATCAGGGGTAGACTGAGACTAACAGGTGGTCTGGGATTTCTGTATGGCCTACCACACTACCTTGAAGAATCACCCTTGAATCACAAATCAACCACCCTTTCTAATAATATTTAATAGTAATAACTCCTGAAACTATCACTACCTGACTCTATTTACTACTACTAAGTAATTAAGTTTTGATTTGCCTATCCTACTTTGAATAAATGAATAATTTTAACAATGAATTTAAACATATTGTCTAATTTCTTAGACAAAAAGCATTTATTGTATGGAATACTAATATGACAATAATTTACATTATCATCACTCTCAAGGAAATTTAATAACAATTGCTCCCAATTTTTTATTAGATGTATCTTATTTTTCCCCCTCTTAAGATATGAAGTTGCCATGCAGTATGAAAATGATATTGCGGATGCCCTTGGTCAATATATCTATATTATCATCACTTTCAATGAAATATAAGAAGAAGAATTGCTCCATTTTTATTAGATGTATCTTATTTTTCTCCCTCTTAAGGTATGAAGTTGCCATGCAGTATGAAAATGATATTGCAGATGCCCTTGGTATCAATGACTTTGAGCTGGCTGACAGACTTCAGACAACAGCTATGGTGACCTACGAGGAACTGGTCAAAGATAAACAAATCCTCAAGTAAGTTTGGTTACAAATTATTCAAGTCATTTTCTTAAAAGGAGTGGTGATTTGTTCTCTGGAGTGATGATATATACTCTGCTTTTTTAGTATATTATCATTCTTCTAGTTGGTACACCCTGTACTTGTATTTTTAACAAGTTCAAATGATAGATCATCTCAAATATAGGCTTTAATATTCTAAATTCCCACTAACCTACAATGACTTATGCGGTTATTTTTAAACTTGAACTACTGATTTTTGTTGGTACTTGTAGGTGATTTGTTTAACGTTCAATACGAAATTGATTGTAGGTATATAGTTCTCTCCATAAAATTTTAGAAATTCATGATACTGACAGATATTTTCATTCAAAATTACATTTAAAATCTTTTACCGTAATCAATGTAGACACGATGAGTCTATGCCAGAGTTTCTTCGCTGCTACAGCGCTGGCTGGGTGTACACACATGTTGGTTACCAGGGTGTAGAGATCAGACAGAAGCAGCGAAGATATGAAGAAGCTGTGGTGCTTCTCCAAGCCCTGTTGAAGCAGAAGGTCTACTGCCCAGACAGAAGAGGGGGATGGTATGACAGGCTAGCCCTCAATCTGGATCAACACTGCAAGAAACAACATCAGGTATAGAATGGGCTTATCAAGGTTTATAAAAAGAGAATGTAGAATATTACACAGTTAAAATTCATTTCAGTGTAGCATGGATATATAATAAATCATAACTTAATGCTTATAGAGAGCAATATTTGATCATGAATTCGGACATGGCATGCAACATCCATTTATTTTGTTCACATTTTGCACTAAAAATATGAAGCATGTCGTTCAGCTTTGTAGGCAGTTAATGAATGTATGAGTTAATAGTATTTAATTGATCTAGGAAAAGACCACTAGTTTTCGGTGAATGAATTTGCTTGGCATAATATGTTTTGAAAGACAGAATTTTTGTTTTTAATAAGAATGATATAAATGTAATGCTTCCTGGGAGAAATTGTTGATTATTTATTTATGGGTGTAAGCCACAAATATGTTTAAATAAAAGAATGATATGATTATTAGAAGTACAATCTACTAAAAATTTGTTCAAAATTAGAAGTAGTAAGAGATCACTTAGTGTACATAAATTCATTTGATGCTCTAAAGATTGATTCATGGAAGGATTTATTCATCTTACATTCTCAGAGTGACTTAGTGAATACTATACTTGTATTTCAGGCCTTGGATTGCATCAAAGAAGGCATGGCTGATCCCAAAGTAAGGGTAGGACACAGATTGGCTTTACAGCTTAGAGCCCAGAAGATACTCAAGTCAAATAAGAACAAACTTGAAGAAAGAGCAAATGAGTTTCAGTTTGATGATGTCTTGGAAAACCCCAAGGTAATCCTTCAAGCTAATCATTTCTTATTTCAATTTGAATTCAATACTTGGTTTTATATATACGTTTGTTGAAATAGCACAGTCAACATACAGAGCTTTGTTTTAAACTGTTGAGGGTTTTAAGAAAAAATAGCTAATGAGAAGATCCCATATCCCAGAGCTGCTAACTAGTACGCATTTTCCGTAATTGATACAGAAATTAACAACCATTAACGACCGGAATGTTGTCTAAAATTACAGATTACAAACAAACGGCAACAAAAAAAAGATTTTTTTTTTTCTTTTCTTTTTTTTTCTTTCCGCAAATAGATCTATCGTAGCGAGTGCTGTGCAGTATGGCGGCCATCTAACACTCGCTGCACGAGAAAGATGGAAAAGTATCAAATATTCTCTTAATAAGAAGCCAATTTTTCATCGAAAACTGATGTGTTGTGATGACCTAAAAATCAATATTTAGCAACTTTGTGAGAGTAAAATCATCTAAAATTTCAGATAATTATGCGTCCGCGTGCCATTCTTTTTAGATTCATGGCGCCGCATAGGAAATTACTGATTTATATCCCAAATTACCAGTACTGATTTTCTGTTCTGGAGGTTGGCAGCTCTGATATCCTGCTTGTCAAAAGATGACGATATACTGCTGTTATCCCATTGTGTATGGAACCAAGTGGCTCCTGTATGAAAGGCTGTGGGAATGAGTATTAATACTTGTTGTGAAGTGGAATGATATGAAGAGAATATAGTGATATTAATCTCTCTCTTGAAATTAAAATATTGTGAAATATTTGGCATCTCTTATGTCTGGGAGGTGAAAAATGAGCTGAATCATTGTAACCCTTGGGTCTCTCCTCCTGATGTAACTGATTAGGAATGTGCAGGTGGATCATTACACTGGGATTTCCCGCTACTCTTATATGAATAGTGATGTAGGTACAAAGGTGGTGACTCTCCTCTACATGCAGCATCTATTTAATGTCCTATCTGAGGTACAAAGTGTTTTTTTCCCTATAACCTAGCCTGCATCTATAAAACGGGAGGGTCATATTAACCCAATACAGGCGTCAGTCATCCATCTGTGATTAGATTCAAACCCACGATCTCCTGTTCGACAGGTAGACATTTTACCGACCAAGCCAAATCGCCTCCTCGATTGTGATTGGATATGTAGAATTTATTTTCTTTATCAGTTCTCCTTATTGATGCCCTGTATCTTGTCTTCTGTAGGTTCAAGTTCAAGTTCAAGTTTTATTTCCACATCTGATTTTAAAAACACAAGTACAATTTATATGCATATATATACATTAACAAACGTTAAAATGAAACATCTTCAATTTAAATCATAATGTGGTGGGAAAAAACAAAGGCCAATAGCCTATCAGGGTTATTCCCAAAGATAATAAAATTTACATAAAAAGTTTCTTAGATTTATTAAAAACGAGATAAAAGTACAGAGATTAAAATAACACAAAGCATCAATAAACAAAACTAAACCGGACAAATTCATTACAAAAAGACAAGAAACAGAAAAGGCATTTATGCAAAAAATAATAGTAATTATACATATTCATTTAAAAGATTTTTCTTAAGTTTTCTTTTAAAAATTGATACAGTTGGGCAAATTTGGAGTTCTTGAGGTAATGTGTTCCATAATTTTGGTCCGGCATAAATAATCATTGTTCTTGAGAAATCATAAGTACATGTAAACATTGGCAGGTGGAAAAAATTTGATTGACGAGTTTCATAATTCGTCACATTTCTATTACAAATAAAACAGTCATCTAGAACTTTTGGAAGTATATTTTTAGAGTAAGAAAACATAAAGATACCAATCTGTTGCTTATGTATATCATAAATTGTTAACTCTTATCGTGCCACAGGGCTAATCCCCATTGTGCCAGGTTGTTTTGGAGATCATCTGATTAACGCGATGGTTCTATGAATGGCGAGTGCAAAACACACAGCACAGCCCAATAAGCATGAACAATAACTGCTATTACGAAAGCGCCCTTGCACGCACATGGCACTCAGTAGGTAGCGTGCATGGCAGGCTATGAGTTAATATACTACTACTAAATGGGTTATGTGCAATCTCAGAAGATAAATTATTTATACATACATATTGTACTCTATTATTTAAATAACTGGAAAACCACTTTAATACAGAACCCCGAATACCATAAAATTGTAATTTTTGTAATAATATTTGATGACTTATACAATCAAATGCTTTGGTAAGATCTAAAAATATTCCAATAACAACTTTTTTATCTTCAAATGATTTAGCAATAATATTCGTAAAATCCAAAAGAGCCATATATGTACTGTAATTTTGTCTAAACCGATACTGTTTATGGTATAATATATCTCTTTTACATAAGAAGGAAAATAGATGACTATAAACTAGCTTTTCAAAGATTTTTGAGAAGGTAGATAAAATTGATAACGGTCTATAATTATTTAAAATATGTTTATCTCCTTTTTTGTACACAGGAATTACCTTAGCCTTCTTGAGAGCAGTAGGAAATACACCAACTTGTAAAGACATATTAAATAAATTACAAAGCGGTATAACAAATGTAGCAATATATTTCTTTAGAACAGCAATATTAACATCATCATATCCTGGGGTTTTACATGATTCAAGTTTTTTAACAATTTCAAATATTTCAGAAATCTCAACTGGTTTCATAAATATAGATTTCGAAAAGTCCCTTTTAGGTAAAAAATGCAAGAAATCAACGGTAACCATTAAGGGTACAGTACTCCCCCATCATGGACCTGGACCAGTTCTCCTTATTGATGCCCTGTATCTTGTGTTCTGTCGGTAACCATTAAGGGTACAGTACTCCCCCATCATGGACCTGGATCAGTCCTCCTTATTGATGCCCTGTATCTTGTGTTCTGTAGGTAACCATTAAGGGTACAGTACTCCCCCATCATGGCCCTGGATCAGTTCTCCTTATTGATGCCCTGTATCTTGTGTTCTGTAGGTAACCATTAAGGGTACAGTACTCCCCCATCATGGCCCTGGATCAGTCCTCCTTATTGATGCCCTGTGTCTTGTCTTCTGTATGTAACCATTAAGGGTACAGTACTCCCCCATCATGGACCTGGATCAGTCCTCCTTATTGATGCCCTGTATCTTGTGTTCTGAAGGTAACCATTAAGGGTACAGTACTCCCCCATCATGGACCTGGACCAGTTCTCCTTATTGATGCCCTGTATCTTGTGCTCTGTAGGTAACCATTAAGGGTACAGTACTCCCCCATCATGGACCTGGATCAGTCCTCCTTATTGATGCCCTGTATCTTGTGTTCTGTAGGTAACCATTAAGGGTACAGTACTCCCCCATCATGGCCCTGGATCAGTTCTCATTATTGATGCCCTGTATCTTGTGTTCTGTAGGTAACCATTAAGGGTACAGTGCTCCCCCATCGTGGCCCTGGATCAGTCCTCCTTATTGATGCCCTGTGTCTTGTCTTCTGTATGTAACCATTAAGGGTACAGTACTCCCCCATCATGGACCTGGATCAGTCCTCCTTATTGATGCCCTGTATCTTGTGTTCTGAAGGTAACCATTAAGGGTACAGTACTCCCCCATCATGGACCTGGATCAGTCCTCCTTATTGATGCCCTGTGTCTTGTCTTCTGTAGGTAACCATTCAGGGTACAGTACTCCCCCATCATGGACCTGGATCAGTCCTCCTTATTGATGCCCTGTATCTTGTCTTCTGTAGGTAACCATTAAGGGTACAGTACTCCCCCATCATGGACCTGGATCAGTCCTCCTTATTGATGTTCTGTAGGTAACCATTGAGGGTACAGTACTCCCCCATCATGGACCTGGATCAGTCCTCCTTATTGATGCCCTGTGTCTTGTCTTCTGTAGGTAACCATTAAGGGTACAGTACTCCCCCATCATGGACCTGGATCAGTCCTCCTTATTGATGCCCTGTATCTTGTCTTCTGTAGGTAACCATTAAGGGTACAGTACTCCCCCATCATGGACCTGGATAAGTCCTCCTTATTGATGTTCTGTAGGTAACCATTGAGGGTACAGTACTCCCCCATCATGGACCTGGATCAGTCCTCCTTATTGATGCCCTGTGTCTCGTCTTCTGTAGGTAACCATTAAGGGTACAGTACTCCCCCATCATGGACCTGGATCAGTCCTCCTTATTGATGCCCTGTATCTTGTCTTCTGTAGGTAACCATTAAGGGTACAGTACTCCCCCATCATGGACCTGGATCAGTCCTCCTTATTGATGTTCTGTAGGTAACCATTGAGGGTACAGTACTCCCCCATCATGGACCTGGATCAGTCCTCCTTATTGATGCCCTGTGTCTTGTCTTCTGTAGGTAACCATTAAGGGTACAGTACTCCCCCATCATGGACCTGGATCAGTCCTCCTTATTGATGCCCTGTATCTTGTCTTCTGTAGGTAACCATTAAAGGTACTATGTCCCATTTGCAGGCCAAAAAAATGAAAAGGTTAAATTCCAATGGCATTTGAAAGATAATACCAATTAAGAACTTCCTTAAAAAATAGGGGCTTGAAAATGTCTTTAAGTGGGAAAATAAGGAATATTAGTTGTCAAATCGACTTAGGAGCTATAGAGCCAATAAGTAATAGTCTTCATTTTCAGACCATTGTACCGAATGGTCTTACGATTTATGCTGCGCAAAGTTTCGATCAGTTTAATTTTGGCCATTACAAGAAGTGGGTTATTGATGTAGACAAATGCCCATGAACCCTTTGCAGCTCATTTTATGTATGTTATACCAAAGAAGAAAAAAAGCCAGTCAGTCACTCAATAGTGTCTGACAGTGAAGTCTAGCAAGTAAAAGGGTTTCCTTGCATAATTTGAATATTAGGACACTGCTAACGTTTAAATTTCACAGATAGGACATACATGACATATTCATAATTCCTGCAAAGTTCTACAGAATTTGAGGTTGGCTGCAAAAGGGACATAGTACCTTTAAGGGTACAGTACTCCCCCATCATGGATCTGGATCAGTCCTCCTTATTGATTTGATGCCCTGTATCTTGTCTTCTGTAGGTAACCATTAAGGGTACAGTACTCCCCCATCATGGCCCTGGTGTAAGGAACACCTTCATTAGCTCCTACCAGGGAACAGAAGAAACAGATGAAGGCATCGTCGTATGCAGTGTGGAGCAAGTAGCTCTGGAGCACTACAAGCAGCAAGGGTACACCGAGGGTAGGTCCCTCATATCAAGTATTCCATTGAACTCTACCGTAATGTGAATTTTTGAAGAGCTTTACTGTAACTTTTTATATACTACACAAATGATATCACTGTGCCTCATTGTATTTGTCATTGGATAAATATACCAAAGGCTTCACAAATATTTTAACTGTGTCCAGTACAAGATTTATGTTGACCGATGTTTAAAGGGTTGTCATGGAGCTAATCAAGAGCAGAAATGGGTAATTTTGCAAAGCCATTGTGTTGCACAAAGCAATCCTTCCCCAAGTGGTGCCAACTGTTTTGTGCAAACTTGCACAGAAGCAAAGAAAGCAATTGATGTGTTATAAGAAATCATTGTAAAAGTTATAGTTCTTATCATTTAATCTTTAAGTCCCATTTGCATTCCTCACATGCCCTTGTCCTTTAGGAGGGGAGAATGAAATCATAACTGACTTAAATGATTAGTATTTATTTGTTAAATGATTATTATTATTTGGCATTTCAAAGATCATACAGGGAAGACGAGGTCTACAGAAATCAATATGATAACAACTTGAATACAGCGTTAACTGATTGCATTTGACAAAGATTAAATGAAGTGGTCAATAAAGAATGATTATTAAGTCCTTTCATAGATATTGCAAGTGATCACAGCTCTGAAGGAAACACCTGTTGCTCGGTAGCAATTATTAAAATCTTGTGCTTGCAGGTACACATGGAGAAGGGACTACCTATAGCACTCTTATCTTCATTATCTTTTGGGAAATTGTCTTCCATCCAAACATACCAGATGTCTTCTGCTATCCATATCAGGTAATTTTTGTTAGATTTATAACTTTTTATTCAATACAAAATTCTTTAGTATATCTGATTTGTCAATGACAATAATAATGAAAGAAATGCTATTAGTAAACGATCATTTGGCTGATGTGTAATGCTCATGTCAATTATTGTATTTAATGCACCACAATTTTCACTTGATGCCATTAGCAAAAGTGCAAAGAAAATTCCTAATGTTGGCTCTGTCATTTCAATTTTTCTAGATATTTAATAGTGAATAGAAAACAGCCATTCGTAGGAAAAATCATGGTCTTCAAAGCAGATTATACAATGGAAATCATTCCAGATGCAAAACTAAATACTAATTTGGATAACAATGAGACCAATACTCTGACAAACTTGATTTCCTAGATCCTGTTTTTCCCCCTGCAGACAGCACCATTAGACTTGAGGACAGATCACTTCTATACCAACCGTAGCGATGCCATACAGAAGAAGCTAGAAGAGTTACGTGAAGCAGATACAGAAGAGCTAGCTAGCATGCTGCAGACTAATTGGTTAGAGTATGAAGGAGACATGTGTGTAGGTGTCAGTTGGGAGATCTTCAGGGACCTGGATCATGCTAAGGTATGTCCTCTGGATAGTGTTGGTGAGGGTGTCTACCAAGCAATTAATGTGGCAACATTGCAGAAAGGAAAAACAGATTAAATGATTCACAATTTCTTGCCCGTTGTGTAGAAAATCCCTCAATGTAATTGATATAATTCAGGGACCCCAGCAGAGGTCATTCTAAGAGTTCTGACAAGGAATGTTAATTCTAAAAGCTTTGGACTGGCTTGTTCTCAGCATCTTGCGGAAAGCAAGCAACTTCTGTCAATCGACATGTATTTTCTTACAGAAGGAATTTACTGTATGATGAAAGTTTTGAAATCATGTTTTTGTATTCCTTTAGACAACAACCCTATTTTGGTTGTGGTTACTAGTCACTACAAGGGTTTAGCAGTACATTAACAGTACATTCACACTGGCCTGTCTTTTGATACTCAGGGTTTGCTAAGCTGTATAGGAGGCAGGTTACTGAGTGCCATAGCTGAGCGTATAATCACCAATCATCGTCACTGCAGAGCTGGTCGTCCTGATCTTACCATGTGGAACCCAGAGACTAAGAAATTCAAGGCAAGTGTTGACATGCAAGGCCATCCTTTAACGTGACAATCAAATGCAAACAATTACAAATTATTTCATTGAGAACCACTTTGAATTTGTAATAAATTTCTTGTAATAAACCTGAAAATTTGTGATTATCAAATTTCTATTTTATTCAAAACAAATGCCAATTTTATATCAATGGAATTTGTAAATCTTAATTAAATATATACAATATTTTATTAGTTTTCAATATGTTTTAATGTGCTATCAATGTAATTTTATACCATTTACTTTATACTTTGTACACTGAACAATTTCAGCTATCAGCTGCATGTTCGATGATTTTTTATCTCAAAAAGCCAACGCAATACAAAAATGTTCACTATTTATCATCATTGTAGAGTGGTTTGTCTCACTATGTGGAACCCTTTAAAATAAGACATTCAATCTTAGTGTAGGCCCATGTACTGTACTCATCTTTGTGTATACTGTTTATCCATGGAAATGAAGTCTGAAAAAACTTTAGTACATTTATTGAAAATGCAGGTTTTATTGAAACTAACTGGTGTTCATTGCATCAACTGTGTTTTGACATTATTAGCAAATGTGAAGGGTCATGAAATTGAAGAAAACAAACTGTTTCAGCTTTATATAAATATTGGCGTAGGATTTTCACCACTTTGATATTTAGCCATTTAGTGCATGATGTTTGAAAAGAGTGTTTTGCAGCCTGGATAAGTTATTAAAGAGACCTTTCAATTGAAAGGTAATTGGGAAAATGTGGATTTTTTTTTTTTAAGCACATCATTTACAGGCACCACATTCATAGTAATTGGTTTTATGCAAGGTCAAAGCCTTTGAGTTGAAAATCTAATGAACTGTTGATAGAGAATAATGCATAATATTAAGAACCCTGCATTAGTTACAACCTATTCATTTGAAATTTGCAAATGTAGAGCACTACAAATCAGACAGGTATCATGCCTCAGCTAAATGAGCTCCAAGAATCTAAATTGTATTTCAAGAATCTAAATTGTATTTCTTACTTTGTTACAGTTCATGTCATTTAGCATCAAAATATGAGAACACTAACACAACTTGTTTAGGTTTTTGCAAATTTGCTTAACCCAAAGTTTTTATAGATATTTTGTCCATTAGCCACCCAAATTATATTGTCTGTAGTATTATTGAAAATGAAAAAGAGAACAAATGTATTTGAATATTATTATAATTTTTTTGTTAATGCTTTTTAAAATTTTAGTTGGTTGAAGTGAAAGGACCCGGTGATCGGCTTTCACAGAAGCAGATTCTCTGGATTGACTTCTTTCTCCGTCATGGGATAGAGGCTGAAGTTTGCCATGTAGAAGGTCTGTATTACCAATTTCCATTGTGATTCTAATCCTTATATAGGTCCTGTTATCATGTTCTCTATAAGATCATAACTTGTTCATCAAATTTGTTTGGCTACAGCTTACCTGTTTTTCCTCTAAAAGGTATCATTGACATTTCCCAATTGAATACCTTCATTTGTTGGTAACATCATTTAGATATCCTTTGTTGGAAGCTCTATGTAGTCGGTTTACAAAGCCATTTGAAAGTCTTGATATTTTACAAATGATGCATGCAAATAAGTTTGTGATACGATCTATTCACTGTATGCATCTATTGTACAAAGCTGTCAGGCTGAGTACAAAGACAGGAGCGAAAAGATTGGTTAATTGATGAATGAATGCATGCCTTATTTTTGTATACAACGAACCTCCTAGTTCCTTGTAAGTTTATATAAAAGAATTCACTTCAAGATTGTTTTGTGTCATCGCTGACAAATAAACCACCAATTTAATAGGCTTACTTTAGCGCATACACAGAGATACACACACTTACCTCTAGATGCGTCAATGCCCAGTGCTATACACACAGTACAAACGTATCGGCCCCTACACCCACTACTGCACTTCGGGTACTTAAAAATCATTGAATAGTACTAGAAATGATGTTTTTTCATGAAAAAATGTGTGATAGTCTCAGTAAGTGAATCACATGTTATCACATTTGACCAATAATTTAATTAGGATCTAACTAACAGTGACTTGTACAAATTTGTATGTCTAGTCAAATGTCAGAAATTATTTTGATAACATTTTGTGTTCAGGGCTATACCTATTGTATACATGCACTTTGAACAACATGCATGCACCAATAAATAATTTAGTTTTTTATTTCATTTTTATATTTTCATACTTTATCATAGAATAAAATTAATAGTGTGAGCATTGAAATGATTGATTTCTAAACGTATTTTGGGGTGGTTTTCTTTGCTCCTTCCGCAGCTGTTGGAAGCAAGCGTTTGAAACGGAAAGTGTATGACAGCCAGAGCACCGCTGGAGCATCAAGTCAAGAATCAGTTATCAGTTTGGAATGAGGGATCTTTTCAAGAGCTCTCTGCACCTACCTGGCTTTTTTGTTTAACTAGGCAACTACCTAAAGTACTGTAATAAGTGAAAATATTAAGTAAAAGGTTATTGTTATGTTTCTTAAATGGAAGTCCTAGTCTTGGCCTAAGTCAGAGATGCCAACGGTTACGGTTTTGCCGTATTTGTTACGGTTTTAATGCTCTTGTTACGGCGTTACGGTAAACAATCAAAAGGTTACGGGGAAACGATAAATATAAGTACATTATAGCAAATGCCGCCTTATCACATAGCCTCCGTAAACAGGGCTGCATGTCGCACGCATTTACTCATAAGTTCACTGAATTCGACTACACTGGATAGGCACTTTCGCGCACATGGTCCTTCCTTTTAATTCCGAAACAACACGGCTGTCGTTATTTGGGGGAGCATGGTGGTAGATGATCGTGCGCGCGGCACCCGCCATACCCATTCAAAGACTTCGGTGATTCAGCGGGCGCATTGCAAGTGCGGTATACGGTGTGTTGTTGTTCATGAACGCCGGGCCTAGCGGCCTAGGCTGGTGTGTCTGTGGTACTGGTGATCGTGAGTGTACGTGTGCGTGTTTAGGTTACGAGTTCTGCCATTTGACTGTGGATTCGAATTTGCCATTCGACGCTTGAACGAGGTGTTTTCTTCCTGAAACAGATTTTTTAAAACGTTTTTATGCACATCTTTATTTTTGACTTAAAAATGGTAGGTTCGAAATGCAGTGAGTCATTGGGTGTTTGTGTACGTTTTGCACGAAAATTATACTGCGGTGTCTTGCGTTCCGGAAAGACCCCCATTTGTTACGGACAAATATGGTAAATGTTACTGACAACCATCCTATAGGGTTGGCATCTCTGCTAAGTTACAAATTGAATGAAATAATTCAATCTTTATTTTGCTACTCTGTGCAATATTTGTAGCAATGAATAAGTGATGACTACGTTGTACCAGTAGATTTTCATTTGTTACTTACTTACTTCAATCTATGTTTCTTGTAGATCAATAACATACTATCCAACTCTTTTTTTTTTAAAGTGCCAGCTGCCTTTTTCACACATTTTACTGCATTTGTGACATAATTACTGATAATATGCTGTTAATGTATAGTTTATATCACATAAACAATGTTTCTGTGCAGTTTTAAAGATCTTCAGGTGACAATATCGGTGCTTACCCAGCTGCCCTAAGGTGCTGAAGCATTCAAGGAGTTTGATCTTACAGGAACACTTCACCTTGATGGAGTGTGGACATATTAGATTACTAAAGGATGTTTGTGCTTCTCTCTCTCTCTCACCCACTGTCTTCTTTCCCTGTATATGTACAGTTTATTTTTTGTCATTATCCTGGGCATAGCTACTTAAGAGCGATAGTTACATCACCAGATGGTGCTTCTGATTGGTCATTCACATCATGAAGCTCAGAATAAATATCAGGAGCTCCATGATTTACCCTATGACCCATCTAACGTACGTGGAAATGCTCATGTCACACAACTGTCTCTCTCAATACGCTATGATGTTTCACTTAGATTTATCGACATTATCTATGTTGTACATATCTATCAAACTAATAAGGCAAGAGCTTGATTCAGTTTGTATTCACTTGATTTTAATTTAATTTAATTTAAATCTCTCACAAATTTTCCAATATATAAAATCACACAAGCAGCAAATTTTACAAGACAGCACTTTGATTTGAAGATTATACATAGTTGTAAAGAACTAGAGACATAAGCTGAAAAGCTATACACTATTTAGAACACACACAGATTAAAAAATGGAATGCATCTTTTATATAAAAAGAAAATACATGTAATATAATAGAATATATATTTTAGTAGAAAAGTCAAGGTGTATGATTCAAGTAATATAAATGCATGTAATATCAAGGTGAACAACAGTACTAATTATTGATATAACATATACCTCAGAAATTGAAGTGTTAGTTGACGTATTCAAGGTTTCAGTACATTTATAAGTGACATAAGTATTATTATTGTTGTGAATTTACATATCAATGGAAACCCATATCTGTAATTAGTCTGTTCAAAGCCAGAAGAGCGTTATCTCTGTTTGCCAGGTTAATGCCCTTCTGGCTCCAAACGGACAAAATATGGAAAGTTCTTTATAAAAATACAGGTGCATTATTAAAATGAATGGAATCATTGTATTCATGATATATTTGGGCATTTACAAGAATTTAAATTCTCTTGTTTTTACATTATGAAAGTTCAAGTCTATTAATTTCACATGCATTTTTATTTTGTGTCCCAACAATTTATCAAGGTGTTGAAATGCAAGTTCATTATTGCCAGTATGGACGGATGTTGGCATTGAACAACTTAATAAGTACTTATACTGCTATATTTGATAATTGCTATTTTTTTTGTGTTCTGAAATAAAGTAGGATTGTATACAATTATCCAGATTTGTATGGTTTATGTACTTGTTGGGAGCTAGTGTAATATCACTAGAAAACATTTATTTTGTTTCAACTGTTCTTGCAAACTTCCTTCTAAGAATCATGAATCTTGTGTCATTCGGTATGAAGGATTTTGGTCACTTTGATACATAGCATGAATAAATTCCTACAATATAACTATGTTAGTTAAACCATAGAAAATAGAAGAGAAAATTGAAAGACATTCTATGGAAAGTACATAACCATTACAATATAAATATTCAGCCATTCCTAATTCACATAAAACACACTAACAATAATCCTTTGACACAGTTGATATTCAACAATGTTTGCGTATGAACATTTCTGTAAATAATACACAATGTATACAAATTATTTAAGCATTAGGATCATACGATCACAGCAAATTACACGCAATTTAAGATATATTAAAGTGCCTTTTCCCTTTCTGATGGGTGCACTTTGCAAAAATGCCTCCCCCCCCCCCCCCTCCATACACAACACCAAAATCATGAAAACCTGACCTCACTGAGGCCCACTGAAACTGCTTGTGTCCAAAGTCATTGTGTGACAATTATCAAATGGAATTGCTTGCAGCAAGGTGAAGCATATTAGATATTATCATGAATAATATCATATCTGCAAAACAATTGCAATAAAAGATAAAGATTCATTTTTTAATTTGTTTCCCTTGTAAATATGCCAGGTTTCTAAATTAATACTTTGTCTTCCTATAAATAGTTATGCACATACAATTATTACAAAAAAAAGTTTTTCACAAACAGCTACGATAACATAATCCTAAAAATCACACATTTCAATTTCAGTTCACATGCTCAATCAATTTGTGAATTATTCAAATTCAAAATCAAACATTTATACAAATGTTATCACTAGAGCAAAACATGGTAGTAGCATTACAACTACAGTTAACATCTGCACCATGCTGAGTATCTTACATCACATTAATTCTGAGGCAAGAAGATAATCAATACAATTAAATAAATGTACAATCTTTTCCCTGGAGAGAGTGTAGTACATCTTGAAAACATTTGAGTTCATTAGCACTTGCTTAAAGGCTACACTGCTCAGGCTCATCATATTAGTACTGTGTAGTTCAATACATGATCATGATAGGTTTACAAATCTATTCTAATTTAAAAATATCTTTCAAAACTATATGTAGCAAAGAACCATTTAATATAATATTAAAGTTGTTGTCAAGCTCTATAAAAAAGGAAGAAAACCTATCATCAAATATATTATTTGCTTACTGTTTTCATTACACATCTTTCAAAAAATTACTTTTCATGATTGATCTTCCATGGAATAAACAATAAATTATTATAAATTATTAAAGCATTAAGTCATCTTCAAATAGACTTCTTCTTCTTCACAGTTCTGTAAAATCTGTCACTTGGCAACTTTACCATTGCAAATGAATACAATATAAAGTATGTTGCTAGGTACACTTGATTATGAGTCACCTGAATGTAGTACTATAGGGAATTTATATAGTCATTTTCATTTAAAAGGAAAGATCATAAATGAGTATCAGCAATGTTGATCCTTCTCATCTGATAATGATCTTCACTGTCAGGTGATACTCTCAATACCGGTGAGATTTCATCTTGCTCCTTCCACGACTGATGCGGCGGCGGTGCGCTGGAAGCTCTTGATTGGAGTCTCTCCTGCTGTGAATCAGCCAGCTGATAGGCCCCGCCCGTCTTGAGCGCAAAGATGAGATCATCAAAGTCCTGTGACTCTGTGTCGTCATCCTGCTCCATAATGACCGGAGCTGGGGGCGGGGGAGGGACGGGTGGAGAGGGATGGAGGCGGAGCTGGGGGAGGGGTGGGGCAGCGGTCGGGAGCGCATCTTGGAAGGGGGTAGGGGCATAGAGGTTGCTACCTTGGATGGATGGTGTCTTGGTATTGAGGATGCTGTGGTGACTGCGTACAGATTGGCGATCCCAATCAAGCTGTAAGAAAACAAGATTTTCTAAGATGTAAACAAATACTTCAGTTGATAAAGATTGTAATGTCATCTGGTAGCTCTGTGTTTAAGTACATGCACTGACACCCTTGTGGCAATAAACAGATCACAAGCTTTCTCTAACAGAATTATGTACATATTATATGCAACATTCACATGTACTGTAGCAATTGCCCTTGGACATTCAGACAGGTCATACTGATATCATATGTTCCACATATTTGAGCGGCTTTAATACAGCAACCAATACTCCCCATCTTTGTCTATCCCACTATCTATCTACTATGTAGCAGTATTTTGACCATGTAACTACAAGTTTTCATTCAATATAAGAACAAGATTTTCATTTTTTTTTACCTTTTCAATAGAACTGATAAAATTGAACAAAAATAATCCAAACAATTTTCTCTCACATCACAACCCCCTATCTTTTTTTCTTGAAGAATTGTAAAATAAATTCATACTGTTTAATTGAAAGAAGATAGAAAAGGCTTGAACGTTATTAGCCTACCTCTGCATGGTGGCTCATCTGACTCATAGCCCTATCAATCATCTGCTGAGCCTCTAGCTTGGTCAGTGTGCCACTCCTTGACACGGATCCCTTCTCGTTCGGCAGTGACACTAGGTTCTGGGTGGAGTAGGTGTGGCTATTGTCCAGGATCAGCCCGGTGTTGTCGTAAGCGTTCAAAGTGTAGTTGCCTTTGGAGGGATGTCGGCAGAGCTGGTTGCGCAGCACCGTGTAGAAGAAGAAGGCGTATAGACCCTGAGGAAAGAGGAGACCAGAGAGATATATTTAGATATACTGCAAACCATGCAACGCAGACTACGCTCATAAGAATGTACAATTAATCAAGGGATAGATAGAGAAGAGGTCTTGTTCCAAGCAAGTTGGTTCTCATCTTCCCTTTGGCAAGGCAAGTACCTTGAACAGGGCCAAGCCAAAGGTCTTCTGACTTGCTATCTCTTTGTGTACAGAAAGGCACTAAAAGATGGGCTGGAAACATCAACAAATTGAGAAAAACAAACTCTACAGATTTTTTTTTTTTTTAATAATTTTATTTCAACTACATATACACATTTCCATCAGAAAATAATTCAGATTTTGAATGCTGATATTACCACTTCAGTTATCAAAACCAAAGAGTTTAAAAACTTCACAAAATTGATGTTTATGCCTTCCTGCTTGGTACACAATGATCTACAAGTGAATGCATGCTTTCTGTTAACAGTTGAGTAATACGGAAGTTGACGAAATACTTAAGTTCTGCCAATTAAAGGATGTCAAATGAAGAACTTTTCCATCTTTTGGTGTTGTGATTCACACATACCTGAAGTATATTGAAGACACAGAAGAGGATAAGTTGCCATAGTTGACTGTATGCCATATGGAGACCTCCCCACAGCCAGGTAAATGCTATGATCAACCAGAACACCAACATCAACTTGTACTCTGCAGACAAAAAGATAGGAAAAATCTACATCAGTACAAAGGATAATGGCAGGGTTTCTCCCCCATCAGTTTGCTATGTTACTGGAAAGGAAAATAAAGTTGGATAAAGTAAATATTGGATACTTCTATTTAGAGCATTTTCACTAAAAAATATTTTCACAAATTTAAAGCTGCCATGCAGTTCTTTACTTCAAAAGGGTCTGACTGTATGTAAAGTGTAAAAGCTAGAATATCATTAGCGAAAAATATCATCATCATCATAATCCTCCTCCTCATCATCACCATATAATCTCATCAGTTCACCATTATCATCATCATCATCACTACCACCATCACCACCACTACCACCACCACCACGACTAAGCTCCTGTTACACCTACCTGTAGTGTTATAGCTGCCCATGTAGACATCATCATACCTCTTCCATTGAGGTTTGACCTGATAAGCCTGTATGACGACTACAAAGACCCCAATCATACACAAGGCTGCAGGTGCCATTGCTGTAGCCAGGGCTGCATAGCCGTTGGGCATGAAACATCTGAAAGAGGATGCACATTATATTATGATATACAATGTACTCTCTGAAGTTCTAGATACGATTCACATTTACATGTATAATGTAAACATAATAAGAACATAAAGCCCAAGCATCTACATAATAATATACTCTGGTAGGACTAATCTTTAGTAGGATCAAGCTTAAGTAGGTCCATAATATGCTTACGAAAGAAGGGGTTGTGTCAAGTCTTGTTGATTTACAAAATGTAAATTACTTTCCCTGCCTTCTAATATTCCTTCATAATAACAATACAATGTGCTAAATGCTGAGCACATGCATGGAGTGCAGGTTGAACAGCTATCCTCATTCCTCTGCTACTTACATGTCTCCATTGCCATGCACATCCCCGTAGATGGCTTGTAGTGTCCCTGATGTCTCGTCTTGGAAGAAATCCCATCCAAGGCCTGCATAGGCTACGACCACATACACCACGATCACTAGCACTGGGAGCGCTGGGGGAGAGGAAACCAGACAAGAAGGGTTAAATGATGTGGCAGAAAGTAAAATTGTAAATTACGTAACAAATCAAAATGACATATGTAAGGAAGTACTTAAACAATAAAATAAATATAAATGTAAAAACATAAAAATAAAAATAAATGTACACTAATCCCAGATTGAAAATATATTTAACAATTATGTCATGATAAACAAATGTATGTATGACCCAAATCACAGCGCTGGAACCATCTGGAACCATTGTTTTTCAAAGATGAAGTATGGTGCAACATTCATCACTGTCTGTAATACATGTATGTTTAAATGTAAGCAACAATGAGATTTTAAGACATCCAAGTCAATATAAATGAACACTTCTTTTTAAAGCGTGTAATGTTTTCATTGTTTAAGTTTTCAAGGACATGTACTTCTCTCTTAAGGGTATCTAAAATATAGGAAAAGGGCTAAATGTCCCTTTAACTTCTATTGAAACGTTGTGCTAATCAAACTACATAGAAGTCAATATTAGACATAAACATTAACATGAACTGCAAAGTTGTTACAGTTAAGAAAGACAAAACTATAACTTACCCCAACCCAGTACAAAGAAGAGAACATAGAACCGCTCGGTGTGCTCATCATTCAAAATAAAGACTTTCCAGAAGTTTACAGACTGTTAAAAGAAAATGGAAAATGAATATTTCATCAGATGGGCATGCATAGTACAATTCCAATTTATTCTTCATTAACTTTCCTTACCTACCTGCATGAGTTAAAAACTTCTTATAGTACAGTACTATATGTGTATTTGCATCAAATTTACATCATGCTTTCTATACAATATATATTCAAATTCAAGACAATAAAATGATTTACTTAGCAAAAGATCATTAAAGAGTCTCAAAGAAATATTGCAAAATAATCTCACTAAACATGCATAATCTCATAGAAAATCTAGAAGAAAACAAATAATGCGTAGTAATACTATTCACAGTAGGCCTAAATATCAAAATGACACTTTCATTTTCAGTACCCCCATCACCCACCCACTAAAGAAGATTCTTCATTTCTTAGAGTTGATAACACTTGAAACAGTGCCATACTTTGCTCTTCAAGCAGGCAGAATGAAAGACAAGGTTTGATGGGGCAGTGAGGACATTGTCCTACCTGTATGAGCATCCATGTGAACTGAGAGAGGAAGAAGAAGTGCATAACCACACCTAGAGCTGAACATCCCTGCACACCAACCCAACTACTGATGTATGCAGAGATTACAAACACAATCTAAATAGTGAGAAGAAGGGAATCAACAGAGATTAAATATAGCATCATTTCTCAAATATCTTCCCGTATATAATAAAACTGCCCTAAGGATGGTGTAAAGTGGATTAAAGGAACATTTTGTAGTTTCCATCATATCAAACAATGAATCGAAGGATATACATGTAGCAAATTGTTATTAGAATGAAGTATTTAGCATCATCTATACCTGGGTGGGGAAAGCAAACTGAACCATTGTAACCCACAGCTCTCTCCTGGAAAATTACATTTTTTTCATTATCACTGGATTATGCAAATTTGACAGGGTACACAAAATTTGATCATTTGCTCACACCTCTGACATTGTTCTTTCTTATATTTTTCATTTCAAAGAATTAACATTTATCTCTTAATTGTCATTGATGAACATAAGATCATAGCATTACAGCATAGAATAGAAGATATATTGCATCAATTTGTACCCTAATTATTACAACTAGTCTGGACTAAAAAGTCAACTTCTAGGGTACAACAATAATACTATAATTGCATTCTAGTATTATTTGATAACTCTCACCTGAAGGGCAAAACATGAAAAGCAGCAGTGGAGTAGGAGCTTAGCAGCAAACATGCACTGGACTGCACAGAAGTAATGAGCTACCAGAGCCAGGAACATCCCACCCTGCATGATGGAAGAAAGAGGATGTCACTTTAATATAAGTCAGAAAACTCATGGCTTTTGTTAAGGGACATGAGGGCAAATAAACCACACCATACTTAAAACACTGCCACTGTCTAGGGTATATTACTGAAGAGAAATGTGATTGCATTAAAATTGTCTTTCATCATTGTTGAGCATTCAATACAAAAAAGAAGAAAACAGCTTTCATTGTCTAGTATCACATGTATTTATTGCAGGATATCAATGAACTATACATTATAAGTCTAAAATAAACATGCAATATCAAACAATGAAATAATTCATGACATATGACATGAACTGACTTATATTTATATAGATTTTCTACATCTTTAAAAAAAATCAAACAAACAAAGTTATATGATGGACTGAACGAATGAAATCACGACCCTTCAAACTTCAGAGAGCTTTGAAGATGATACATATTCATATATATTCCAAATTTTTTACATGATTTTGCGATAGTGTATTAAAATATATCATAACAAAGTTTAAAATCCAATACTTACAATACAGATGAAGCATGATGCGTAGACATACTCATTGTAACCTATCAGATTATCTGTTTCAGCTTGAGCTGCATACTCTGAGAGATGATTGCAAGAACATTCCACAAAGTCACGGTTATCAGACTGCAGGAGGAGGCAAAAGAAGGGAGAGAAAGGTTAGAGTTTGATGACATGTTTCAGAGATATAATAACAACTTAATAATACAACATAGCACTTTGACTCACAAATAAAAACATCAGATCATTTTAAATGAAGGCTTCAAAAATGTAGAGACAAATAGTGGGAAAAAATGGTTAGAATATGAATTAAATTACAAATAATTGGATAGAGGGAAAGACAAGAGATGACAGGGGAAAGAAGAAAAAGGAGGAAAGAAGAGAGAGAGGGAGGGATAAAATGAGATGAGTTGGACTAAACTGAACAGTATGACAAACAGACTGATACAGAAATAAATGAGGAAAACAAAACAATAATAAATCTCCAATCCAAGAACTTTTCTTTGTTACATCTACATATATCGTAGATTTCAAGTTTTATACTACACAGACATTTAAAACACTAACATGGTATAGAAACTATCACAAACTTACCACTACATTACAGAAGCTAGTAAGCCACTGACGGGAGGGGCCATTGTAGAGGATACAGGTTGCTCCTAAGGGTGTAACCCTGGAATCACCGGTGTAGATGCGGTATCGTACCGGTGTCAGGAGGTTGGTGAAGTTTGTCTCTGCCCCCTTGATGCCGACAGACATGACCTGGATAGAGAGCAAAAGATTGTTATATGATGTGAATATGTTGCATTTTGTTAGTACAAGTTTGATACCAATGCTCAATGCATATTGTTAAATTTATGTTGAATATTAATTTAAATTATTTGTATGCGCCTTGAGCATCTCTAGAGATGGATATGTTGCGCTTTATAAATATTGTTATTATTATTATTATTATTATTATTAAACAGAGTCTATATAAAGGCAAATGACTTTGAAATTCAGAGAGACCGAACTATTCCTAATGATAATAATAATAATAATATTTAATTTTTATATAGCGCTTAATACAAATGTCTCTAAGCGCTTTACAAATATACTATTATATCATCTCCTCATTTCCCATTTTACTGGCTTTTTCAAAAGTTCATCAATTTCAATCAGATGCCTGAAAGACAGATATTTAAGGTGAAAGTTACAGAACTATATAAATGATGATTTACCAATTCTATTACACTGTACATCAATGATCATCAATACAAAAAATGCACATAATGCATCTGTTTGGAGTCAGAAGGCATTGACTCTGTGTATACGAGTTAACACCCTTCTGGCTCCTAACGGACAATATTATTATCCAAATAATCTATGATCAGCAATATTAAATTAATAAATTGTTACAACTCTCAACCTAACCATCAAAAACACTTAAGCAATTTATTCAAGGAAAAATATGATCTTGAAATTCAAAGACAAGGAGACCCAACAGATATTTTCAATAAATAGTATGAACACTACACTATACAAATCAAAACAAGCAATTTATAATTGTAGATGTAGAACTAACCTGTTTATTAAGAGTTTCCAAGTCCTCATTACCATAGAACCACTGTTGACTAGTATACTCAATGAAGTGGACATCCTCACACTTAGGATCATTAGAACTCTTTCCATGGAGTTCTTCATTCAGTAGATCAGTAGGTAAGGTGAAGAAGTTGTTCTCCCTGGAAAAAAAAAGAAAAAGAAATTGAAAGAATAGTCAGACAGACTTTAATTTACATTATAGTCATACTACAGTGTATGTACAGTGTATGAATATCATCCTTATTTGTCTATATTATCTACACAGTACATTATTTTCTCCCACTTTTTCCTTGCTTGGTTCCTTTATTGATTATGGTGAAAAGGGAGATGAACAGGGATTGAAAGACGACAAAATGAGAAGAGAAAACCATGATAGAAAACAGAGATAATTCTAAAATAAACCACTTGGAAATGAGTATACACAACTTCAAAATACTTTTTTTAATTCACGTCTATAAAAAATCAGCTACAATGGTATTACTTGACTATCAATCAGTATTAGTTCGTAAACCATTCAGAATTCTACACGTTCAATACTGTAAGGTAATAAATCTCTTTGGAAGCACTCTTATCGGATCTGAGTTATGCACCATAAAATAATGAAATACTATGTAGACTTACTTCCCATCGAATCTATGCCCATTAACGGTATCTGGCAGCCATCTTGCTACCTCCATCTTAGCCGTCTCACATTCCATGACCCTAGGTTCCATGGTCTCACACTCTGTGCCTGTCACTAGGGTGTAGGAGAAGGCTGTAAAGGATTCAGCCAAGGCATAGACACCACGGCTGTCTGACCTAGTAGGCATCATCAGGGTACAATACAAGCTCATCATCTGGTTCTGGATATCACTAGGCAGTCTGCAGGTGGAAGAGGGGACACAAGTTAATGATGAAACAAATCAACCCTTAGAATATATTTTTTTGGGGATAGTTGTTTTCAAATTGTCAACAAACGAATTAGGAGGCACGATAGCTCAGTCGGTAGAGCAGTGGTTTCGTAATCCGGTGACCCGGGTTCGAAACCAAGGCAATGCGCTAGTGCCCTTTGGTAAGGCATTAATCCTCATTACCAGGTCCCTCAGAGAGGACCTAAAGCCGTTGGCCATCTGGTTGCTTACTTACAAGCATTTATGCTTTCTTAGCAGTCAGGTAAAATAACCAACACCACCACAGTTGGCAATAAGGAGACCTACTGTATAAAGGCTATTTTATATGTAACAGGTGCTAATTGTATTTTACCCTATACTACTGATTATTTAAAACTCTCACTTTCCTGTAGATCATTTGCCTCCTATAAAATACTTATCACACAAAAATTCAAATACCTAACAACAAATCAGATAAAACTCTGCTTATAATATGAATACATAATGACCTACATGTATTGTTATAATTGTCTTGTTGAAGTACAGAGAGAACAATACTGTGAAAACAATACTCAAACTTGCATCTTCCAAGATAAGAATAACAAGAATCTAAATTGTACTAACATAACTGTTACAAAACTAGGGTGCTCAACTCAAATTCAGAAAGGAACTTTGACACACTTAGATTAGCGTCATACATTTGGTGGATATAACACCAATCTAGAAATGTCACTGGAACATTATGCAAATGTTGACTGTATACACAGATGTTTCACTCCATCCAAACTTTGAACTTACCTTCTCCTGTAACCCTCAGCTACTATGTTGTTGAGACTGTCTGTTACCAGGGCAACCTGGTTGCTACTCAGCTCTAACCTCACATGGTCTGGCAGACTCTGCAGAACACTGGTGTTCAAAGAAATAATAAGAACATCTATAGATTGTATCATGGATCAATGATGGCATATCCATTAATTTCAACAAAAACAAAAAAAATCAATCCTCAAGGTAAACAGAGCCTGCTAAACACAGAGTTCTTACAGGCATAGCTCAATAAAATAAGAATCAAGATAATTTGGCTAAAATCTTAGATACAAAAAATTCATTAAAAATCTATTTGATATCCACAGTACATGTAATCTGTAAGCTCAGACAAATCATCAACATTATCAAACTCAGTAAAGACAGTATGAATAAGAACGATGTATTTTTAGATGAAGGATTATTCAACTACCATATTAGTGTGATCCAAAAGACAAGAGATGCTATTCCTGTTCTGCTTCTTCTTTGCTTCTTTCATTTTATTTCTTGTTTTTGCTAAAGCTGTTTGCCTAATTCTTCTTCAGGTGTCCATGAACTACAAATGAGACCTTTTGCATGACTAGTTATGATAGTATGCTAGCTGTACCTCGCTGTAACTATAACACACAAGAATTCATTTTCTTGCTTTCTTTCCATCACTGAAGACAGACTAAAGAACACTCAGATTCCTACCTATATGAATATATCTTACAATGTACTGTATATAGCTATGGCTCAACACTATCAGGCGCCAAGGGCACTTGGGCCATTAAAATCTACATCCAGACCCCCAAATTGTGAAGTGTCTTACAGCTTAATACACTTGACTTACTTGTAAATGCCTGAATTGGTAGTGTCTGTGAGTGAGGTATACCAGGTGTCCCATACATCAGAGGAGGTTGTATCTCCGCTGATGATCACATCAGCAGTACCATAAGAGCTTTCCACACTGGTAAGAGGATATAATAACAATTATTACTCCATTCAATTGGTAGATCACTGAATGGTACGACATAATATCATTTGAAGCTAAACACCTTGCTGCTAGGCACATAAGATAATTGTTTACAATATATGACTACATAGAAGTGTATTTAATTTAGAGCTGGCATTTACTTATTTTCATGGCTAGAACATTGTATGGAAAGATTATTTCATACTAATAACAATTATGTCACACTCATCCAGTTTTATTTGACCTAGAGTGATAAATAGACAAAAACGACAATAAGAAAGTTGATCCACCATTGATCTACACACTATGTCTGCAGCATTCACAATGCCTTATAGCCATGAGATGAGTAATGAAAGGAAAAGGGAATAAAATTAGAAAGATATAATAGAGAGTGAAATATGGAAAAGAAAAAGAAATGATGAAGGACTGACCTTGCTCCATTGTTAGCTGTGGTCAGCCTGACTTGGAACTGCTTGGGGAAATTCCCTGATGAGGCTGGATTGTCAGGTGTTAGGGTTATGGTGATTGGTAAACGACGCTGTGACATGAAGAAAACAAAATTGTCTTAAACAAAGAATAATCAAAACATTCCAATCACTTGAAAATCAATTCGCAATACATTTTTTTAAATGTGAAAATATTCAAAAACATAATTTGTTGTACCTGGCAAACTTTTCTTCAAATTTAGCTATTCTAAAAACCAATAACATCATCAAGCCATATTGCTAAGAGTTACCAAGGAAAACAGATTAACATGGCCTGGATGTATCACATAATTTAAAAAAAGTAAAAAGATTGAAAAACACACTCATGGTCTGTATAAATTAGATGTAACTCATTCTTTGATTGTAGATGTGAATTTGATTACTCTTTTGATTAGCTGAATCACACATATATTACAGATCTCTCATCAAACATTAATTGACAGAAAATCTCTAAATCTTGAATCCTTACTTGTCCAGGAGCAAAGACAAGTGTAGAAGTCTGAGAGGTGAACTCTGCACCCCCTATGGCTGGGTAGAGGGTAACACCTGCTGTGGTGGTAGGTGACTGGAGCTGACCGGTTGACCAACTAACTCTGACCGTCTTGGAGGTCCCTCCGACCCTTTCAGCTGTCAGGCTGACCTCAACAGCTGAGGTGTCAACACTCATGAGCCTTCAAGGAGGAGACAAAAATATGTTTTTGATGGAAAGTAATGCTAGATATCCAGGTAGACATTGATATGGGAGCCAAGGAAATCAGTTTATATATTTGACAATATCTTTTTTGATGTAAGGAGCAAATATGTTTGTACGGTTTATTAGGTAATGTGAATATTGTGATGGCATATCCACATCAGAATGTTGCTGCTGATACAACTTACTTAATAGATATATATCTTCAGCTTCTTATTCACCTGCATCAACAAAGGACATTCCTAGCAATTTTTTTAATTTTCTTATCTATTGAATATGCTATCTCATGAAATAAAAAAATATTTTATATTTTCTTTGGGTTTGCTGATGAACCGTTTTAATGCTGTGTTCAGTTGGGATATATTTCTTACTTGTATACATGTGTATTTGCCCTAAGAATCCAAATAAGTCAAGGATCAATCTAAAAATTTACCTTGATTCAATAGAGAACTGCAGAAGTCCATTTGGGAAGTCACTATCAGCCATGGTAACGTTAGCAAACAACCTGCTGCTGTCAGCCAGACTAGCCCCTTCTCCCACTCCAGTCAACTCAATCAGGAAAGACTGAGCAAACTCAGGATCCTCATCATCCCTGAGGGTGATGGGAAGGGAGCAGTAGCGAACGCTGCCCTCACAGGTGACCTCACCACTGACCTCTGTCAGCTGATCAAAGAGGTCAAGGTCACCTACAAGGTCCTCTGATTGGCTGTAGGTTGCCCTCCAGTTGACCTGTAGGTCAAGGGGTAAATATGTGGATGTAATACTACAGTGCTTTCATTGCGCATACCACTGCCATAGCGTCTCTTTGTATATAAAGGTTAAGAAAATATCGAAATAATATCACATCATACAGTGGAGAATGTAATTACATTTAGTAACTCTGGAAAGTGTATTGTGAATAGCAATATGACAGTAAGATAAAAAGATATAGAACTTTCATTTCGAATCTATATGAAAAGTGCAACAGAGCACCAGTTTCAAGCTCTTTTCTTTGAAGAGACTTAGTCTGCAAAATACTTTTAGCAGCATTATCAACGAGTCCAGAGTAATTCAATGAGAAATGCACATGAAATTAGAGTCCAAATCTCAATAAGAAAAAATAAAAAATAAAGAAACTCACTGTAACATTTTCAAAGAAAGCTTCTCCGCGATCCAGAGTGAGCATAGCGACTGGGTTCATATCCTCATACACAGTAACATAGAGGGATGCATCAGTCAATCCAATGATACCATTATAATTATCATTGCCTCTGATGATCACTTCTGTAAAGCCCTGTGAATGCCAAACAAAACAGATTTACACGTTCATGTAAATAAGACTTGATAGATTCCAAAAGGTACTGTAACAAAACTGTCAAAATAGCCCTATTCGAAGATCACAAGTATGTTTTTAAACAAAATTACTCAACTTCGTCTCCAAACGTTTTTTTAAATACATTTGGCTTTGGACAAAATTATGACCCTTCTAATTAGGTAGTAAGAGGTATATTTGTGTGAGAAATACTAGAAAATATGCAAAATCAAAAAACCAATATGTTAGCAAAACTGAGTTGAATACATGGACTCTAATCAATATATGATTAAGGGCACAAAGCATGTTTTATCATACAAAGGAATACCAAGTATCCCCCCTCAAAAATAAAAAAAAGTCTATTGTCATGACTTTTTAATTTGCTACAAAATGTTAAAAATAAAGAGCCCCCATGATATGTATATTGTGGTCACCGAAACATTTCCATACAGGATATTGAACAACATTCAACAGCACTGCATAAAATTATCCCATTTCTTTTTACCTTCAATCCTCCATCACTGTCTCCCTGAGCGATACGAGCCCCGCCTTCAGGTTGGCTCAAGTAGATGAAGAAGATTTCATCTGGTTCAGGGATGTCATCACTGTTCACTGTCAGGTATATATTTGTACTCGTCTCTCCCTCCTTGAAAATTTATAAAAGAGATTTAAATCGAGAAATTTTAGCATATACCAAAAATATTGCTTTATTCCACATAATGAAATAGCCATATCTGATATTTTGGTAACAGCAGCCACAACAATAAAACAGTCTAACATTTTGTACATTTACTTTCTTGGACAAGGTAAACAATATGCCATACTACCCATAGTAAAATTTGCTCTCATTAGAATAGCATTACAAATTTTGCAAATTGTCTCATGATCCAGCTTCTTGCAAGCAAATGGGTTTTTAAATCATGAGAGGAGGACTTAAAACAGTGATATTTAGATTCTCCTGAAATGGGCAACAAATACAGTATGTAAATAATAATGCAAATCAGAAGAACTCCCTATACTTGTACTTTCCTCGAAGTGCTTCCACATCTCCCCCTCCCCCCCCCCCCCCCCCTCTCTCTCTCTCTCTCTCTCTCTGTCTCTCTCGCCGAGATTCTCAACGGTCATTTCACTCAACCTGCAAACAGGTGCATTAAAATATATATTTGTTTGAATTAGTGTGAGCACTGTTCGTCTTCTGGTACTCACATTCAATACAAGTTCCTCTTCAAGGAGCTGATAATCAGCATCAACCTCGGCTGACTCCTGCCCCTGTGAGTTGGCCAACGCTTGCTCGATTGTGTTTGACATGTTGGTTACTTGACCAACGAGGGCAGCCTGCCATAATTCCCCACCACCGACAGTTTGAGCTCTGACGCGAATGGTTCCATAAGATCCACCTTCACAAGAGAAATGCATGATAAAATCCACTAGTTTGTATAATACGACAAGAAAAGAAATTCACATAGATGTATATTTCTAACAAATGTATTACCACCATTTTCAATATTTCAAATACACATGTATACTTTCCCATTCTTCGTAAAACAAGGCTCCACAAGGAATTATTCAAAAACTTACATAAGATTGCAAGTAAATGCATTAAATGTATTTAGTAAATACATTTTCCCATAAACTGCAGAATTTTTCAGATGCAGGTCCACAAATGAGATTTCATTATATATCCCCTTTTACTGTAGAAAACCTGACCACTGTCTCATGAAACAAGTCATAAATACCAGTTTGCTAACATCCCATTGAAAGAAACACAAGTCAATTTCATGGCATGTGTTTTAAAGGGACGACGGCAAACTTGTACTTATGATGTTTTCATGAATCGATGCCCTGTTTTCCTATTCAAGGGGTATTCTAAGTTTGTCATCATTTATGCTTGACCTTACCTGTTCTTTGGACTGTGAATGTGAGTGTCTTGATGACCTTACCTGTTCTTTGGACTGTGAATGTGAATGTCTTGATGACCTTACCTGTTCTTTGGACTGTGAATGTGAGTGTCTTGATGACCTTACCTGTTCTTTGGACTGTGAATGTGAGTGTCTTGATGACCTTACCTGTTCTTTGGACTGTGAATGTGAGGGTCTTGATGACCTTACCTGTTCTTTGGACTGTGAATGTGAGGGTCTTGATGACCTTCCCTGTTCTTTGGACTGTGAATGTGAGTGTCTTGATGACCTTACCTGTTCTTTGGACTGTGAATGTGAGTGTCTTGATGACCTTACCTGTTCTTTGGACTGTGAATGTGAGTGTCTTGATGACCTTACCTGTTCTTTGGACTGTGAATGTGAGTGTCTTGATGACCTTACCTGTTCTTTGGACTGTGAATGTGAATGTCTTGATGACCTTACCTGTTCTTTGGACTGTGAATGTGAGTGTCTTGATGACCTTACCTGTTCTTTGGACTGTGAATGTGAGTGTCTTGATGACCTTACCTGTTCTTTGGACTGTGAATGTGAGGGTCTTGATGACCTTACCTGTTCTTTGGACTGTGAATGTGAGGGTCTTGATGACCTTACCTGTTCTTTGGACTGTGAATGTGAGGGTCTTGCTGGAAGTCTCTGCTTCATCCGTTGCCATAGTAGCTGGGGCGAGGCTTATCACACCATAGGGATCATTGCTGCCCTCTATGGTGACTTCAGCCGTGGAGTAGATGGAACTGAGCTTGGGGCTGATGCCTAGAAATAAAACATACAGAAAGGTATAATCTGGATTATTTATCAATGTTAAATTTTTAGCCCTTACAAAAGTGTAATAAGGAATTTCAGCGTCAGAACAGTCAAATAATGCCTTGATTTATGTTTCCTATAGATGGTTGAAAATGTTATGATGAATAGGCAGAAGGTGATACAAAATAAATCTAAAAATTCCTTTAATTGGTATTGGCAAGGTACATTCAAAAAGGAATTTCAGCAGGGCATATTAAGGAGTAGAATTCCCCCCCCCCCCCCGCCCCCCGGCAGGGTAACCAAAGGACTATTAAATGTGTCAATGCATACTTTCAAAATTGAAAACTGTTTTGATCCTTATATCTCACCTCCTACATGTAGAATGCTTCAAGATCTGAATTTTATCAAATTTCAACCTAGAGAGAAAACTTTCCTGCTAAGGAGCTAACATGTACAAAGTATTGAGCAACAAGTAATCACCTTGGCCTGATCCGATGGGGAGCCTCTGTACACCAGTGATATTAACAAAGAAGATCTTATCCAACTCTGGCTCGAGGTCCTCTAGGAGGGGTACTATGATGGTAGCACTACGCTGTGTGTTGGCTAGAGTCACGGCACCGCTGGTAACAGCAGTGTAATCTTCACCCGGTACAGCGGTGTAAGCAACGGTGTTGTAGGTGATGCGGACACTGCCCAGGGTACCCACAGCTCGTTCCAGCACCAGAGATACCTGTAATGTACAACATTGTTAGTTTCACTTTGCTTTCAATTATGGAACTTCCGTCTTACTGACATGTGTCTATTACATCTATGTCTGGAATTTTCTTCCCCTCTTACTGTGGCTGAATTATTTGTTTCTGACCTTCAAATTCTTATATCACTACTTTATAATAGGTGCTGTACTGTACATCTGTTTCATGTGCTGAAACCTTTTTTCAAATGTTTCTTGATCTTGACTTTGTTCCCTACCTCTTTCTGTATAACTCATACATTTTTTTGCTGGCAAAATAAAATAAATTATTATCTATTGAGAACCATGCAAATTGATGTTAACTCATTTTTTTATATCAAGTGTTACTGCCCCTGTGGCTATTAACAGCCAGTCTCATGTCTTTCATAATGACTCCTGTCTTTTCACAAGATGATGTTTAGACCTCAAACAGGAAGAAGTCTTGATCTCCATATACCTTCAATGGAAAATTTACAAGTACTTGCCACTGAAAGAATTGCCTTTTAAAATCTTCAAGATATAATAAGTCAAAATGATCCACTTTACCTGCTGGTCTGATTCTTGAACCACAAGCTGTCTTGAGCTATCAGTGAAACCCACGATGCCATACGGATCAATCTTAGCTGTATCATAGCTATCCCAAGCCATAGCACCTCCAGCAACATTGGAGAATACATTGGTGATGTGTACAGCAAACAGCTCAGTGTCTATACCAGTTGGGCTCAGCTACAAAGACAAAGGAAACAGGGACAATAATGGCTCAGTAAGTCTAACTCACATTTGGCTATCACCTCTCATGAATGTACTTTTTTATATATATATATATATATATATATATATATATGCAATCAGGTGTTAGATGTTAGGTGTTAGTTGTTAGGTGTTAGCTGTAAAGTGTTAAGTGTTATAGGTTAAAATTCTTTTTATGTCACAAGGGACCAGCCCTAAATAAGACTTAATTGTTCTTTCTTGCTGGTTCCTCATTCATATATATATTTGTATTTTATGTTTATCTTTCGTTATGTTATTTGTTTGTTCTTTACTTATCTGTATATATCAATGTTATAATTATGTATGTTTTTATATGATGAATGGAATAAAAAGAATTGAATTGAATTGAATACCTTGCAACATACATGGATATATATTTGTCTGTTCTTCCTGTGGTAAAACAGTAGTCACATACATATAACGTGGAGGTCCCAGGTTTAGAAACAAAGTTGATATGTGAGTGCCCTCCAGCAAGGCATTTTAATCCTCCATTACCATGTCCCTCAGATGAGGATTGAATACATATGCCCACTGGTTGTATATTCATAAGCATATGTATGTGCTGCTTGCTCATTAACAGTCAGGCAACTTAAATATCAACATCCAAAATCAAGTCATTCCTTCTTCCCTTTTCTTTGATTTTTCTTTCCATCAAGACTGCAGATTTGTTTGACAATTCAAATTGATGTTGATCTTCAACAACCGTTAAGAAGCATATAAAGACGTAATACATAATTATAAACTCATTCATGTACATGTACTATACTAAAGGTCATAAATGGGTGGTTTAGCCACAGCACATGGAGTGTTAATAGAGTCTGAGCAGTGGATGAGTGGCATTAACTACTCACCGTAACAGTAAAAGTCTCTGTGGATTCTCCTTGAACGAGCCTGATTTGACCTGTGCTAGGGGTCACAGCTCCGTCCATGAATCCTGCTGGGATATCACCAGACTTGTGACCCATCTGCCATGTGACATCCACATTGCCATAAAAACCCAATCGTTGTATGGAGAGGGTGACCTCAAGGGTTGCTGCAAAAATGAGGATGGCAAATTGCAAGTAAATTCACTGTTTGTTAGTTTATTACATTCAATTGGTTTATGCTGTCCACTGAAGAGAGAGAAAAACAAATCTTAAATTTACTGACTGGATTTTCTGTTCAATATTGCCGTTTATTAGCACCAGTATCCATGTTATTATCAATGTAAGATATGCCATCACATTCATTTGAAAGACTATTGGAACACATTTCAAAACTATCATTGTTACAAACACCAGCCACTTTTCTCACCACTATCATCACCATCATCATCAAAATCACCATTTATCTCAGTTCTCTGTAATGTGATATTTCTTTTCACATCGACTAAGAAATTCAAAAGGTCTGAAAAAAGGAATAGCAATTTGTCTATTCTTACCATCATCCACCATGATCCCTGTCTCGCTGAATCCAACCTGTGAATTGGCAACTTCTTCTGGCACAACAATGGTGGCGCTATCACTGATTGAATCTATCGATGGTGGTATAACAGCTAAGAAAGGAATGATTAAATCAAAGTTATCAAAACTAGTTCAAGCACAAATAACACCACCATCAAAGATACACAAAATTCCATATCTCACACACAAAATTATCTTCTTTTTGTGTATTATGAAAATCATTTTATGTTTAAATTTTGTATAGATGATAAACGATATAAAAGACATTTGTATTACTCTTTAATTTGATTATAATTCCTACACTGATCATTACACTTCATGAACTATTTCATGTATTCACCTATGTACTTCTAATGTATTTGTTGGAATTAAAATAAAAGAATTGAAATGAATTGAAAAAGATCTACAGAAAGCAGTTGCACAATTTATAACTAGCATGTTAAAAATATATAGCTAATAATATTACAATTATTGCCCATCAATTTCTTCAAGGTGATTTGAATGATCGCATCTGAAAAATACCAGCAATGTGTAGGACCATAAAGATGTACATGTATCAGCAGTAGGACTTACGTGTATCTGCTCCCATGTAGGTGACCGAGGTGAGATTGAGTGTGAAGGTGGAACCCTCAGCTAAAAACACATCATTGTTGAGAAGGGCAACTTCTTCCTCACACTAAGATAAGAATGAGAGGGAGGTTTGAAGAGAAATGAATTGTATTCAATCCATTTACTACTGCATTCTGTCACTCCCATAGGCTTTGATACATGAAACAACCTGTCCTGGTTAGCAAAGGGTTAAAATTCCTTTTCATTCTTTAATCCATCAGAATCAATCTCTGCTAAAGAACAATGTTCTTCTGCAGGTATATACAATAAATATTTCCTTCTATGCATCAGGAGCATTTTGTGACAAGTCCTTCAGGGGAAATGTAAATAAACAGTCCTTTGCAAATATTTGGGATCATTAAACTGGAAAACCGAGCTTAAACTAAACTTAAATCCTGCGGCTTAAATTAATTTTGAAAGTGTGACGTAATATCTTGATTGAGCAGCTCTTTTGACTTTTCAATAAGGTAATATAATACACCCATTGTGACAGTGATAAACTTATATGTATTCTAGCTTACCTGAGTTTCACCGTCTCTACACAGAATGGATCCACTGCTTGGTACATAGGCACCTGTCACACCCTGGATTGGAAAAGGAAATTTAAACAAATATACTTGTAGAAATCAATATTTACTAGAACCACTGCAATCAATTATTTTGAAATAATTATCATGGTCTGTAAACAATTTTTAAATTTACTTGGGCATTCATATACCTACATGTAACTGTTCTGCCTCATTCCTCTCCCGTCACTCCCTTCTTCCTCTCTCCTCTCTCTCCCCTCTCACTCCCCTCTCACTCCCTTTTCTCTCTCTTTCTCTCTCACCCCCTCTACACCTCAAGATGCTTTCATCCTGATGCATTTCTTCCTACTACCTTTTTCATAATCAACCTTAATCCTCACTTTAAGTATTCCTCTCTATTCAATTTTCTCTACCATTTGTCTCCCTCTCTCTCCTTCTCTCTACCTTTATCTAATTTGATTTCACTATCTCCTTGACGTCTGTTTCAACAAATAGGATAAATAAGGACAGGGGCAATGACAAAGATTGACACTATCTGACATAATCAAATTTATCTGACGTAATTAAATTTATATCAGATTTGAAGAATGAGAACATAAATAGAGACAGAGAGAGATTTAAAAAGAATATAACAAATTACAACTACAAAAGTATAAATAGATCACTGCAATCCTACTCACATCATTGTACTGAAGCTGGTAGCCTATCTGAACATCTCCTACTGTACCAGCTGACCTATCAATGGTTAGTCTCAGACGACGTCTGTTGTTACCAACCAAGATGATGGTCTGGCTCTCATCCATCACACTGAAGATGCCATGAGGGTCATCATTTGCACTGAACAATAAAAGATAAAATGTATGACTCCTTTAGTCTTTAAAAAAAAACATAACTGGAAGACTCTAGACTTCACGATTGATTGTAACGTTTTATTGATATTCACAAGGAAAGTAAACATAAAAATAATTTTATGCCTACTTTATCCTGCCTGTTGAACTCCCTCATTGTATCAAAATACCATTAAAACATCAACATAAAAATAGAAAATAGAATTTGAAATGTATTTTCGAGCATATCAGCTTGATATGTTTACATAGTAAATGCCTTGAGCATCTACTTGGATGGACTGGTGTGCATGTCCATCATGATTCAGATTGATTATTGTACATTAAGTATTTGGCATTAATTGAGAATGTGTGTTGATGAAGGGTTTGTACATGTAGGTACATGCACACAGTTGCATTTTTACAAACATGATCTGATTATTACATCCAGAAACCAAAAGATACTACTCAGGATTATGCTAAAAGGGTTGGCCACTAGACCAACTAAAATCTTTCTAAACAATTATATTTTCTTACTTGACAAAAAACTCAGATGTGTGGAGGACAGGGTCTATCTCTGCACCCCCATCGGCAGAAACAAGGGTAACAGTGAACCCCTCTTCTAGCTCCGGTAGTGTATCAGGGAGCACCTCCAGGAGGATGGATGCAGTAGCAATGTTCTCAGGGAACTCTACTGTTCCATTGGTAGGTGACATGTCCGTTGTGATGGTTTGGCCCAAGGAGTCTCTTACCTCCCAATAAACCTGTATAAAAATGGTGGACATTGAGACTATGACTTCTCCCGTATATGATCTAAACCAGTCTCTGATATCACCATTAAGATCATCAATATTATTATCACTCCAATCATCATGACCACCATCATCATAACCACCATCATCATCATCATCATCATAACCACCACCAATAACATTATTATCAAGATCATCATCTTCTTCTTCATCGTAATCATCAGTCGTCATCATTGCCATAGCTATCATCTAATCATCACCATCATACCAACACCACCAAGACAACCACAACCAGAACTACATCTATCCTCACCGATGGCAACAACAACCATGACAAGATAATCATTACAACATTACCACCAACAACATCATTTTCATTACCAATAATATCTTCTTCTCTAACCGATATTTGTCATCACCATCAGCATTATTTACATCATAATGATCTCAATCATCATCTCCATCTGCACTATCCTCTTACCTGTATATCTCCTACCAATCCCTCTCGTCTGCTCAGTGGAAAGGCTACTCTCTGAGATGGGCTGCCATCAGACGGCTCATCAAAGTAGCGAGGCTGAACAGATTCTGCTATGAACTGAACTATTCCATTAGGGTCCCCATACTTCAGAACCTGCAGATGATAAAAATATGCTCTAAATGAGTATCTCTGAAAGGCTTTGAAAATGAATACTGAAAATCATGAACGATTGATAACAGACTGTAGTTCAAGGAATAAAACTGAATTCAAATTATGTTTATCTGATGAATTCAATAATGTATATCTTTAATTTATTCATTCACTCTATTCCCTTTACTAACATGAAGTATTAAGAATATTTTTAGATTCTATACACTTTAGCCTTTATCACCTATTTACAATCCGTTGCCAATGAGAATGGACAATATTTAAAACCATAATTCCAAACACATTTTTTGAAGTTCTGATGCAAATGTTTGAAGGGTCTACAAGTGAATAGAAAGAAATAAGAGTTAACAACAAAATATAATCTTCTGAGAGCCAGAAAGGAGCTTATAGTCTATGTATTGTGCTATTAATCAATGGCTTTCTGACTCTCGGTAAAACGGTGTTGCAATCACTGATGAAGCCACCCTGGTATAAACAAAAACAGAATCAATAAATAAAATAAATAATTGAATAATAAACTTACAGTGAGCCTAGCCTGCTTTCGTCCATTATCAATCTCTCCTGTACTGACAAGCTGGTAGATCTCTACTATAAACATCTCCTCCACTTCTGGTCCTACAAATGACTTGACCTGCAGGTCAAAGGTCCTTGACCCTCTCTGACCTGGGCCATAGGTCACAGACCCCTGTAGGAAGCCACCTGGTGTGGATATATCCTCAGTTGTTTGCAGGATGGAGTCTGTGTTAGGGCCTAGTATCCTCCAACGAACCTGTCAACATGATGACAATGATGGAGAGAGTTGAGGATGATGCATCTTATTTGCATATTATTCACTACTATTCACACTTAAGAAATATATTCTCTGGCCCAATAATACTGTATCTATGATGAGGTTTTGTTGGTGGCCAAAGCTACATCTCTTAAATGTCATAAAGATGGGTGATATTTATAGGTAAGGATTATCTTATGCTGTTGAGCAGATGTTTAGGGGCAACACATAGATTTTGGAGTTATAGAAAAATCCCTTTCAACCCCTTCCCTCCCCCCCCCCCCCTAAAAAATATAAAACAAATTAAAAAAAAAAACATGGAAAATAAATTACATGAATAAACATGTATTAAATGTGAGCTGGTCTGAAATCATCTCAAATCATCTTCTCCCAATGCCGAAGCTAATTGTTTACTCTTTCAAATATTAGAAGTGCTATATTTTGCAATATTGCTGTCTTCCACTGCAAAAAAGCAATTGAAGATTATTCTGAATGGGACCTCCACAAGATGCTATTGATAGTGGTTGTCATGGCAATCATATCTTACCTCTGTCCCAACAAGGTATTCATCCAGACCCCCTGAGAGTTCAATGGTAAAGGTCAGATCCCTGTCGTTAGGAGGGTTAGCAATCACCCTGTCAAGGTTTGACAAGGTGAAGCCAATGAGACCATCAGGACCATCACTCTTTGATATGACGACCGTCGCTGTGAGATTACCCCCAAGCAGGGCGCCCCCTTCTGTTCCCGTCAGGCGGATGTTAAACGACTCCGAGAACTCCTTCAAGGTGTCGTCGATGATGGTGATGGGGATGAAGGCTTCTGATTGGCCATCGGCCAGGGTGATCTTTCCGCTGGTGAGGAGGAAATCGACACCTCCAGGTGTGGCATCCAGAGGCTCTACCTCGTAGGAAACGCTGACCAAACCAAAGTTACCAGCGTTGCGGACTAGAGGAATCATGGCGGTGCCAATATCCTCTTGGACTGTAAACAAAACACAACACATGTATAAGTTAGCCACTAATGAATCATGCTGAATTCATGTACAAGAGGTGTTGTAAAGGAGAATTCTCTCAAACATGGCTCACTCTAAAATTCATTATCAATATGGAATGTGTAATAAAACACCCCTTTTTCCTTAATAGTACACAGTTTTTATACAATCAAAAACAACCCCCCCAAAAAGGAAAAATAATAAATAAATAAATAAATAAATAAATAAATAAATCACTTACCTTCATATAGAGACTTGTCAAATTCAACGATTCCTTCAGCATTATCATTGGAGCCAATGATCACAGTCTTCACAGACAGGGAACCTAGCACTGGTGGCATGTCACGCTGAAGTCCATTGATTGGTGTGTAGTCCGTGTTTCTGTAAAAATAAAACACAGCAAAAATATTCACCATTTTGTCTGGTTTCTAGTAATTTCCTTTTCAAAGTTGACCTTCACAGATCTTTGACCATTGTCATAATTTCCTTACATGTAAGTATAAGCACATCAAGTATATTGGCATAAAAGAGCCAATTATTGTTATGATACTCATTTGTGTGACCATGCATTAATTCATACAATACAGAACATAGAAATTGCCCTTTAAAAAAAGATAAGCCATTCAATAGAAATCACAAAAATTAATGACATGTTCAGAATTTGCTACTGCATGCTATCACATCCATGTTTAAGCACCCCACAATGATTACACAGATACCACAGACAATGCCACTGTCTTCTATACCTGTTGCAGAAACTAGATTCATGGTCACACCAACTTAACCTACCAATACACTAAAAGCAAGCACGTTTCAAAATAGCAACTCATTTATAAAGAATAATATTAACAATAATATGTCTTGTTTACCCAGGGTAGCCTCATCACTATTTATACTGTTCTCCCTGGTGGCCCTGCAATCATATTATTACCCCAGTCATCGGATTCAGGCAGCACACAATGTATGCACATTCTTCACTCCCTGGGGAACATTCCAGCCAGGCGTCATTTTTACAAGCGCACATTTGCTAATCTCAGCACATTAGCTTTCGCATCCTACCGGGTACCCATTTAACACCTGGGTGGAGAGTGGCAAATGTAGATCAATGTCTTGCCAGAAGGGAAGTGTATAGAGACAAACTTACGTTGGAGCAAGGAGCCGTACAGCAGTAATGTTGAGCCAGAATGCTTCTGGTCCTTCAGGGATGGCATCCTGAAGGATTGCTAGGGTAACGTCCAGGCTGTCTACACCCTCTGAGAAGGTCAAGGCTCCGGTAGAGGGTGCAAAGTCTGCACCCTCCTGGGCGGAGTAAGGCGTGGTGGTGTAGGAGACCTGCACCGTACCAAAGATACCTGCGTTTCGCACAATGGGGATGGATACCTGGAAGAAAAGAAAGAAATGGAACAGATATAGTTGATTGAAGTATTTGATAACTGGTTCTCAAACATTCTTAATAAAGCTTGTGTTTTTTTTCTTCAGTCCTGTGTATTCACTTCAGTGTTCACAAAAATCACTCTCTCTCTCTCTCTGGCAAATCTTTACTTTTTATTTGACTGTCTTTCCCTCTCATATCTAATGATGTATCTAGTAATCAGACAACATATATTATTCATGTGTACATTTTAAAATATCTGCATAAATAAAATAAATTCTCTACAGCTTGCAATAAAGTGAAAATATAGGGCCATTACAACTTAACTGCAGGAAAATATACCCTTTCAAATTAACATTAGACCAATGCATCATGATAAGCTACAAAGTTCAACACTTACCAAATTATCATCCTCACTGACGGTTATCTCAGAGGGCAGGTCAAACTCAAAGACACCAAAGGGATTGTCACTGGCTACCATGACGATGGTTGCCTGGCTACCCCCAGAAGCGGAGTCAATTGAAGCACCTCCTGTTACCGAGGCTAGAACCAGCATGTAGGTGGTCCTTAGCTCTGGTATTGAATCATCTAGGGTCTGGATATGGAAGGAATAATTAATATAAATTTAAACAAATTGGCATTATTGTTGTCATATCAATTATATTTCTGAGTCAACTGTGCCTGATAGGGTAAAGTAACTTAATTACATGGACTACGATCCTCGATCTCACCTCTTCTTCTTCTGGTTTCAGATTTCTCCATTCTAGTTATCTCTTTTCTTATTATCTTTGAACACAGAAATGTCTAAACAGCTTCACATCTGATAAATTTACATTATCTAAATCAATATTTGAGTTTTCATAAATATAATTTTTAAATCTTTTTATACAGAAATACCATTCCATCTATGGGTCTTTATTGACTCTAGCAGTGTCCATTGTTCAAAATTGATTAAATTGATTGATTTAGTGAAAAAGACAAATATGAGTCTAGATAGATCAGACGAGTAGTTTAATAGTGAAACTTAATAGTAAACAAAAACGTGTATTGGTAAATGAAAAAACAGGTTATGCAATCAAAACAAAATATGTGACGCCTGACCAATTCTCACCTGTATGGTAATAGTAGCATTCTGCTGTCTGTCTCTGAAGATGATCTGTCCTGACGTCTCTAAGAAGGCATTATCACCGGCCGGAGAGATCTGCCAGTTGACCGTCACTTCACCAAAGATGCCAGCACCACGAGTCACACTGATCAATGCAAGTTACACAGGAAATATTGTGTATTAAAGATAATCAAATCATAATACCGAATATTGTTGTAATAAACTGAGGTAACATAAGTGTCAGATATGTCTTTGTTAGAGCATGATATTTGTTGATATACAGTGAAATAATTGCAACTGCAGTTTTAGTATTACTAAGACAATGTCTTTAAGAATAATTGCTTTCTTCAACTTTATAGCAAAAGTGAAGTATAGAAAATCAATAGAGCATGCCTCAAGAAACCACATGAATTCATAGAGATGTTTTTACTGTAAGGTCTCAACAAATGATATAACTAGTCTACAAATAAAAGTCATAGGCCAACATAAAATTCAGGTTCATAAAACTGCTGTGAAACATCAAAAAAATGAATGCATGGGTGTGTTTGACACCATACTGTTCAATAGTTCAACTCATTAAAAGAATAAAGTTACATGTAATATTTTAAAACGTAAGTGAGGATCGAGAGAATAAAGACAAAAAAACCTGCAATTCTCTTTGTAGCCAGGGAGGCATTAACAAGAAAGGAAAAAAAAGGATTATGCATGAAATGGGATTGCTGCACTCACTGTATCGTAGCCTGTCCATTGTATCCCTGCATGGGTTCACCAATCATAACATTCCTGGAGTCTGATAGGATGCTCACCATACCAGCTGAATCAGGGTTGGCAAGAATCACTACCGTAGCTGAACCTGAGTACAGGAGACAAGATGGAGCATTTCATACAAGACATCATCCACTGGAATCACATCAAAATTCAATCAAAAATCAACACAATTTCAGTGGAATGTCCACAAACTTAGACTTACATGAATAGGACTATCTGTTAAAACATTTTGTTGTTAAGCTTATCGGTCCATGTATATTCATGATAAACTGCAATAGGATATCCTGATCCATGCATCAAATATGTTGCTTTCCCATAGTGCTCTTTTCTTCAATTTTATCCAGTTCCAAACAAATTCTGTACTAACTTAATACATTAATCTAGAAATGTCTTATAGTGACATATTTTTTATTTAGGATTATCAAGCTTAATACCTAAATTGCGGTAAGATTGGTCTTTTATCAACTACATTCACATTATTTAAACATATTTGTGGCTTACACCCAGTAAATAAGATCGATTGATCAATCTGTTATTGAAAAACAAGTCAGAAAAAATCTTGGAACCAGCGGGACTTTTTTTTTCTGACTTGTTTTTCAATTACAGATCGATCAATCAATCTTATTTACTGGGTGTAAGCCACAAATATGTTTAAATAATTGCAATTTCTCCCAGGAAGCATTACATTTATTTTAAAAAAATCACATTGGTCTGAAGGAAGCATGTAGGAATTTGTATCAGCAAATTTGAAACATGAAAAAGGTCAAAACTACTACCAGTATAACAATAGAATGAATTATCTTACCAGACACAGGGGAGATCTCAGCATCAACAGTGGCTGATGTGAGAGAGAGAGTGAAACGTTCTTCTCCTTCCAGAATGTTATCCTGGATTGCTTCTAATATGATGGACTTTCTGGCATCACCCTGGAAGGAAAGAAAAGAGAATAATGTCACACATACATGTACAGCACAGAGAGAATTGTTTTAACAGAGTTTGAAGCACTTTACCTAGAAATGAAATGTGAATGACACTACTATACAACATTTTTAGTTTTAGACAATACACAAAATAGATACTATATTATTTAAATTAATCTATGCAAATAACAATATGTAATAAAGCTGGTGATAAATCCAGCTGGAAACTATATTGTTAGGGTTAGGATTTTACATGTAATATCAAAATCAAATTGTAACCAAAAAAGTTTATGTCTTAATTCCTAGAAAGACAAGAAAGATGAACATGTTAGTCTAAATGTATCAAATTAATTTTGACTGATGACAACAGCAATCAATACTCCTCTGTTAAGCCATTATGTATGGAAATTATTCATTTAATTATTTGTATATGATATGTGGATATACTGTATATGATGGAACTTGTTTTGAAAATAAAGAACCCTGTGGAAGGGGGAAAAAAAAAAAAATACTCCTCTAAATCGATGAGCTTTATAAATTCTATGACCTGTAAGAATGTTGATTCGATACCTGTTGGAAGAAGAGTGCTCCTGATGATGGAGTGAGGTCCATCCTCCCTGCTGCCTCTACCTCCCATCTCACATCTATGTTCCCCTCCACACCTTGGCTCCTCTCTACCGTGAAGGTCACAGGACCACCAGATTCAGATACACTCTCCTGCAAAACAACAAGCTTTTGTGAATTGGTTTGTATGTGGAAACACCTCACATGTGCAACTTAAGATATGGTATTGTTCAATTTATTAAAACATTCAGAAAGAAAATGATTGCTATCATGTTGTCTAACACCTCATATCCAAGAAGTTCTCTACATGTATTCTACGGGCAAGCCCAACATATTTTGTCACATAAGTTATAGATTTAATATATCTGATGATCGTATTGAGTTAATAGCCCTACTACAGCGCAGATCAGACCATGTATGAAGTAAACTGACACATGTTTCATCAGTTTATGTTCAGAACTCGATCTGCATTACTTAGCCATGTATGGGACCCTTAATGACCGACAAACTTTAGACTTCATCAATTACTGATAATTACTGATGAATGTTGTGGATATCAACACACTTAAGAAATAAAGTTTAAAGTCAGTTACTTTTGGAAATAAAGATTTACATCTTCGTAACATGTATTCATTTTGGTTTATACTGAACCTGTGTAAAGGCAAATCCAAAGAGTCCCTTCGGCGAGTCGTTCTTGAGGATCTTAACAATGATGGATGTCTCGCTACCTAGAACAGCGCCTCCAGCTGGGCTGTGGAGGGATACTGTGAAACGCTGCAAAAATAAATCAAGTGAACAAAAATCAAATAATGAAAAAGAATTGTACTCTAGAAACTGTCTGGTAATATGAGCATGCATTCCAGTTCAAGTACATATCAATATCATCAAATGGTTATCAAATTTATGACATAAGCAATACTAACCTCATCATCTTCATAGATACGATCATCTACAATGTTGATTGATATGGTGGCAGCTCTCTGTGGAGAAAAAAAAGGAAATATAATTCAAATGTACATCTGTATGAACAATACCATTATCATAGTTGTACAACATGCTATTGAGATTATTCAGAAAGCTCTAATATATGATGATCATTTCATATATGACATGTTCTGATTGCCTATAGTTTACAAAGATCATCTCTAAAAAAAGAGAAAAGTAAATAACTGCAAGAAATCATTTAATGTACAGGTCCTTGATATCAATACATATATTCACGAATGCATGAATTGCCCATGTTGATTTGGACAGAGATAAAATTTCTGTCAACTGGCTTGCTTCATTTTGACAAGATAGAGATATTATCAAAATCCATATAAACAACAAACTGAACCCATTGACAACTGAAATCTCTCATTCCCATCAGCATTATATGAGGACCATCGGATTCCCGTAAGCGATGGGTAAAAATATACAACAAGCAAACACTACACAAGCAATAAGGACAACATATATTATAATTAAAAATGATAAATAAAATTATAAGCCAATCATTATGCAAATATTTTCATTATAGCAAGTCATTATGCAATCATTTTCATGCATTATAACCAGTAATATTACCTGTCCGTTAACCAGAGTGATGTTGCCCGACAGAGGGTTGAAATCTGCTGTGGAGGCGCTGACTGTGGTGGCTAACCAGCTCACACCCACGGTACCGATTGCACCGGCGGTACGCAGCACCGGAAGATTGAGGATACCACTGGTACCAGAACCTTCATAGACCTCCACATCACCATCAGCATTCTATGGTATAAGATACAAGAAATGTGGGAGGTAAGAGAAACATACCGTGGGTGAATATAGCAAAGGTTGCAGAATGCAAGACATGACGCAGGACCCACATATGAGGGTACGGCATCATATCTGAAACGAGCCTTAAAGCATTCCTAGCTAGGCCACTGATTAGTTACGTCATCCCTACTGCAACGTTCTCTCCATTCTTGATGCTTGGTTTCACTCGATCCGTCCCCGTTAACAGAATAACATGCAATATATCATAATATGTTTATACAACAGAGCCCTGAAATATCTTTTGAAACAATTTCAAGCATTTTGTCTGGTTCTTGTGGGCTGCAGGGGGTATAAATACCTTAGTGACGTTGAGTTGCAGGATACCATTAGCATTGTCATTCTGTCTGATGGTAACCTCTGCTACGTCCTGTCCATTCTTGATGCTGGGTTGAGCTCCACTGACTGACTGACCTGATACTAGCTCCACAGATGTCAGGTTGACAAAGAATGTCTCGGGACCCTCTGCATCAGTGTCCTGTGTAAAAATATTTAAAAATGTATGAGGAGAAGTAATATTAAGTAGCTTAACAAAATGTATAGGCTTTTCAAGATGCAGTTGTAATGAAAAGGTGATAATTGTTTACAAACTCTGTGTACATCTTCACATGCAACAACATTTTGCTAAGCTTTCTTACAAATCATAACAATATTGGTTACAGATTCAATTTTTAAACGACAGTAAGAAGCAACTAATGCCAATTTTTATGCAATACCCCCCCCCCCCCCCCTCCCCCCTCCCCCCCAGTAACCAATACTTTATTACTCCTTGACTCATCCTGAGAAAGGAATAATTTTTACGAATACAACTAGTATAATGACTTACAGGTAATACATTGACAGTCACTGAGGCAACATCGACACCATCTTCAAAGGTGACAAAGTTTTGTCTGGCAGCAAAATCACTTCCACTCTCAGCTCTCTGGATCTCAGGTAAACCTGCGGCTTCAGAAGTACTGAAAGAAAAGCAAACATCATTAACACTTCATGACCCACAAAGCGTCTCAAAAAGTGCATGCCATTTTTAATTTCAGTAACTCAAAATTTGTTACTTGCATGATATTCACATTGTACACAGGAAATACAGTATGAAATTCATACTTCATTGAATGTACATAATAAACACAGAATTCCCATACGGGCTGTGTACACATTAAAGGTAAAGACCAGTATTGGTAACGCCCCAATTTCAAAAAATGAAATGGAAGCTCTCATTACCAATCATGTGAAAGAATATGTTTTGACTAATACATGATGATAAAAAATTTGCCGGGAAACCGCCTACTAATTCATATATTTGGTAAATTTATCTCTCTCATGGTCGTGTGAGAGAGATAGGGTAGTCCCATATACATCTTTCTGTGTATAGTGCTTGTAACTTTACGAAGAATGGGCCAAATTTCTTATCATTTTGATGATTCCAGAACCTTGCAGATGCTAGATGCTAGATGATCAACCTTTTCTGATCGATTCCACAACGTTTCTTTCACAATGCAATCGCATGACCATTACTGGTCTTTACCTTTAAATTAATTGTTGAAATATTTATTGGAACATGCTCGCAAGAAAATGGTGAATCATATGACAGGATTAAATGAATAACAAGCACAAACCATTCTGTTTTAAAATACTCAGAAGTATTACAAGCGCTCCCCATATAAGGGCTCTTCCAGTAACAATCACTTCAAGACCAGAGAATTTGATGTAAGCATTCTGTGTATCTCTAACAGTCAATGCTGAATCCTAAGTCAGACTATTTATCTGTCATGACAGCACTGACTAACCTGTAGTACACATTGACCACACCAGTAAAGCCCTGCTCCCTCGTCATATACATAGTGACACTCCTTGACCCCTGTGACCCTTCTGGTTCATCCACGGCCGTGTAGAGAGACTCCAGGTTCCATGCAAACACTCCATGAGGAGAGTCATTGGCTAGGACCCTAAGCTCTGCTGCACTAGTTGATGAACTGATGGTGGCACCCCGGTCAGTACGAGTCGTTCCTGGGTTGATGATGCGAGTGAGGCGGATGGTGCTGGTCTCGTCAAGCTCTGGAATGTCATCAGCGAGGATGGTGATGACCAGGGGTGCCGTGGAAACACCATCCAGGAACTCAATCTGGAACAAGGATTGATGAGAAAAGGGATAATGACTTAAGATAAATTATCTTTACTTTACATAGCATTTAAAGAAGATAGGTGACTGCATAATTCTGGTACCTATTGGGTCTAAGCTAGAATCCTCTCTGAGAGCCAAAAGTATATTGACCCTATGTAAAATGTTATGTCTGAGTTCACACCCTTCTTGCTACCACGAGATGCTACAGAATCCTTGACGCTTTCAAAGGAAGAATCACTCACTTTTATTTGTCAACATTTAAGCATATCGTCATGTATTCACTTCATCTTAAACAATCTCAAATAGTCAACATCTGGAGTGATTTATTGTAATAACAATAACAAATCTGTTTTTGTGTAGAGCATTGATTCAACATCTCTTTGCCAATGAGGAAACCTTCTTGGAGCACAGATCAGTGCAAACTTTGTATACATTAACATATTTTGTCACTTATTCTACAAATCATCATGAATCCTTGTTCAGAGTAATGTCACCATCATACATCATGTTTTGTTTTTGTTTTTTTGTTACTACTTTAATGTTTTGATTTAAACATCTATTCATTGTTATATATTTGTTCTCATTTGCTATGTTATCTTTATATATATATATATATATATATATATATATATATATATATATATATATATATGTACATATGCTTTTGAATGCTTTTTATATGATTGTATGTTTGATGTAAACTTGCATTTTTAGTCTTTGGACTTTTTGACACGTCATGAATAAAACCTTACTTGAATCTCTGAATCTTTGAATCAAGATTATCCTCACCTGGCCAACAAGGGGCCTGACATCTGTAGCAGCAAGCTGTCCTGTCGCTTCCCACTCCACCACCACTACCCCAGCTGTACCCCCTAGCCTCTCCACCGTTAGAACCGTGGGTGTGTCTGTCGCTCTCTCGTCTCCCTGTACCGATAGAGACTCTGCCGCAAATCCGATGATGCCGTGAGCATCGTCGTTGGAGATGATCGTGACGGCGACCTGGCTCTGGAAGCCCAGCTCGGCCCCATTGGATGGACTGGAAAGGTAGACGCTGAAGGTCTGGTCGTCCTCCGGAATGATGTCATCAAGGAGAGATACAGCAAAGGTGAGTTCAGTATCAAAAGGTGTGAAGGTCAACTGGGTGGACCTGTAAAGTAGGATCAAGAGAAATTCGGGATGACAATCTTGGAAAAATAAGATCTCACAAATCACCAAGATATTGAATTCCCAATCACAGTATAATTCTATTCAGACTGAGCCCTTGAAAAATATGATTTGTTCTTATGCTGAATCAAACTAGGCTGAATCACCCATAATATTGGAAAGATAAAGAGATGTACATGTATCATTTTCAGGTTCTCATTTCTTACCAAGGAACATAATCTGAATCCTCAGCGACACTGGTCAGCTGCAACATGGCAGACATCTCATCCGAAACACCATCTCCATAGTTAGCTGCTGCAAGCAGGGGATTTGTGCTACCTCCGACCTCCAGAGAGACAAGGTCAAAGGCAGGGTCAGAGGTCACCAGGAGGTCAAATCTGGAGTTGAAGGTGTTCCAGGTATAGACGGAGGAAGGGCCGTCTGCATTTGCGAGGGCCAGGTGAGTGATGCCTTCAGGGCTGGTGACGAATACCCTGACAGATTGGACCCCCTGGGTGGGGATGGATTGGTGGAGGATGAACTGAGAGGTCACAGAGCTCCACTGGTAGATGACCGAGTTTATCTCTGTGTTACCAGCTAGAGAGAGAAAAGGAGTTTGAAGGAATAAACACTTGAGGCTTTGGTGATGAGGTGTCACATTATCACAAAACAAGATTAACTGCTTTCATGGCTGTATGCATCCATATGCAGACATGTAATACTTTTCTAAATTTTGAGGCACACAATAGAATTAATGAGCAAGAATTTAATTAAATATTAAAGGGTTTGGAGAAATAGAGCATAAATTAAAAAAATATAAAATTGGCAAATGTAATATAAACACATGGCTTTGATTTGAACTGCTATTGTAAGTGCCTAAACATTGTGCTCACATTTTATAGAGTACTGGGAAAGCCATCAGACATTTTACCCCCTGAAGTTTGTGAGGTTTGACAGAATTTATGAAAATAAAATGTAGAGCAACATTAAAAAAAAAAAAAAAAATTCTCTAAGAGACAAAAATCTTACCATTATTCCTACTGTTGGCAATAGCTAGGTATGCATTGGATCCCACAGTGAAAGCTTGGATATCAGTAGCTCCCTGGCTTGAGATCTGCTGGACCTGGACTAGGTTACCACCTTGCCATTCATATACAACAGACCTAGAAGCGTGTAAACACAAAGTGGTCCATCAGTCATTTGGTTGAGACTTAGAGATATATCAATCGAGTACAACCCACATCTTTCTCATAAATGTAAGTGTGTAGCACCATAAGACTCATAAAAATGCAATGACAAAGCATTACAAAGCGTCAAGCTTCTTTTCTCCTTTCAAGAAGTAAGTGGGTTATAATTATTAATTGATTACTTTTTTATGTGATTAAGCCCCAGATACATGGTTCTAAAGGCATTCCAATACTATTTCAAGAATTTCTTCAAATCCGTTACAATTTTCTTCACCCGGTTAGAGAGCAGAACATGTAGATTAATATCCTGCAAAAGGGCATTAGAGTCATGACAGGGCTTGATACCAAGACCTTTGAATCTTTGAAGGGTGTAGAACACTTCACTCAGAGAAATAAATGCAGATGAATTTCTTAGTACAGGACATTATTATAGTGAGATGGATTCTAATTTGGACCAATAAAGGTGTCACTCACATGATTTCATACGAGGCAAGAGAAGAGTCATAATAGTTTGCCACAGCCAGGTACTGGTTGCCATTGATGGTGAAAGAATCTATGGCAGACGCTCCATTGGAGTTGAATAGAGAGCTCTGGATGAAAGTGAGACCATTCCATAGATAGACAATGGAGTTAGATAGGGATTGCCCATTGTTACTCCTCAGCTGGGTGACTGCAAGGTAAGTGTCTGACCCAAGGTTGAAGAATTCAACATCAGATGCACCGACAGTTGAGATGTCTTGGATCTGAAAATGAAGATTGAAAAAATGTGTGAATGTAAGAAAGTAAAGATGTGGAGGACCTGAAATCATCTGTCATATTGGATTGAAAAATGGCAATATTTAGTCAGAATTTCTCTTCATATTTACCTTCATATTCATTGCTTTTGAGCATAAATGAATGCATTGCATTTAATCATAATCATTCACTTACATCTTGTTTCATGCTTCAATTTCAAGATAATTTGACAGTATTGCAATTCAACATGTGAAACAAATGTGGACCAGAACAAAATTTGTTTATAAAAAATAATATAACATTATGAAAAAAGAACAGAAATATTTGCTCAGGCAGAGTTGTAACAGCAACAGGTTTCAAAATCAGCTACCAGTTTGAATTTTAATTGTACATGTTTTAAAACCAAGTTAATAGTCATTCTCAACCTAAATTATATATGAAATATTAGTCATAAAATGTGTATGAAAATGCATCAAAATTTGATTAAAATTTACCGGAGCGCATCTAAGAATCTGGAATCCAGCCACTAGGGACTTTATTCTTTGCATACATCAGTCCATACTCCTTCCACGTTCCAATTTAAAATGTCTGAATTTTTGTTTATGGACCACCCTGCCTTAGGATGCTATTAAATGCAATCAAACACATAGTTTGGTATATTGATGATGGTCAATTCCTGCAAATCTAATCAATCTGTCATATTGATGCATGAACAGCCATATTTGATCGTGTAGAAATGGATGTCAAAATTCTAGATTGATGTCAAAATTGATGAGTTGCTTTACTGTCACACTTACCACTGTCAAGGACCCATTAGCATCGAGTCTATAGATGCGTGAAGAAGTCTGACGCCGCCCACTGGCTCCCATGTTAGCTATAGCGATGAGAGTGGTACCACCTTCCACTGTGCTAGATGAAGCCCTTACTGCACCATCTGTCTCTACGGTCTGTTGAAACAACGAGAAAGTGATGTATTCAAAGATTACCTACATGTATCTATTCACTTTTCTGCCATTGTCAAAAATCTATTAAAACATTTCCTAAGAGTCTTACATTCAAATCTGTATATAAAAACACTCAAGGAGAAAAGGAAAGTGGTTTTATAGGCAGGTGGTCTTTTGTATGGGTTCTCTTAATAGTTTTTTTTACAAAGAAAAAGTGATGGTTATAAAAAAAATAGTCGCTAAAGCAGACTGTACAGGATACAGTGAAATTCATGGTGAAGATGATAAATATTTCATGAGTACAGCATATTCTAACTGGAATATCTGTTCTGACATACTAGACAGGATTATTTCCTACATGGCAGGTTGAGGTTGAGATAGAACAACATCTATTAAATACTTCAATATCTACACGTTATATTTTTTTATTTTTCAAGTGATAAAACAACAATATAATATGTTAGAATATAATACAGAGTGGTGACATGATTAATAAAAACAACATTATAAAATCATTCCATATTATATTAACATATTATTATCCTTTTACTTAGTAACAACAAAATTAATTTCATAAGAGGATAGATGCGTTAAGACGCGGAGGAAGCACTCACCTGCACAGGTATAAACACACCCTGCCATCTGAACAGCATGGATCCCATCACATTACTGCTATCAGGCAGTCCCTCTGAACCATCAGTGTTCACCCCCGTGGTGAGTGGATCAGTCCTTGCATTGCTAATGAGTAGTAAGAAGGACTCCCCATTGGAAGTGAAGGAGTGCCATGACCTCACGCCGACCCCGGTTATGTTCTGGGTATTCGCTAAGACTGGTATGTCACCATCTGTAAAACAAAGAAATACATGAAGACATCATACATATTGGAAATAAAACATTGAATACATGAAAAAATTATTTCTTAACATTTTACAGATACATGTACCTACATATTAATGTAGCCCAGCTGATAATACATGTATGTAGGCATCTATAAGACGAATGCAAGGACAAGATATGTCCATTTGAAGAAGGGCAAAGTTTTGAACATTTTTTTCACTACATCTACACAATACACTGTCATCAGTAGTTTTAGACCTTTGCCTATAATTTAATGTCTCACCTTCTTTTGGGCATAATTTATATCTATTACATTTCAAATTTGTAAAGGATATACATGACACTAGATTTTATTTGATCATTTATGGATTTCACACAGGTAAATACAGTTTGTACGTATAATTAACTTTTGAAGATTTTGACATTCGTAAGTTCTAATATCTTTTGATTCCCTACATTTGCAGGCCATCAAACGCCCACTTCTTGGCAAACACAACTTTGCAGTTATTAAACTGATATTTGCATCTTAAAGCCATTTTCAATCAATCTACCCAACTGCTATCAACCTGAAGGAACACAAGTAAGTGAAACCAATATTATTAATACTAACCAGCAGCAACAGCTGTACCAGGTTGTGTAGATACATCTACAGTGACAGTGCTTATATCCCCACCTCCTCTCTCTACGGAGAAATAAACTGTACCAGAGGACTCTTCCACCTCAACCAATGAAGAACTGTCAAGAGGTATGGGATGTGTATTGGTGAGAGTAAGAGAGAATGCAGAGAGAGAGAGAGAGATAGAGAGAGAGATATAGAGACAGAGAGAGAAAGAGAGAGAGAGAGAGAGAAAGGAAGGAGAAAAACAGAAACATTGCTATCAAAACTTGAAAACTCTCTACAGGACTATGACAGTACAATTGATGCTAAATAATCACAATTATAATAAAAGTAACATATAAAGTACTTACATATGTAGCACCCAATGCGCTGAATCTGACAATTATACATAATTGTACACTAGTCATATGATTATTATTTCCAATTATTGTCTGTCTTCACTGTTTATTTCCTATTTCCACCCCTTAGATACATGTTTATATATAACTGCACTTGGATATGCATGTAATATGATTGTAAATATTGCATTAAATTCACTAAAATATAATATTTCATTATTCTCTAAACCAGGCCTTCTCAACTGACGGTGAGCGCGCCACTTGTGGCGCTTGCAGTCAGTCGGAGTGGCGCGCAACAACGAAACAAAAAACAGAAAGAAAGAAAATATATATTTTAGAATTAAATACTCAGCTAAATCAAGAAGTTGCAGTCGAATTTGAGCCCAAAATGTCTGCTTAACAAACAGGAAGAAAGGGGGATTTATCATTTTTTTACCATTTTATACGAATCTAAACCTAAAGTCTGAACAACAATTAGCTTACGATGGGATACCAATTTTAACATTGCCAATCTCTGGAAACATCTTGTTTTTGTTTGTTTGATTTTCACTTTATTTTGACATTTCCCGTGTTCATTGCACACAAAAAACTACACATAAATATACCTCCAGTGTAAAGGTACCAAGGAATTGTACTAATCTTTTCACATCAATATGATATGCAATTATGATTGATTATATTATTATTGTGGAATGAAATGGTGCTAAAAATGCCCCATTTCAGTGGGCCTTTAGAAAGCCCTAAATCAACCAGCTTCAGGGGGCTCCGCCCCTGCTACTCCCTGTTAGGGCTTCGGCCCTGGACCCCACCCATTTTCGGCTCGGTCGCTATGCTCCCTCGCAGCACTGTCAACCATACAGGGTGGCACTTCAACTACAAATTCTTTTCGTTTTGGCACTTCTAATAAACTAGTTGAGAAGGCCTGCTCTAAATAGTACCCAACAGTTTACAAAGTACAATCTGTTTGATTCAGCCATTAGGCTACAAAATTTGATTGATTAAAATTTAGTACTATTTCTTTCAAATACTTACCTTGATCCATGGGGGAAGATCTGCAGAGATCCATAAGGGGCATCATTTTCCTGTATAATGATTGTGACATTGGTTGGAGCCCCAAGTCTAGCGCCCCCTGTTGGCTCACGAAGAAAAACTTTGAACTCTTCACCAAGCTCTGGAATGTTATCTGTCACAGCAGAGATTTGAAGAACCTGTCAAGAAAGGAAAGGAAAAATGTTTTATAATGGCATAACGCATTTCTTGAAGTATAACTAACACATGTTTAAGACTAAATGTAGATGAATAATGTTCTCAATCCCCGACATTGACAAATTCAGCTCTATCAGATAATCTCTAGAACAAAACTAAATAAATCAATAAAACAAATGAGTAACAAAGGAAAACACAGAGCCACAAGTATAAATTTCATAACAAGGAAAACAATATCGCAACAAGCTTCAATCTATTGATTTTAATAATTAAAAAAAGAAATTACAACTATTTCGTCTTAAAGAAATTCCTTGTTACATATGGAAGAATTAAAAAGATCTCAAGTATTTCAGAACTTACAGCAGCCTGTGCACCTGGGCCAAAGGTCACAAAGCCGGTCGTGGGTGAAAGGTCACCTTCACCACCAATCACTTCAAAAGGTACATCGATCTGACCAAAGGTGCCCCTGTCTCTCAGCACAGCAAACCGTGCTACACTATTAGCCGTTGAGGTGGCAGTAGGTTCATCAATGGTGACTGTGTTTACACCCACAAAGTACACGACACCATAGGCATCATCGTTAGCTGTGATTGATACGATTACTGTGCAGAGAAATCATGAGGTAAATCATTAGATGATAATTAAACAAGTACTTCATTGCTTTAATTTTGTAGTGAAAAAAACTGGGTCTTTGAATCAATTCTATAAATAGATTGTCTGTGAAAAGATGGTATAACAATATTTGACCCACTGTGGTAACTCATACCTGTAGCATCATACATCTTTTTCACACCAAAAATAAAAACCCTCAAAACAGGACAGGAATATCAAACAATATGAACTACCGGTACATCCTCAAACGTTGGAATTAGAAAAAAAACGCTAAAATGCTATGGCTACATATTCAGTTTGTTGTCCTACCTTTATGCATTATTCAAAGAATGCAGCACAAGTTATGTCAGACTTGGTATTGAATGGGTTAAATGATCTTTGTTTAAACTAACCTCTGATTGGCTCTCCCAGATCTAGACCACCGGTTGGGTTGTTGAGGAAGAGTTCCAGGGTCTCATCATCCTCTGGAATCTCATCATTCACAATGTCCAGGGTTACTGTCTTCCTACTCTCACCATCTCCAAACACAAGCACCTAGCCATACAAACAGTTAAGACGAGAGAAAAAACAAAAGGATGATAAATTTCAGCTTCTGTAGCTCTTCGAGGTAAAATTTCCAATATATATTATTTCGAAACCAGTCTTGCAAATGAGAATAAATGGAAACATAAGTATCAAACTTATGAAAATTAATTAAAATGTAAACAAAAAAAGTACATATGATATTGGCCAATGCCTAGGGCAGAAATTGCTAGAGCCAGTTTATCATATCATTGCACACAAAATATTAATAGACAAAGAGAACAATATGAATGAGAATGAAAATAAGAATGAAATAAGAGAGGTGTTATAAGAATATGGATGCAATGTACAAGAGAGAATAAGTGTGAAAGCTCTTTTAAGTGAGATAATGGAAAGAGTGTGTTACTGGCAATGGTAGAGGGAAGATGAGCGATAAAATAACATACATACATGTATGAGAGTAAGTGGCAGGGTAGTGACAGAAAGTGAGATACAGCAAAGAAGAAAGACAGGAATTAGAGAGAAACAATCTAAGATGAAGAGAGGTGAAGGGATACCTGATCATCAAATTGGTAGTCCTCTCCCTTTCTTGCTCCAATGGGCTGACTGTAGATGAAGATAGACACCTCTCCATAGGTACCCTGGTCTCTGAGTACTGTCAGGTTTACTGACCCAACATCCTCTGATACTTCAATACTGCAGCAGATACAGAGAAAACAATTAATGCAAGGAGGTGAAATACTTTTACAAAAATTTAATGCAAGAAACAATACAAAAACAAGCAATAATTTGTACAACTACAAGGACTTCATCAAACCTACAACACCTCGCACAAAGGGCTTCTTCCAATTAAAGATGTCAATTTTTAAAGGAGAAAAACCATCTTTTCACCAATGTAGTGTCAAAGATGCAAAACAGTTGGTTTGACCTTTCCAGAATTTCTGGTAATTTTATAATCCCCAAATTAATATAAAAACATGTACATGACTGTTACATTTATGGGTTTGTAGATAATCAACCATTTGATTTCACTTCAAATTCAACTAAAACTACATGTACTCTTGGGGACACATCAAGGTACTTTTCTCCTCTTAGCAAGACCAAGGAACATGACAAGAGTTTGAATGTTGATGATCTCAACTTACTTGGTAATCACAGTGTCAAACTTGATGACTCCTTGAGTGCCGTCATTGGCCGATATGGTGACCTCTGACACAAGGTCAGTGGTGTCTAAAGGTCAAACAATGAATTATAAGAAATGTATACTCTATTATCTAATGTTTCATAGTTAAAATGGGTAATTTTTATGACTTTGAAAATAAGAATGTGACAGGAGTGAGATTAAAGACATACATCATGTCAAGCAAGCATTGATTTCAGGACGCCCCCCCCCCCCCCCCCCGCCCCCTTCCCTAACAAAACAAACAAAACAAACAATGAAGACAAAAGCTAAAGCTGCTCAAAGAAAAGAAAAACATTTGACCTCTGAATTGTGAATGTAAATAAAGACACAATATGTCAACTATCATTCTACGCAGTCAAAAAGATACATTCACATACTAAACTCAGATTACAGTTCTTAGTTCTTACAAGTGCTTTATGTAGTCATGTTTATTTAGAAAAGCTCCTGTGCACTTATGCATATTTCAAGTAACTGTACATTCTAAAACTAACCCCTAATGTAAATTGGTTGCTAAAACTGAAGTATGAGTTGCACTTCTTCCTACCTACTTTAAGTGGCATGCAAACATTTTTGCTGCCAATCATTTCAACACTGTTCATGGTGACTGGGAATTTAACAGGAATAACAACTATAGAACAAAATGTGAATATGAATGTGAATGTTACCATAATCTACATGTCAAGTAACAAGTTTAAATGGGGTGTTCACATTCATACTTCCAATCAGTTCAACACTGTTCAATGTGACCCGAAATTTTGTAGGAATATCTGTAGCATAAAAACACACATGAACCGGACCATTTTTTACAGCATATTCCTTACCCAGTTTAGGAGGTGTGTTCACATCCCCACTTCCCATTAGTTCCACACTGTTCAAGGTGACAAGGAACACCTCATCCAGCTCTGGAATCTCATCTTCATAGATCAGGATGGAGATGGGCTCTGAGGAAGATCCATCAGCAAAGTCCACAAAACCTGCTCCACCCACAAAGTCTGACCCGTTCAGAGCTCTCTCGTTGGCTGGCTTGGTGGGGTCAAGGGCACCTTGGGATATGGTGTAGGATACTTGTACTTGACCTGGACAAAAATTGTGTAAAAGTTGAAATTACAATATTTCTAGTGGTCAAACTCTCTGAAGGTTGGTCCCTAGACAAAAGTATGAGATTACAGCCCTGTATTATAAAGAGTTGTGCTTGATTCAAATTAATCACAACTTTGTACTATTGAACAAAAAAGACGAGTCAAGATGCAAACAATAATTTCTACCAATACTAAAATAAAATTGTAAAAGAAGGATTCTTTATGAAATTTAGTTCATCATTTGCCCTTCATTCCATAATACATTAATATCAAGCCTTGAATGAAAAGAAAGTAGATTTAGAGAGGATTAAATGATTAATAATTAAATTCAACTCAATATATGTATATATATATATATATATATATGAATTATTGATCCATTTTTCAAGACTTACCGATGGCTCCATATTTTCTCTCCACAAAGAGTTGGACCAAGCGATCCCCTTCTGGCGTGGCCACCAGCAGGGATCCCTGAGCGAAGCTGAACACCCCATGGGGCTCATCACTAGCCCCAATGTTAATGGAAGCACTAGCCCCCTGGGGGTCGATGGATGCTGCTCCAGTAGGTGAGACACCTGAGAAAACAAGATGATAGTTTCAAAAATATTCTGTAGAAAACAATGGTATATGTGAAGGATGTTATGCAACACTGGTAGGTATCTATCTATTTCATTCTTCATCTTCTTCTTTTGTTTTATAAAAATGACAGCATTTAAAATACTTTACATGTAATAAGATTTCAACAGTGGGTTCAAATTAAAGTTATAGACATACCTGTGGTTTGTACATCGGTGAGGATGATCTGGAAATTCTCATTGGTTTCTGGTGTTTCATCAGGAAGAGATTCTAGTGTGACCTCCTTCAGTAGTTCTCCCTGTGGAAAGGATACAGATTTAGAACATATCATATCTCCCTCAAGTCTAGCTATGGATTTCTGTACTGACCATATATAAATAGGACACAATGAAAAGTTTGAGGTAGCATAATACTTCCACTGATGAATTCAGGACTTTACATCAACAGATCTACTCTACGTTAGGTATGGGACATTACTCTACTTTAGGCATAAAGAAATTAAAAAATTCTACAACTTGGGGGCATGCTGGCCCTCCGCTAGTGATGAGCAAACCATAATAATATGGGCATACACTTGTAAATTAAATGGGCAATCAAAAGTGGGCTATTACCATTCCTTATCTTGAACACAAATATGAAATGTTTTGAAGTTAAACATAATGCACTGTACCTGTTGGAAGACAATCTGGCCATTTGTCAGTCTGAAGGAGAGAGCTGGATCCAGAGACTGGGAACTCTCAATGGACCAATCAAGAGTCACCTCACCCATGCCGGGGGTAGAACGCTCTACAGTCACATTGAAGGCCTCGCCTGTCAAACATAATAAACAATTCAGATTATTTCAGAGATGGTGTATATAATATACACAATAATTATTTACATGAAGGGTAAGGCTATTATTCAAATCAACATGGGCTTATACAAGTACACATACATGTATGTTAATAATGGAATCATGCAGAAAAATGACCAATGTGAAAATACTGTGACTGCTACAATTATGACTTACATGTGTGCGTCAATCATCAATTACAGTCACTGTGATTATCATTATGAAAAAAATTAACAAAATGCTTTAAATAATATTGGAAAAATTCAAAATGATTGAGTAAACCAAAAAAATCTCTCTTCATTCAACAACATATATCTTTTCCTTCCCACTACCCTAACACACAAACCTTCAGAGATGATGTAAGAGAGCGTTGAGAACCGTAGGATGCCAGCTACAAAATCATTAGCAAGGATGACAATGGTGACATTGCTATCAGATCCAAGGATACTGCCCCCTCCGGGGTTGTAAAGCTGAGCAGAGAAGAACTCATCAATCTCAGGGATGTCATCATCACGGATACCAATGTTGATAACTTCATGAAAAGAGAACGAAACAAAATTATAGACCACGTCTGATCTACTTCATTGATTCATGGAGCATAGATACAAATTTGCCAACTGTGATAGTAATTAAGATACATTTAAAGCTTCAACCTAGTACACAAATACAGAAGGGCATTATTACCAGAAAAACACCCTTCCTCTTCATTACGGATGAATTTGCTTTCAGTGTAAGTGACCAACTGTACAGAAGGTCAAACTCCTAAAAAGGACCACATTTTGCGTCCTCTTTTAATGGCAAATATACAAAAAGAACCTGCACTTACAGACCATCAGGCTGATCATAAGCACATTTACTTGTTTCCATAGAGTGGTCTTAATGGACAAATTTGATCAAAGAGCAGTCATGAAGAGGTGATGAGAATTTATAGTAAAAAGTGAATTCCAGAACATGTTTTTTAAGCCAGAAATGTTTATTGACACAGTTTGGTTGGTTTCTCTAGAACCTAACTTCCATATCATGACATGTAAAATCCACCATTCACATTTGTATCATCGCAATTTGCATCCTACTGTCCACCCGCCTTTACCTTGTCTGGTTTGCCCTGAGGTAAAAGTGAGTGTCCCTCCACTGGCAGAGTAGTCCAGCCCACTGGTAGCCGTCCCACCAGATATCATCCATGAGATGCTCACTTCACCAATGTTTCCACCTGAGCAATCAAAGACACAGAGACATAACAAAGATGGTTCCATTAGTTTGGTGCTTAAAACTATGTTTCTAAACACTTTAAATGTAATTAGTATCATCCCAGTCATTTATTCCATACATGGCACACACACACATCGGTACCCCTGCACAGGTACATACATGCTAATCAAAACACATCAATGAGAGACAAAAGATGAAGATAACTGTTACTTCCCTACAATCCACCTTTACTCTAGAACTTTGTAAGCCATGAACTGTAAAGGTAGAGGGTTTAGGGTTGCTGTATTTGTCACTGACCTTTGAATCACCTACACGAGGTTCAAGTTAAACATCCTTTGGCAAACAATTGTTATACAGCATACATGTATGAGGGATCTGTTCCATATATGTAGATGCTGGTTCTGGTAACCATTGCCCGCACATGGATGCAGGTGAATAATAAAAATGTGGTACAAACATTATCTGAAGGAATATGATATAATGATTATCAACATACGTATGTAAATCTGATTTACAAAAGAAGAAGCATTAGGTTGACATTATTATTTGAGTTCTTCATCCTGTACTCCTAGAACCCTTAAACACTATCTTCCAGAAACACCATGATGAGAAGGACACCCTGGACTAGCTTACCCCCTCTCTCAATGACCAGCTCCACACTGACGCTGAGCCCAGGCTGCTCTTCTATGGACAGCATCTGACCACCATCTGTGGCCTCTGGGCTGTTACTGTAGAGTCTCCATACACCGTTAGCATCATCATTGTTCTCTATGGTCACACGGGTAGCCTGACCATCCCCCAGGGTAGGGAGGTTGAGAGGGGCGGGGCTGGTGTTCAATACACGGACCGACATCAGACTCAGCTGCGGTTAGGAAGTGGGTAGAATAACAGTGATAAAAATCATTTACTTTTTGTTATTATTCCCCATCCGGGAATGTGAAAGTAAACTATTTAAGAGGACTACATTTCTTGACTTTTGTATACATAATATTCTTTATATACAGATATTACTCCATTTTCCTTCTACTGATTTTCACAGTTTCTTTAAATTAGTTTAATATAATGCTCATGATTTGTATATTTTAAACTGTCTGTACTTTATCAGATGTATATATTTGTTTGTTTTTTAACGGAAATAAAGTCTTTTGAATTGAATTGAAAAATTACCAGGAATTTGAACAAACATGACTTTCCTGTTTGTCCCTGTAACTGTTGCAAGCACTTAATTTGACCGTTTACATGTTTAAATATATCACATATACACTAGTTTTTAACAACAAAACTTGTTTACCACCTTCCAATTTTAATTTTCATCACAATACATGCATCTTAAAGTCTCAAGGTAGAGGTTCAAACAATTGCAACTGCATATGAATATACATAAGTACATGTATACCAAAGTATTGAACTCACTACAAACAATTTTTTTCTCTCAAGACAATACCTACCCCGAAAGTTTCATCTTGCTCTGGTAAAGTGTCATTGAGGATGGTAACTTGGGCAAAGCCTTCTGACTCTCCATCTCTGATCAGGAATGTTCCGCTGGTCACAGGCTCATAATCCACTCCAGAGATGGCCTGGCTTGCATACAAGGCTTGAGTCTGTTCATAAAATAGATTGGCGCATACATAACAATTACGCAACCTCAAAAACAGGCACTGTGATGTAGCTATCATTTTACATAAAGATGGATGTAATAATCAGGTACTATAGTTCTAGGTTTAAAAGACACATAATCTATAGTAATCGTATAAGAAGTAGCATTGCCCTGACTTATAATAACATTGTTTTGAAGAGATCACATAGGAATATTTTAACCAAATCTCACATCTCATACACATTCTTTGCACTTCACATTACAAATTTACTTGGGTATTCAATGATGGAATTACAATATTGATTTTCTTTAAGAATCATCCCACAATCTTATACAAGCTTTCATAAAAAGAGTTCAAAGTGCATCAATGTGTAACTGACCTTGACACTGTCTTTGACGTAGAGCATGAACCCTGTATTAAGGTCAACACTCTCGGTGCCTGAAGACACTGTCAGCAGACACAAAACCGTCATATTCATGGCGCGGTACTCAAAGGCACCGCAGGCCTGCTGGCGGAGACAGGTCTCAGCGCATCCCTGGAGCGTGTTGGAGAAGGACGAGACATCGTAGGGCACCTTGGACACCCGGAGACTGCCCTCTATTGGTGTCTGGTAGAAACTGATTGGGGTCTGGCCATTGAGGGTGGCTTCTGAGATGAGGTCGAGGGTCTCCGTGCTGTAGGTCACTTCAAGGGTACCAAAGTTTCCACCACTGTGATGCAGAGAAATAAAAATATTTGAATATGTGACACAATTAAAGTCTAGTATTTACTTTTTTATAAGTTATACAATTTGTACGTTTTCAAATTTTCCCATTTTTAGCTTCATAGCTTATAGTATTAAAGAAAATACATGTAAAAAAGGCTGCTCAAGAAAATAGATAAAAGAGGATGCAGCACTCTGTAATCAATGTCATTGTAGGAACTGTGATGTGGTCAAGACCTTTTAAAAGTCTGAAGACCAAGGCCAAGGCTCTATCGTAAGAAGAGCTGTGATGGACTCAAATTGGTCAACTAGTGTCTCATAACATTTGTACATCAAAATGTACAGGTAATTTTAACACTGTGATTGATTGTAAAACGAACAATCAATTTAAATCAATTGTAATTTTGTTTCCAAAAAGCACAGCCAAAGAGGTCTGAGCTTAGTTACATTTGAAAGACTTAGTCTGGTCTCAACTTCAATGCAGGTAAAAAATTATCTATATCAGAATATGTACTGAAATACTCACCTTCTAATGACTCTCAAACTAGCAATATCGTCTTGCAGATCTGTCTCCTGGACCCGGTTATCTGCCAAGGCAAACTCCACTGTCCCATGGGGATTATCATTAGCTTCAACACTGATGGTAGCTTCAGGCTGGTCACCAACCACCCCTCCAGCTGTAGCATTCACAAGGAGCAATACAACATTCTGCGAAAGAAAGGATCACCATTCAATACAAATCAATCACAGTTTGGAGGAATTAGAAATGAATACAAATTTACATTTAGAGACGGTTAAAAACTACATGATTTTCTGATCAATCATTGCTACAGGTTCCCGATGTAATCATAAAATTCCTAAAGAGTATTCTTTTAAACACAGGGCTTCTTCACTTTGAGATATTCCTCCATTTTATGTCAAACTGGCTCGAACTAACAATGCCTTCCACTAAAACCTCATAAAACTCATATTATTTATCATCAAGGTACTACTATACCACAATCCCTTGGTTTCCTTTTCCCTGCTCACAGATTATAGAATAAACACAGCAAAAATATGCATAACAAGTCCACACTTATTACCATTATCACAAAAGTTTTTTAAGGAAATCTTGAATTAGCAAATGTTCAACCTGTGAACTGCCACAATGCTTTTGGGGGGATTTCTTCTGACTTTCAAGTCACCTTCACCCACATGCATCCTTGCTTGTCCTGTGAATATATATTTGATATTAGAATATAGTGTTGTTTGTGCAACATACCTCTCTTTCTTCTGGTACATCGTCAGGTAAGATGTTAAGAGTGAACGTCCGGGTGACATCGTTGGAAACAAAGTAAAGAGTTCCTCCAGTAGGAAAGACATCATCTACAGCTAGCTCACCTGCAAATAAAGATCAATGTCAACATCAAATATGAGGTAATTCATTACATGATCAAACACCCAACAATTTACAATGAATGATTCTACATGTATAATCTAACATACATGTACATGTATAATGGGCAATAATGGTGTTCAGTCACCCTAAGTGATAAGCCATTAATATTGATCCAACCATTTGGATGTCTAGAATTTTATATTTAATACTAAATATAAATGCCAAACACAGAGATACACCTTATTTTTTAAAGTAGAGCCATTTTGATTTTTCTATTCAGTCTCTTCTAATTAGTAGGTCAAACATGGTTTATGTACCCTACATTTTATTTATCTACTGTACCACAGGACATTTCTCTTGCTCGCTTGGAATAATATATTTTCAATGGCTATGAACAACAACAAAAGAAGGAGTTACAATCTTAATACCATTGATTGTTGCTTGCCACTCAACAGCCACTACTCCGATTGTACCACCACTCCTGATGACGCTCAGTGATAGCTGCCGCGTTTCTCCTTCTTCTGGCTCAGTTACAATCTGACTTGAGAATCCAAATCCTGAGAAAACAAAAACAAATAAATCATTTCATGGTGTGCCCTCTAGAGGATATTTTAATTGGCAAACATTACTAATTAACCAATCAATTAATCGGCCTAAGAACAATCGAGCCACAGATATAAAAAATGCATTTTGCATGAAACTCAAGCATATCTGCTTACCTCCAGATAGCTAAGTTTGAGTTTATTCTAAGATGCTTTATCCCATTTTTCTTCCTATTACTATTAACCACTTCAGCATGTTCCTTTTGAATTATCACTAACTTTAATTTTTTTTTCTTCAATAAAAATTCAAACCTTTTCTTGAGAGAGTAAAACCTGGAGTACAGCTTGCCAATTTGAAGCATATCATATCAAAACACATGTACAGGTATTGATTTCATGTTATCATCTTTTCTATACAGCTCATCTTTTTTTAAAGTCATTTAAAGACCGTCAATATGGGCCAGAAGGGATTAGACCACACAGCGAGGTCACTGACAGGTGGCTATCTCATTAACTCAGCTCTCAACTAACATAAGAAAAAGAGGATCATGGGGGACCAACAGGCACCGATTGGGGAATTTTTCTACAAGAGGGAGCAAGTAGCTATAAGTAGGACAGTGGGGCTTTAACTTACCAAAGTTTCCATACGGATCATCGGACTGCTGTATGATGACCTCTGCCTCATCAGGTGACCCTAGCACAGCACCCCCAGTGATCTGCTCCAGTAAGATGACCCTGAACGTCTCTGCGACCTCTGGGGTCTGGTCATTGATGACCTCTAGTGGGAGGGGCTTAGTAGTCTCACCGTCGTACAGTATTACATCAGTGGAGGTAACGGAGTAATCAATTCCAACCTCTGCTGTTCCAGGGATGGTTTGGAATTTGACTGTCACCTGAAATGGATACACATTTTTGTGAATGGTCTAGTGTAAATGTTTTTAAAAATTCATTTTATTGAAACTTTTCCATTGATCAGCCTGATTCAACCAAGTTATCTCAGCAATATTTACTAATTTCTCAGATAATTTATCTTAAGTTGCTTTTTTACTTGTTAAACAAATTTCACTTATTTAAGGTCTTATTATTTCATTTATTTATTCACTCTTTTTTTTAAAACACAGATTAGCTCCATGCAGTGCCACAAGAGGAATTGAAGAATTTATTGTTCATTAGAGGGGCATCTTGAAAATTACAAATTAAGACTAGATTTCTATTATCACTGATTTGAGGAAAGAAGAAGAGGGGAAGACCTCGTAAAGGCTTTTTAGATGATTTAATCACAGAATGGCTCAAGACCGAGATACTTGGAGAGACACTTGATGTAGAACTCTGTTTGGGTCACTGAACCTGTCATATTGACAGATCACTATTGATGATGATACACACTTACAGTGCCGAATGTCCCAGCTGATCTTGTGACATTGATAACCTATTTTCATTGATTTGAGGAATGGTATACACACTTACAGTGCCAAATGTCTCCGCTGATCTGGTGACATTGATAACCTATTTTCATTGATTTGAGGTATGGTATACACACTTACAGTGCCAAATGTCCCGCTGATCTGGTGACATTGATAACCTATTTTCATTGATTTGAGGAATGGTATACACACTTACAGTGCCAAATGTCCCCGCTGATCTGGTGACATTGATAACCTATTTTCATTGATTTGAGGTATGGTATACACACTTACAGTGCCAAATGTCCCCGCTGATCTGGTGACATTGATAACCTATTTTCATTGATTTGAGGTATGGTATACACACTTACAGTGCCAAATGTCCCTGCTGATCTGGTGACATTGATAACCTATTTTCATTGATTTGAGGTATGGTATACACACTTACAGTGCCAAATGTCCCCGCTGATCTGGTGACATTGATAACCTATTTTCATTGATTTGAGGTATGGTATACACACTTACAGTGCCAAATGTCCCAGCTGATCTCGTGACATTGATCACAGACTGTGATTGTCCTTCCATCACATAGACCTGATTAGAGGATAGCTGAAGGACTCCATTAGCATTGTCATTAGCAATGATCTTCACCTCACCAATGTTCTCAGCTCCAACTCTTGGAGAATCATCAACTGTAAAGGAAGAACAAATAATGAATAGATAGAGCATACATGCAGACAGTAGTGTGCTTTTGTCTCAAAAGTATTTGATTTCATCACGACACCTGAATTTTGAAGTGTGATTTTATTACATGACCAATTCAGTACACATTCTTGAAATATGTAAACTAAAATATTATATGAACACAATTGGAGATATATTGATTGTAACTTTCATAATAATCATCATCCCTTTCTCTCTCTCTCCCCCTCTCTCTCTCTCTCTCTCTCTCTCTCTCCTTCTCTTTCTCTCTTTCACTATCTATTCATTCATAAAGATTGCCATAAAGTTTCTACATGTATATGGTGTTTCATGAATAAATTTGATGTTCTTTAGCAATACTGATTCAATTTCACATTGCAGCGTGCTGGAAATAACATATACTGTATCAATCATGCACTTCTATCCTACTCTCTCTTAAACTTTTTCTCTATTTTCTCTCTAATATCTTAATCTCTCTGTTACTGAACATCCTTCTTTCTCCAAACCGATCGTTGCGCCTCCAATCTCTGACTCCTCTCATACAAGTCCCTTTACTATTGTAATTCAATTGATGTACCTGGTCTGGTCTGAGCAGGATTGGTAATCATAGCACTGATGATGTAGACGAACACACTCATACAGGACCCAATACTATTATAAATCACTTACCTGGTCTGATCTGAGCAGGATTGGTAATCATAGCACTGATGATGTAGACAAACACACTCTCCTCTGTCCCAATACTATTGTAAATCAGTTACCTGGTCTGATCTGAGCAGGATTGGTAATCATAGCACTAATGATGTAGACAAACACACTCATACAGGACCCAATACTATTGTAAATCACTTACCTGGTCTGGTCTGTGCAGGATTGGTAATCATAGCACTGATGATGTAGACAAACACACTCATACAGGACCCAATACTATTGTAAATCACTTACCTGGTCTTGTCTGTGCAGGATTGGTAATCATAGCACTGATGATGTAGACAAACACACTCTCTTCTGTCTCGGGGATAGCATCGTTCAGCAGCTGGATCGTGATATTAGCCGTCTCTTGACCTTCCATAAAGGTCACCGTTCCTTGCTTGGCCTCAAAATCTTTTCCCTCTTCCGCTCTTCTACAAAATTGAGGAACAAAAACAGAACAGGATATTAACTGGATGGCCTGCAGGTAACATTTATGTCAGTCATTTTCCTATGGGTGAACTACATGTCTTAAATTACAGTATATATGCTTGGAAAACATCGTAGGAAGCAAGATACATGCATATAGGGTTCCATTAATTTTCACAATATTGCAATTAAGAACATGTAGATAATCATTTATGTACAACACCAGTTGTTATGCTATTACATGACCTACAAACATGTGTGTTATGTTAGACACAATCTCAAAACAGTTTAGGTACTGAGTGATCTAAAATTTCACTTAAAATATAAACACTTATCTGACAGGGGCTGATGCACTCACAACTTTTCAATCTACTGACACAGTATAATATTACTAAAACTCTGTGACAGTTTTCAATTATCTTACATTGTTCGCAAAGAAGATTGCAAAAACAATTATAACCAGCACACTATTCAACTCTTGTGCATTGATTTGTAGCACTTTAACAGTACGAAGAGTAAATATCAAAGTGTATTTACCTAACGTGGGCTGGAAGATTTGTGAGCTCCTCATTGAAATTCAGGGTGGCATACATCACTTCCACATCTCCATCTGTACCTCTGTCCCTAAAAATCTGCAGGAAAAAGAATTTCAAATTGAAAAAAGTTTTTAGATGTTTAATCTTAATGAATCTTCTTTCAAAAAATATTACATATTTGAAGTAAACTTGATAATACAATCATGCATGTAGCATGTGGCATGCCTTAATCTTCCTGTTCTAAAATCTCTCCATTTTCAGTTCCATCACAGCATTTCAATTTGATTTTTTTTTTAAATCATCAGTGAAACGAAAATATTTAAGCATCTTTGTGTGTATTCCAGTACATGTATGATGCAGTGATGATGGGGGAGGCAGAGGCTAAACTGAAAACAGCATAATTTTATCTCAATTCTTAGAAGACTGTTTCCTATTTCAAATTTTCAAATGTCACCTACCTGCATGGTCACTTCAGTGCTTTCTTCTGTTGCCATGACAACTCGAGACTGCGGGTCGATCACAAACACTCCATAGGGATCATCATTGGCCAGGACTGACAGCACTGCTTGCGAAGCATTGCCAATTTGACCATTGGTAACAATGATTAGGTTGACATTGAACAACTCATCTAACTCTGGAACCTAGATTAATGACATTACCAAACATCAAAGTATTATAAATCAAGGTAGAATTTGATATCATGTCATTTGATAAAATCAAATGTTGATGGAAGGGAAATCTAATAAACAAGCAAAGTATTATACACATTTATCACAAAGTTTCTCCATTTGATATTCAAGAGGAGCAATCTATTGCAGACTTAGGATTTATTTTCAACCATTCTGAATATGTCTGACATAGAGCTTTCAAAAAATGTCCCATAGTATAAAAAATAAATTAAAAAAACACCACAGGGCAACAGAAAGGAATGTTACACTGAAAAGAAATGGTTTTAAAAGGCTTCAAAAACTCAAATACAACTCGGTAATAAAATGGGAAAACAAAAAACTGCCTCTTAACTAATCACATTTTTTTCACTGAAAGTCTTACGAGAACTCCTTCCAGCACTTATATAAATTTTCACACAGCAATATAACATTTCACATTTTCAATGGGTGCATTTTTCACCTAGCAACACATTAGTTACAGTACATACATTTGAGCTATTTGTCACTTAGTTTCAGCTTGAATTTACTTACATTATCAGGATGAACATTAATCACAATGTCCTCTGTCATCTGATTCACACCAAAGGTCACATTGCCAGAAGAGTTGACCAGGTCACTGCTGACCAGGGCATGAGGGTTCATGGGGTCAGAGGTTACAGACCAGAACACCATGACCTCACCAAGTGCACCACCCAGACGTATCACCTGATGAAATGAGAAGGATCAAGTTTAGTTAGGGAAAAAAGAAATCAAACAATCGTCTAAGTGTTTTGGGCACATTTGCAATTTAAAAAGATTACATCATGCATAGTAGCATGAGCTTGCATATTTTAATCATTAAAGAACAATTATCTGTAATCTCTTATTTATGTATATTGTGCAACTGTGAACAATAGCCCGTTCAGGTATCAACAGATAGTTTGTTGATGGCTGGTCACACCAGCAGTCCCGGGAAGGAATGTCCCAAATAAACCAATCAAACTGGATCACTGCTGCTCAGATGATGTAATTTGTATGTTTCACTAATAATAAATAATAATAATAATATGGATATTTATATAGCGCCGGTATCCGCCAGGCTCTGACGCTCATGCCGCTGTACATACTAATTACAATCTCAAACATATCACTTTTTTATACATTAAAAAACAAAACATTTTTAATATATGTAACATTAGACAAAAGTGCCTAAATATTATTAAGAGTAATAAAGCCAGTAAACACTTGGGTTTAAACTGAAACAAGAAATAAATGTTAAGATAAAACTATATCTATTTGAAACAAAATAATAATGAATCAGATTAACCTGCAAGGTGACATCATTAGTTTGAAGAGGCTGGGGCTCCACGGCCGTTACAAACAGAGATTGAGAGTCAAATTCAAATGTTCCATATGCATTATCCGAGGGGAGGATGACTACTTGGATCGTGGAGGCTGGTCCAATTTGAGCTGGAAAGATATGCAATAAAGAGTAAAAATCACTCTTGTATTAAAGGTTAATTGCATGTTTCTTACTATGTGTATTACATCTACCTTCAGCACCCTGTAACAAAAAAATGAACTTAAAATAATTCATAAAAATGTATCTCTAATTTTGAGGGAATTAATTTGTACCCAACCATGTATTATATGCATCTGTAGCATGAAAATATTGTTATTATTAGATAAACTATTTTTAAAACATCCTGGAGTTTTGAGATAGGTCTGTTATTCCAAGATGTGTTGATGTGTATTGTCTCCATTGCTCAAAAGTATAAATTGATTTTAAAAAATGCATGCTAGAAGGCACCATGTTCCAAGCAAAATGGATATAGCAGACAAACACAGCTATATTTGCCATATGAACACACAACCAATCAAAATACCCCAAAAATCTAGCATAATTTTACAGGGCAAGCAATTGGAACACTTGACATCAAAATCTGAATTACAATGATTTCTGTATTCAAAATGCAAGCAAAGGAAAAGAAAAACCATGAATCATATTACTACCATTCCATGTTTTTTTTTCCATTAAGCTAAAAATAATTGTGCGCATGCATAAGAATTAATTGATTACACTTCAAGCTGAAAGATATTTAAAACTACATCTAAAAGAGAGAATATGAGGGATGTAATTGACAGAAAACTATGGGTAAACTACAAGGATAAAAATATAAGAGATAAAGAAAATTATTAAGCAAAATGGGAGCATCCAATCAAGCATGCCATTCATGAATTCAAAGCAGCTTCAAAATTAGAATCCTTCTCATATGCAAAGTATCATTTTTCTTTAGTGCAAAGCTTTCAGCAAAAACTTCTTGTTAAATTTGTTTGTATCTAAATGCTTACCTGTGCCTATAGCAGTTTGATGTACATGTAAATATGTGGGATACAAGGCAAATGAAATTTGATTTAGTAGTGCAGAAATCGGTAGGGTTGTGGCAGGATGGGGTAATGATTGTTAGTACCGAGGCAACCATACTATATAAATTTTGTTTTAATTAATCTGAAAGTATACATACACAGCCTTATGAATAGTATTAAAAACAAGAAAACCTATAGAAAAGTACTGTACATACATGTACATGTATATTACATTTTATCAGTTAGTACATGCACAACAAACTATCTGTACAAATATTATTGATGTGAGTAAAAATCATAAAATACATGTGCAGGCTTGCAATTCCCATTTTAAATGTTTTCTTAATGTCTGTATATGGAACATGAATCTATATAATTTAAAAACAAAATAACACTTTCAATTTTCATGAGCAGCATATTTGTGCAAATCTTTGGTAGTATGGGTGATTTGGGCAGGTTGAGGAATAAAAATGGGCAGTTTGGGATATATTTCATGCTGTCTTCCTTGAGTAGTCTTTATAAACAGGTTTCATTGTAATCTGGAACAAGCAAGAAACAATTAAAGAATTCTTACCTCCCCCTGTAGGACTAGAGAGCTGAACCTGGAAAGACTTCTCAAGCTCTGCAATATCATTATCTACGATAGCGATAGAGATGTAGGTAGAGCGCTGCTGGTCGGTGAACTCGAGCCGGCCTCCTGCACTCTATCAATCAGAAAAATAGATATGAACCATTCAAATACATTTGAGTTTTAAATATTCATACAGAATTGGACAAGTATAGAATGTTTAACAGAACAAAGGAAAATTATCATTATGTAAAACTTGATAAATTGTATGAAATATTGGAATTGATAAGCATACATTAATAATGAAGGAAATATCATACTGACTGACATGTAAGCCCAACACCTTGTAAAAAATATAGGTATCGGTATATTTAACATGACTACAACAACTTATTGCCTTTCTAGTGTTCCTTTGAAGAGTATGTAAAATACATTACAGACCTCCCATGCTATCTGATGTACATTTACATTTAATTCTAAGGAAGACTACAATGACGGTTGAAACTGTTAAGTTTTGACCAAATAAAGTCAAATAAACTATTCCATACTTGGGCAAATCTCTACATGCCTCACTCAACGAGTACATACATGCACAGAAATTCAGATAATTATTAGAAATTATTGAAACAAAGATTAGTTAAGCAGACCTAATGAAAACTGACAACATAGTTCATACCACAAAATCTATTGGGTTCTTTCCAGCAGACACAGCAGAGCCATCCACAGTCCTCCACTCCACTGTGATATCCCCTAGCAACCCCTGGGCTCTCACTACCAAGAGCCTGGCCACACCCTCCTCCTCCCTAACCGTGGTCTCCACTAGTCCCAAGGCAGGAGCCAGGAGCGGGTCGGCCTGGTCTGGTGGCTGACCGATGGAGAACTGGAGGAGACCATGCGGGTTGTCACTGGATGGGATGGAGATTAGATTGGTGGCAGCGGTGGGATCGATGCTGGCTCCACTGGTGTTGGTTGATCCAATCAATCCATCATCAGAGAACGGAAGGTAAGGTAGGAGGTGGACAATGAACTCCTCCAGCACTTCTGGAGCCAGGTCATCCACGGTCGTAAAAGTGAAAGTCTGGGAGGAAGAAAGTAGAAGGGAAAGAGTCATTTACAACAGACGGACGGACAACCACAAAACATAACGCCTCCGGCTACCTCGTAACAGAGGCATAAAAACAGAATTAGATTAGATTAGATTATATATTAAATTGATGTTGTCACATCACTTATCAAATTGTTTCTATAAAGTTTCATTCATACTTCAAAGAGATAGGAACTTGTGTTTCATGTAAAATGCACAGCAATTTGTTCTCATTCACAATTTTCACAGATCTATGATAAATTTGCTCATAGGCAATCAAACGCAACAATTTCAATAGCTCATATCAGCCACTGTAACTTGCTTTTGATAATAAATTCTATGCTGCTTAAATAAAGGAATAGATGAAGTTTGTTATCATACCTGTTCTCTAACTCCATTTCCAAACACGACCACCCCTGATGCATTGACAAAGTCCTCTTCTGCAATCATATCTGTGGACTGAAGGCGTACTTCCCAGGGGATGGTTACAATGCCCTGGTCACCACGGGAACGGACGACCTCACAGGTGAAATGAAGAGCCTCCGTAGATGAAGTTGAAGCATTTGTGGAAGTGCATTGCCCAGAGAAGCCAAAGAGTCCATTGGCATTATCACTCTTCAAGACTATCGAGTCAGTAAAAACACAAGGGGGTGTTAACATTGATTAATTTAAAAAAACATAAAGAAAGTCTCCTACAAATGTGGGTATTTCATTGCTAAGAAAAAATGTCACTGGAGAATTTGTACAAAATGAAGTGATCTGTAATTACATTCTGTTCAACCTTCAAATTCAAGTATTTTGAATTCCCACTTGACATTAAACTTGTTACAAATGATGCTATCAAAGCGGGGGAACTTTTGTCTCTTTAGATGGGTTTTAAAAGAACAAGTGTTTAATCCAGAGTCAGGTCTTTTGGATGATGATATTAAAGTCCAAAGAAATAAACAATCAGACTTGATTGAAACATGTACATCTTCGCCCCACAAAAAAAAAATTCATATACAGAATCACAACGATCAACTGCTCACCTGATAGTAGGGCCACATCTCCACCATCACTGAGAGCTGCGCCCCCTCTGACAGACATGAGAGACAGGGTGAACACCTCGTTTCCTTCCTCCTCCACATCCTGTACAGAATTCACTTCCAGGTCAGAAGAGGTCACGCCAGGGGCAAAGGTCACAGTTCCTGATATGGGAGTCACATCCTGGGCCACAGGGTTGTTAAGGAGCTCCATCATCTCTCTGTAATAATAATAATAATATAAATTTATAACGCGCACGATCAAGGTTCCGATCAAGGCGCGACAGACAAAAATGATGCAGATTACACAAAACAGTTCAACAGATATTATTTCTACACATAATTGTAGAATTGTGTAAGACAACACACATGGAATACAGTACTTTCAGTTCCAGCAGGTGTACAATGAATAGTGAGTGGTTTTAATACTTTACTGGGCATGCTCCATCATCTCTCTGTAAGACAACACACACATGGTGAACAGAACTTTCAGTGCTACAGAGTGTACAATAGTGAGTGGTCTCAATACTTGACTGAGCATGCTAAGGTCCCTGGTTGAAGTCTCAGCAAAGCATCAATATCCTCTGGCACGACATGCATCTACCTTTGCCATGTAAACTAATGTGTATGGTACTTGGTAGGCTTTTTAAAGTGAACAGTGTGCTGAAAATGGGTGTCAGAGCTAAAGCCAGGGTACTAATTTCCATATCACTTTGGAAATCTATATCAATCATAATGTGTTGTGTACTATACAGGAACGAAATAGTAAAGAGGACTGAGCTGCAAAAAATGAATCAAAATCCCCTCTTAGCCTTTTCCAATCCATAACACAAGAATAACTTCATTTTAATCATGAAAAGACTGGTAATCATTTCTCACCTCTCTTGAAGGACACTGTTGTATATCCTAACATCCTGTAGCATCCCAGTGTAGAGTTCATTCCCCGGTCTAGATGCTCCTACATACAGCTGCCCATCACCATCCAATACAACACCAGCAAGGTCACTGTATCAAAATAAGTGACAAAAAAAAAACTTAAGCCCTTAAGATCACTAAACAATCTGATAGCCAGTGCAATATGTGTATTTTTTTAATTTTAATTATCAACAAATTTCAATATTCTTCGCAGATTTCCAATGTAATTCCTTATTTCTTAATTCATCATGAAATTCAATTCCAATATTTCCGATATGTTTTACCAATGACACAAACTCAATCCTTCGGCATGCCAAATTTGTAATTTATGGTTTTAATGATTAACTTCAATAGTTTATTTTTAGAATGTTTCAGTTATGATTTTCATGCTTATTAATTGAAATTAATGAGTTGCCATAATAATTGTCAGTTGATCACTTTTATTTGAATTTCAATGTTGATTGCCTAGACTGTTTTAATATATTATTGTATAATTGCTTTTATCATGTATATACATTGTAAACTGTTGTAACCATTGCAATTTAGTCTTTGGACTGCGAGAATGGATAATTATCAATAAAATCCTTCAATCAATCAATCAATGATCCAGTTTTGGATATGAACATTCATTCAAACATTAAATCTCAATGACTCAAGGATCTCATTCATCATATGATTAATAAAATCTAGATTTCAAGACATTTCTTTTCAAGATTACATGGAGGAGGAAAGCTACATGGTCTAAGAATTGTAGTGACATCAGATATTTGTCTAATATTTGGAGTCGGTTCAGCTTTTATTGTGAATAGAAAGCATTTTTTTAAATACACAAAATTCTGGTTGTTTATATTGTTATCATTATAATAGCCTACATCAGGAAGATGATGTTTGTTTAGATTTCCATATCTAATATGATTGCCAGATCTTCATAAATCAGATAACAGATCATAAAGTGTGTGGATGTAGGGCTTTAGTATTTGCTTAGTCTCATATTTCAAAACTTTAAATGATAACACATTTACTGCAGAATACTGTTAGACTAAACACATTTTAAATGAAGGTAATTATACCACCACAAAATAGCAAAGATAAAGAAAACACTAGAAAATTTAATTCGTCATGCGGACGAATTAGGTGGTCTGTCTTCACTTCTTACCATATATTTGAGAATGGGAGAAGTTATATAGACATGTAAACAATGATGATGATGATCATATCATCATCATGATGAGCATGATGATGATCATGATAGTAATGGTGATGATGATGATGATAATGATAATGTTAGATGTTGATAATAACGATAATGTTAATGATATTGATGATGATGATCATGATGATGAGCATGATCCCGCAGCTGATGGAAAAAATGAGGGGACATTTAGATAGCATATAGTCTCAGCTATAACATACTCAAAAAGCATCAAAAATCAAGCAGAAACTATATAGAGTAGGGAGAAGTTATATAGACATGTAAACAATGCTGATCATGATGATATTGCTCGCGAAAGACGTACGGGAATGTAGAATCCAGTTTTGAGAAAAAGTCATGTCCTATAGAGAATACACACAAAATGTGCAAAATTGACATGCCTCCTTTAATCGCAAAAATACGCCATGATGCCTTTGTCAAAAGGAAATATCGTGGCGACTGCATTTGTAGAAAATTGTCTCAGCTAGAACATATCTAAAATTGGAGGATCATCGATCAATATTCACAGAGATACAATAAATTTTCTAAAAATATGCTGACGTCATAATATGCAAATAGATATTTTGAGTTCAGAGGCTATTGTGATGACATCATGAGTTCATCGAGGGTCAAATGAGACATGAAATCATATCTACGATTCTTACTCTATCCAAATATGAAAATAAAATTAGGGGTCTGCAGGCATCTTAAAGAGCTACAATTGATTTGGTACAGGCATGTTTTCGCCCATATATGCTATGTATTACAAGAGCTTGCACGCACAGACATTATCTTAAACGGACGCTCATTCCGTTATTAATGCTCAGAAAAAGGTAAACAAGGTATCAAAATGCTTGGCAAAAGATGTCAAATATGATGACAGAGAAAATATGGCGATTTTACGTTGCAAAATGCCTTACGAGCGGGTACGCGCGGAAACGCGCACGCATAGGTGTGCGAAAGCAAATTTTTCAAATGCTTAAAATGACCTGATTCATACTCTCGTTTAATAGTTAAGTGATTTTGAACATTTTTAAATTTTAACGCACGCATACGCTCGCATCATGACCTTTATGTGACCTTTGATGACAGGACATGTTGATCCTTAACCTGAAGTAAATGTGATATGAATATGAATGACCTTTGCGGATGCATCATGAAGATATGATGGATAATGTGATTTCACAAAATGGCGCCTGGATGACCTTAAAAATGTTACTGTCACGTCTCATGACAATTACCTATGACTGTGCCAAAATTTAAAGAAATTTACTAAACTGATATTGAATTATCCTGGTCACAAAAAAGCGAAGAATTAAATAAAAATAAAGAATAAATAAATAAAGAAAGAAAATTCTGACGAAATCAATAGGTGGTCTGTTGACAACAGACCACCTAATGACACACCCCATCATGTTGCATTACATTACAGTCAGGATAACAAATTCACAAAAACTCCCATATTGCTTACAGCTCTATGTAGAGCAACATAAGAGTTATCAAATCAATACATGAAATCCTAACATGAAATATGATAGGGTAGGAACATTAAAGCATATTTCAAATTTAAAAAAACTTACAGATCTATTCCAACTGCTATACCATCTATATAGAGGTTTGCTTTTAGTCTCTGGTTGTCCACTGTGACTACAACAAAATGCCATGCACCATTGGTCAGTTCCAGATCAAATCGGGTGGTCCCAAGGGCAAGGTTGGTCTGGAGAAAATGAGACATTATTTTACATATTAGGAATTAGAGCAATGCAGATATAAAGATTGTACCAAAACAAATTAGGTGTGTTCAGAATCAAAAGATGCTGTACAAGCAAAACCAAGAATAGCAACTGAGAAAGATTCTCACACAAAATATTTGTAAAAAATCACAGCAAAGTTATAACAGCTTTATAAAAACAAACAAGTAAATGTAAATACAATACAATACTCATTTTTACAGTACAAGTACAAAAAACAATTTTTTTTTATCACATCTTATAACAGATTTATGTACAAATCAACAAAAGCAGACATTTAATGTTAATATTTTCCTTCAACCCATATTCTTTGTAAAACAATTCCTCAGAGAGGTCTTAAAGCAAATTTATCCTTAATGATTACTTTCATTCTAGCAACACTGGCAAAAACAGGCCTAAAATCGAAACTTCAATTTTGTTTAAATGTAAGCGTTAAGACCTTACCAGTGTTGCTGTAGAGTACTCCAGCTCGAGGTATGTGACAGTCCTGGAAGGAACCTGGAGCCTGAGGCCGTAGTAGGTCACCAGGGCAGAAGCAGAAGAGACCTTAGAGATGATGAACCCATCACAGCCCTGGTCAGGACGCACCCAAGCGCTCATGGTAAACCCTGCGGCTGTGTCGGTGCGGGACGGGTGGTAGACTTGGGGTACTGTCATCAGTGATACTAAACACAAAAGAAAAGTAATCAGTCAGTACATGTACCAAGCAAGGGCTGTTACTGCTACATTTCTCAACCAGTTAGTGGCAATAGAATCACAACATACATGAAATTCACAAAAGACCATCACAATGGCATATGTGAACAGGTCTTAAATTAAGTCAACTAGATAAATGTGTTAATGTTTTAATACTAGCTTGTGATGAATATAGTCTGAACCACTGGTATATAGATAATTCTGATTGAGTGCTACTTACATATTTGCCCATTGAAGGAGTAGACGGGTGTGCCAGTGTACTGACGCTGTTCACCGGTCACTAGAGTTACTCCGTTAGAAGGATTATATTCACCAAGGAAGAGGAGGTCAATCACGCTAGGGAGGTTCCCTGAGATGATATCTGAGTAAAGTTCCCAAACAGCCTGCCGGAAGAGAAAAATGTTTAGTGTAAATTCGTGTTTTTAATCTTTACACTTCACCACTATAGAGATCAAATCCTGGTATCTAATCTATATTCTGCATATCAGATACATATATCTCCTCATCTCCAAAATTGTGCACAGTAAAACAACTTCACTTTGTTTTGTTTCATTGTTCTGTCTTGTTTTGTGTTTCAAATTAATGCTTGTGTCATAATATTATCAAAAGATTTATAACCTTGTTTTTTCAGGACCAAATATGAAATTGGCTAACTTTTATTAATAACCTCAGGACTCTGTTGTTCAGACTGTTGCAACCCTTTCAACCTAAGCTACTCAATGATCTGTAATTGTTTTAAAATGTTTTGATCTCATCCATGTGACTTAACAGCATACTTTCTTCAAAATAGTCCATGTCAGTGAAAGGCGACAGAATTTTCCAGAGCAATCTATTGACCATACAGCAACGCTTTATTATCACAACTAATAAATACAAAAAAGAACTTGATGGACGCTTGTTCTGACTCACCCCTACAGACCCAGAGGTCCCCTGGAGTCTCTGCACAGTGAAGATGGCTGTTGCTAGGTCCTCATCACCAGGATAGTAATCCTCAGCAACATCCTTCTCCCTTGAGGACGAGGAGAATACCAGGACACCGTAAGGGTCGTCATTCACCAAGATCTCAATGGATGCAGACAGGGACTGGCTTGTAGACAGTCTCCCTCCACCTAAATGAGATAGAGCAGTTATATTCATGGTACGGATCATCTACGCCCTGTCTAATACATAGGTGCGCCTGACCCAAATCAATTACAAGTCCCTCCAATTAATCATACATTTACAATCTCCTATCTCGTTGGTACATAGTTTTGACCGACTTCAAGCTGGGGTCAATTTGAATCAATAGCAACTCTTAGGAACATAGACAGCATTAGCAAGGGGAATTGATCAATGGGAGATTGGATATCATACAGAGGTTATCATAAACTACTATGCTGGTGACACAGCATGATTACCCCCTATTCCTAAAATAATGTTAAATGATATATCATAAATTCAAAGTACTAGTCATATACTGAGAGGGAAAATCATTGTGCGCCCCACAAAAGAGCCGTAGCAGGGGCATCCATAAATACATGTACTGTAGCATCAAAGAAATAATACCTATATACTGGGCACAGGACAAAATGCTACAATTTGATTATACGCTACATACTTCCAATTTTTATATTCAGGTAATACACTTCTTTCACCTCAACATGTATGCTACTGCCAAATGTTCAATTGTTCTGATGTTAAACAGAACTATGTACAGTCTTCAGTCAAATATATATGTGAGATAATGAAGGAACATAAGATAAGCCATACCATTTGTACTTGTCAGCGTAAGCAAGAAGTGTTCGTTGAACTCTGGGATACCATCAGTCAGGGTCCGAAGGGTGATAGTCCCTTGATTCTGACTGGTTGCAAACTCCACGTAACCTCTGACCTCTTCAAAGTCTTCATCGTCAGAGAGAGGTGTCGAGGTGTTGGTTGTGATGACCCAGTTGACCTGGACTATTCCAAAGCTACCACGCTCTCTCACAACACTGTGGAGTGAACAAAGTTAGTATCCATCAAACGTCTCAAAGGCCATTATCTAACTTGTATTTCACATGAGAAGGATAACAAAACATTTCATGAGATAGAATGATAATGTGGAAATCCAACATTTCCTCTGGCTTAATTTGTCAAAGAGAGAGGGTTAGAAGTGTGGATTGCTTTTAGCTTAGATGATAGGCATACACAAGAATTAGGTAAAGTGTTTGGGCAGGGTTAGGAATTCAAGTAGTAAAACTGACCACAGAGAAATTGTCATTGTGGAGTCAGTTATATAATCTCTGAAAACCTTATTATGCAAGGTCAAGAGAACAAGGAATACAAACATTTAGAAACTCTCTCTTTTAATGATCAAAAAGCTTGTCTGCTCTCTACAGAAATCCATCATTATTTGACTAGATTTTACTAGATAATACAACTTATATTTGCTTGATTCTCTCTATTCAGGGCATGCATGCACAATGAAGGTTCATCTATTACCGGTATTCCTGTCCTTTTGCATGCACAATTACCCCCCCCCCTTTCTCTCTCTCTCTCTCTCTCTCTCTCTCTCTCTCTCTCTCTTTATATTACTTACACAAAGTTCAAGACTGACTCCTCATTAGTGACAACATCTTCAACTGGTTCTAGGAAACTGAACACACCTCCTGGGTCATCATTAGCTTCTATAGTTACAGTTGCTATGCCAGAACCATACACTACAATATCACCTGTAACGGATAAAATGAGAGGATAGGCTTAATGTTGGTATTTCATGTAGTTCTGTCTTGTATATTTGTATGATATATTAATACATCTATGTAAGAATTTTGTACATTTAGGTCAATGATGGAAAACAAATTGGTGAGCATGTAAGATGTACAATGTACACAGAACCACTCCCCCTCCTCCACAAACCTCTTCACATTTATGCAAAAAGTAACTTTTCAATATTTTCACAACATGACTTCTAGACTAGATTTGAAACAAGGCACATTTTACTTGAAATGTCCAAAAATTAGAAACAGTCAATTCTATGACTACATCAGCAATGCAAGCAACATGTTTCTAATCGTGTATTATTAATGAGAGTAGTTTAAGTATTCTAGAAACAGATGAAAGAAGTACTGCCAATCTACAGACAAAAGACATACAAAATTTCAACATGTTCACACCCTAAAACAAACATAGTTCTTACCAATGGGGTTGAACAGCTGGACCAAGAATGTTTCAGAATCTTCAGGTTCCGTGTCATCCAAGATGAGAAGATCAATAGAGGCCGTCATGACTCCAACAGGGAAGCTCAGCTGACCGCTTGTCTCTGCAAAGTCATCTCTGGTCGATAGGGCTGTGCCTGGCAGGGTCCGGAAGTCTACAGTGGCTGCAGAGTCTCCAGTGCTGTTCCGCCGGACAGTCAGGGTCACAGAACCAGGCTCATTCACAGTAACATTCACAGGATCTGGAGAAGAAAATCATGTTCAATAAATTTCTCAAAGGTATAACATGTAAATATTTTAGTTTTTTAACTGATAGAGAACATAATTCAAAGCAAACCTTGGCAAATTCAATTCCAATAAATAAAAGGTAGGCACTATGGTATAAAATTACATGAAGAAATAACATTTGAATGAAAGATAATTTGAGGACCCATTGCACTGATATACAAAAATGAAACATTGTATAAAGTCCAAGAAGGCCACATAAGTGAAGGAAATTGTACTTGATGTACCTCAGACTTAGGCAAACTTTTGGCATTTTCTAAAGTGACACAAAAGTTCTATGCATAACTTATACAAAAATTAAGAGATTACAACTCACCTTCAAAGAAGACAGCATCATCATTTTTATTGATGTTAAGAGTGGCTGTAGCAGGTGCTCCAAGACGGCTACCTCCAGTTGGGTTAGAGACAGTGATAGTAAAACTCTCAGATCCTTCAGGAATCTAGGAAGAAACAAAATGTGTCATTGATTTAAAGAAGAAATTATAAAGTCTACAAATATCAAGTTGATACACATGTAAGTAATTTGAAATTTCGAAGTGCACAATCAACTGAGAAACTGGTGTCTGTGCTACTCATTTGCCTAATAATAGTAATAATAATAGTGGGTTCTAGTATAGCACTCATGTCTGTCAGACTTGACACTCCTGGTGCTCCCGATTATTAACCTGGCTTTAGCATGGCTGCCATTACGGCGCTCAAGCATTTCAAGGAATTAATTCCTGCCAAGTACCCATTTACATAACCTGAGTTGAGTGAGAAAAATAAACAGAAATACAAATGCATGCATGAATTCTGCTTAATCCAGTCTTCATTTGTATTCCTGATATTTAATCATAATTTCCAAGATGAAAATAAAACCGTAAAAACAAAATCTGTGTAAACTTCCAGATCATATACCTGGTCATTGCGAGCTGTGACAGAAACAAACTTGAGGCTTTCTCCATTCCCAAATGTGACAACACCTTGAGTAGGAATAAGATCAAAGAATGATCCTGCAGGCTGTACATTCCAAGATACAGAAGCCTCTCCGAAGGTACCTCTCGACCTCACCACCGCAAACTCAGCCGTCTGGTTGCTACTGCTAGTGCTCTCATCAATGTAGATCAAGGCTGGGTCGTCTTGGAATTCAATAACGCCATACGGGTCATCGTTGCTGAGGACTGTGATCTCTATCATGGTACGGTTACCAAGTTTGCTTGCAGGCGTGCCGTATGGGGAGAGAGTCAGGTAAAATGTTTCATCTAATTCAGGGATGTCATCAGCAACTGCTGCAAGAGTGATAGTGTAGGTATGGACACCAGGTGGAAACTCTGCCAAGCCCTGGGCACCAAAGAACTCTGCACTTCCACCCCCCTCGATGGAGAATACAACACTCCTCTGGACCAAGCTTCCACCAGTACGTTCCATCTGGATCTGGATGACATCACCTCCTTCTGAGATGGTGTATGGTCCAGCCGTGGAAGAGGAGAACTCAAAGCTGCCACCAGGGTTGTCGTTTTCAAGGATGGTGACAGTGGCGATGGTGTCTTCGGAGCGAAGAAGCTGATTATCTGGAAAGACTTGATAAAGTTCCACTCCAAACGTTTCATCTGTTTCCGCAAGTTCATCAGGTAAAATTTCAACAGTGAGGACCTGCATAGATTCACCTAGATGTTGAAAAATGAAATGAATGATAACATTTCAAAAACTTGATATAAAAGAAGTACAAAATACATTTAAACACCTTTACATGCTAAAACTTGAACTTTTGATTTGATATTTAATTCCCAATAAAAAAAGATTCAAGAAAATGTGGGGTGACTACAACTACATTGCGACAACTGAGATTTAATTCTGGTAGAAAAAGGCAATTCCAATGAAACTGGATACAATGAACCTACATTAGCAGTTACCTGACTATAGAAAGACCACCTGTATATAAAGGCCATGTTTCTGTTTCCCTTGAATAGTGTTTCTCATTGAGTTGTGTACTTACAGAGCCTGTACATAAAGACCACCTGCCTATAAAGACCTCTTTTCTTGTCTCCATTGAGTGGTCTTTATATACAGTTAACAGCAGAATTATTCATATCCCTTGTAAATTTGATGTCTTTGGTATTTTGAAACTCAAGAATGAAAGGTGGACATGCTAAATTGGGGCCTTTGTTGAATACCTAACGATGTATGCCACATTTTCTAGAAACATGACTTGGGACAAATAAATTTCACACACTTGAAAAATTCAAAACTTGGCAATGGTACAAACAATTTAATTTTAGTTTTCAACTGTACAGATTTTACTGCAACAGCTTAGAATTGACAGTATCTACTATTCATCATCGGCAATCACAGAACTCTGACAACATTTTGAGGAAATAACAAAATAAAAAATGGGCTTCAATAATTGCATTCTAAGCCATTATTCTAAATAAAATAACTTTAATCTATGCATCTTCTCACCTGGAGCAAACCTGACAGAGCCATTAGGAAAGCCATAGTCATCCTCAGAGGCAATGTTCCCTGAACCTGATTGATCAATGATCCTCCAAAGCACCACGGCTTCTCCTGATGTACCTTCTCGGGTCAGGTTCAGTGATAGCTGCATGTACAACAAGACAAAAATAGGCCCAAGGGAAAAAGTCAACAATAAATATATGAAATGATGCAAATTTATTTGTAAGTGTCTAAAGCAATTCAAATGAACAAGGATATTAAGAATAAGTGGAAGATTTCAAAAACATTTCAAACAAAAGTTTGAAGCATTCTTCTCTGTGTTATCAACTGTTTATTCACCCAAACACGTTAATTTTTTGTTGAACAAACAAGACGATATTGCTTGGACAGTACAATTTTGAAATAGATTTACCCACATTTAACCACATGTGTAGTGTGTCAAACTTGAATTATTATAGTGCCCGTACCATCAGGCAAATAGGACTTGTCTTTCATTATACGGTCTCCAAAAAAATGTACATTCAGTACATTCATGTTCATGTACACACAAAAGGGCAACAAAACTAGAATAATTCCTGAATACAATTATATATAATACTGTCTGTAAATGAATATGAGCTTGTGCCCTTCTGGCTCTCAACAGACTATTACTTTTCTAAAGCTCAAGATTTACAAAGGATTTCAAATAAGACTCACTTCATATGGATTTGGGCCCATTGGTTCCTGGACATCCACGGCCAAGCCAAACATATTGAAGCCAATTTCTCCATTAGCAATGGCTGTCGTTATTGGCAGAGATACTGTGACCTTTGACCCGATGCGAGGGCTGGTGGGCGGGAGGATCGGAGTTGGACTGAGCAGAGACACATCCACCAGCGTGATGAAAAACTGTGCACCAAGACTGAGGAAAGCATTGGCCTGAACAGGAACCTCAAAACGATGGACGGAGGTTCCATCCAGGAATACTGTTGTACTGCTGCCAACAGATTCTAAGACATCTATAAGTGAGGAGAATTATGAAATGAAGCACAGGACAAAGCATTTCCTTTTTTCAGCAATTGAAAATTCATATAAATATCCAAAGGTTTACTCTAACACCGTAAAGAATATATATATATATATATATTAATGTGTAAATCTCACATTAAAAAGCTCTTCATATATATGTATATATATAAGTAAACCATTATAAATAAGCATCATCAAAAATTTAATGTTTTACTTTGTTACAACAATTTTGTATACAAATGACACATAATGTATCTTGATCTGTAATGACTAATCGTTAATTTTATTCTTTTGAAATATCAGTAGAATTGTTTCCTGTATAAGATGCATCAATGGAAAATGAATGAAATTATTCATACACTTACTTTCTGTTTCATCCAAAGATCCATCCATCAAGACATAAGATGCATTGAAGGTGACAAGCAGATCTCCAACTCTTCCTCCACTCCTGGTCAAGAGGAGCTGCAATCTCCTAGGTTGAGGGCTGACCAAGATGGACTGGTCACTATCAGAAGAGAACTGCAGGACTCCATAGACATCGTCGCTGTCACGAACCACCAGAGTCCCCTCAATGACCCCGTCCACCCTGACGCCTCCTGTGGCAGTCTCAGGTAGGAGCTGGATGATGTATACCTTTTTTCAAGATTCAAATGAGGTTTTATTCACGACTTGTCAAAAAGTCCAAAGACTAAATATGCAAGTTTACATCAAACATACAATCATATAAAAAAAACATATATTTATATATATAAAGAAAACATAGCAAATGGGGAAAAAAATATATATATAAAAATGAATAAATGTTTACATCAAAACAGCAAAGCGGTATCCAAAATGAAATACATACACAATATAAAATATTGCTAGTAAAATTGAGTAAATGTTTAAATCAAAACAAATAAAATAAAATGTATACAGATACAGGAATTCAATTAAAGATGAAGTTGAGTTCTGGTCATGCGATTGCATTGTGAAAGAAACGGTGTGGAACCGACCAGAAAAGGTTGATCATCTAGCATATAAGAATTTGTGTGTATTGCAAGGTTCTGGAATCATCAAAATGATAAGAAATGTGGCCAAGTCTTGGTAAAGTTACAAACACTTGCACAGAAAGATGCATATGGGACTACACGAACACGTGGCGTAAAAAACCGGCCCCCCGATTTTTACAATGTTACATGCATATTTAGAATATGAAGGCATTTGAAGAGCCATGCTTTTCAGGGAACATGTCTTAACTGATGTTCTTCCACACTTGCATAATAAGAATGAGTAATGCTCACAAATTATTTTTCACCTCTTCCCAGAACTCAACCTTCTCTTTAAAAACTGTGATAAAATGCAATACAAATGTATTCAGATGGTGTAATAAATATTAAAAAGTATTAAGAAGTATAAAAATTGGAGTATTGGCAGTATGGTAATCACCTCTGCTTCTTCTGGTATGCTGTCCTGTGAGATCGGGATGGTGAGCTCCTGGGATCGCTGTCCATCCTGGAAGCGGACTATGCCAGAAGACTCTTGAGTCTGTGAGGTGTTGAGCAGCACTTGGTAACCCACAGTCACCTCTCCAAATGCTCCTCCTGTCCTCACAACCACAAAGTCTCTCACGATACGTGTTGTTTCCTCATCAACCACGATGTACAGAGATCCGGAGGAATTGAAGGAGAGAACTCCGTTGTGATCATCGTTTGCAAGGATCCTTGCGATAGTACTTGATGGAGCTGCGATAACTGCATTATCGGATGGGTTGATCAGGGTAATAACAATGTCCTCACTGAGTTCTGGGGTGCTGTCCGGTAAAATCCCAATATTGATGGGCATCCTGGTTTCTCCCGAAGAAAAGGTGATACTGCCATTCGTTGCCACATAGTCTAGACCGAATTCGGCACCACTGGGTGTGAGGTAATAGTTCACGGTGACAGACCCCTCCACAGTGCCAAGACTGGTCTCTCCATCAGCTGCCAACCCTCTCAAGACCTCCACAAAGACGTTCCCTGCATCCTCATCAAAGATGTAGAGGGGTTGGGCAAAGCGCAGGGGACTATCGTTCTCTTGGATGATCAGTTGCATAGATGAGGCCGAAGCATTCAGCCGTGCACCACCCGTTACACTAGTCAGCTCAATATTGAAAACCTCTTCATTCTCAGGCACCTGTGGCAAATAAAACAGACATAGGAATACATCAAACCGTCATAGTCTTTCCACATACACATGTAGTGCTAACTCCTTCCTCAATGAAATGAGATATCACTGACATCAGAGGGTCGGGGCACAGATGAGTAATTAATAAAAAATGGCTTAAAAATTATTCCTGAATTGCTGCTGTATCACCACAATGTCAGCTTTAATTCAAGATTTCAGCAAAAAAAATTCCATGTGAAAATTTCAACCACAATTTCTCTGACCTTCACAAAAATGAAAACAAAAATTCAAACTTTATCATCCTTTACTTGTCAAATACCAAGCCCAAGATCACTTGGGATGCAGTATGAGGAAAAATGTGTGGAAGACTATACCACAATGAAATTGTATTCAAATGGTTAATCATGTAAAACAGCAAATAACACAACTATGAATTTTTAGTATTAAAACAGTTATAATCTTAGAATGGCAATAACCTTACAATGTTGTTTACCTGATCTGCTAGTACTGATACAATAAACGATGCTGCCGAATCCCCTTCTTGGAATGTAACAGATGATGTCACAGGTGAAAGGTCATTACTTGCTGCATTGGGGCCACCTGATATCTGCAATTAGGATGTACACATGTATATGACACTGATGAAGAACTTTAAGCAACATTGCTTCTTCACCAAATTCACCTGAGTATATGACACTAATAGAGAGATTTTTAAGAACCAATGAAGAAATCTTGCTTTGTTTAAAAAATCAATTTACCTGAGTGAATATGTAGGTAATCATTATTGTTTATATTAATTTCACATACATTTAATTACACATACATGTGACAAAGTTGTTTTTTTTTAATAGGAACAAATCCTTAGAGTGACTAGATAGCTTTGTTCCATTTCCTGGCTGTACAGAAACAAGTTACATGTGCTCTCTCCAGAGTAAATGTCAGGTTACAAAATAAAATCTTAAAAAATCAGTTTGTACCAAAAATCACAAATGTCTTGGTACAGCTATTTCAAGGTTCTAATATATTGTTCACAAATATACTCCACAATATATCTAAAAAAGCAGGTTTGAAGGCTTCAAATGAAAACTATTGAATGTTTAGTGCATTTTAGGAAGAAGAAAGTAAAGAGTGAAGTTGAGGAAGATTTACAGGCAATTCCTTCAACATCTAATTTATTTGAAAACCAACTTCATTATTTTCTAAACCCTGTCAATTATGCAATCAATTTTAGATGAGGCTACAGTGTACATGTCTTACCTGATAGTTAACCACTACGGTGCCAAAGAGACCAGCATCTCTTCTCAGTAAGAACTGGACAGGGTTATTACTACCCTGATCTTCATTTACATACAATGGTGATACCTGTGATCATACAAGGAATCAAAGTGGGTACAAAACAGTTATGGGTTGGTGATTGCACTTGTCTACAAAATACCTGTATCATGTATATATTACATTTACACAGAAGTAGGATGTAAGATAGTCTGGTTGGATCAATAGTGCATTATGTTCATACATGTAAATGTATTGAATAATTAAAAATTTAAAAAAATATACACAATATGAAGTACTCTTGAATTTGTAACAACTATCGTCTGTTTGGAATATATGGAACTCCCACCATTTTGGTTCAAAACATAACATAAGCATGTACTTGTGTTTAATACCAAACACTTCAAATGAAGGTTGTAAAACTATGCAATTCAAGAATTTTGACACCATACAAATTATAGCAGTAATTAAAGAATGCAATTGTATCAAAGATTTACAACTTCACAGTGAAAATGAAATGGCCTCACAATGCCAATTCTCATAATAACATACAGACAGTGGACAAATATATACATTTAAACCCCATGTCAATGCAAATGTGTACTCCATCCTGAGGCATCCTCCCCTACCATGTTTGTGAATTGCTTGCACCTGTGCCTTTTTGTGTAAACAATGTCAATTACCTGTACTGTGTATAGAGCATATCCCCTTATTTAACTTGTCATTGCTCTAACAGTGTGTCCAATATATTAATCAGAGAAAAGATGTTTTGTTGACACAGTTAGACTCTTAAAAACAGATGGTACGCATTTGATCTATAAAAGTCCAGCTATACATTTACAATGTACATGTAATTGTACAAAGCATTTTCTTCTGTTTATGTTCTATTGTGCAATATCTTGCTATCCCTATTCCTTATGCCTCTTCCAATCTCTGATGATAAACTTCCGATCTCCTCTCTCCCTCTCTTATCCCTCTTTATATTTAATACATTTTTCTCTTTTCTATCTTCTTGTCTGCCTCTCTCTCTCTCTCTCTCTCTCTCACTCCCTCTCTCTCTGTTTCTCTTTCTCTCTCTCTTCTTGTTTGCCTCTCTCTCTCTCTCTGTTACACACACTCTCTCTCTCTCTCTCTCTCTCTCTCTCTCTTTCTGTCTTTCTCTCTCCATTTATCTCTCACATTCTATTCTACCTTCCTATTTTTTATCTATCATAAAGACAATTAATGGTCTATTAATTACCAGTATGAAAGAGTTTGAGAGAGAGAGGAAGAATTCCACTACTGTACATTTTATGTAAGCCTATTATCGGCACCTTTTCAAAGTATGAAAGCATTCACCTATTATGAAATGCTACTTTGCTAGGCCGACTGATATGCATATAATACGAAAGTTAAACTTACCATATCGAATGCAATGATCCCAAAAGCATCGTCGCTGTCGTCCACGGTGACCTGAGCCTGGCTGGGGCTTCCAATACTAGCCCCATTGCCTATGACTTGTAATGTTAACATGAAGATCTCTGCTGGTTCTGGCAGCACATCATCTATTGAGGTGAACGATGCAGTCTCAGTGGAAGAGGTGTCACTCGCTTCAAATGTTAGAATTGTTGATTTTTCAAAGAAATCATCATTTTGATCTTGAATCTGCAAAGGAGGAGAAAAGTATTCAAGACTTTAATACTTTCCTGCATTGATTTTTTTTAAATTTCCTTTATGACATAGATTTCACCTGGTGAGTATTGTTCATTTCTCTACTAACATACAAACAGTTTGCCTTTTTAAAGTAAGTTGTAAAAGATATTTTCCTGCATGACTTATGACTCATGTGAAAAAATTACCTTTTTTTCCCATTTGTCTTAAGTCTAAACTGTCTATTTTACATTTATAGGATTTAATGTACATCATACTTAGTCTGACAGGTTGATCCTGGAGGTGCAGTCTGAGTTGAATAGTAAATGGAATAATCTATCTTCTATGACAGAAAAGATGGGATCAGGCATGATGGATCTTCAGAATATGTCTGATTCACACATCCGGAAAATCACGGCACTAGAGAAACAACTTGAGAAAAAAGAAGAATGCATTTCTCGCTTGGAGTATGAGACCAACGAGTTAGAACAGTACTCAAGAAGATCATGTGTTCGTATTTTTGGAGTTAAAGAAGAGAAGAATGAAAATACAGATGATATTATTATCTCGGTAGCAAAGAAAATGAATGTGGACCTGCGTCTTGAGCAGATAGACAGATCTCATCGTGTAGGTAGGCTTCCCCAGGACAAAACAAGAAGTTGTGGCATCATTGCTAAATTGTCTTCGTATCGCATAAGGCAGATGCTCCTCAAACATCGAACTTCGCTGAAAGGAGCAAGGATTGCTATCTATGAGGACCTTACTCCTAGGAATTTTGACCTGCTACATGAAGCAAAGTCCTGTGAGAAAGTACAAGCTGCTTGGTCTTCTGATGGCAAAGTATTTGTACTGTCATCCAAGCGAAATGGTAATACAACTAAACAGATGATACGAAGCAAAGCTGATCTTTTGAGATTATAAACATGGTGGCGACTCAATGTAATGAAATTCTTGGGAATATGCATATTGCCTTACGGCATGAATGTGAAGTTGGCCAGTTGACTTCTTCAGGCAGGATCATTCTCATTCTCATTCTTATTTACCTCTTTATGAAGGAACTCCACTGTGAACTGTTTATATGTATTAGCATGCATCGATGTCTACATTATTAATCATAAAACTCCATGTGTTTATGAAGTTTTTAATATGTATGATAAATTCCTCGGATCCACATATTCATATTCGTATTTTATATTCTGACTTTAAATGTGCTTTATACAGGTTGTATGTTCAATGATAGTATAACTGTAACTTATCTGTTCCAGATGGCTTTTGCCATTCCACTTACCCATTTTTTTCTTCTTTAGTAAGTCAGTTGTAACTATGTAGATTAAGAAAGTACAGTTGTAGTAATTTTTAAAAACTGTTCAAAATATTTATCTACATGTAATCTTTTCCATAGATTTAACACAGATCAACAGGTTGTAACTTTTCACTGTTTTTAATTCTATTTCCTTCAGAAGATAGTTTGAGGCATATTTACAAAAAGAGGTGACTTGAATCACATGTACTTGTATTTATTATTACATATTGCTATATTCATAATATTTTTTTATGAGTGACACATTTATGACTGCTAAATCAGAATATTATGAGTTGAAAAATTTACCTGAGTGCAAGTCTTCATTTTTTTCATTATTCCATGCTAATGTAAGAAGTTTTAAAAAAAATACTGATAAATTACATGCATGTCTATCAAATATCAAACCTTCTTTTTCAGTAATAGGAATTACAGAAACATGGATAAAAGAAAATGAGAAACTTCTGCCAATCCACGAATTGGATGGATATAATTTTGTCAGTCAAGGTAGAAGTGATCGCTCAGGTGGTGGAGTTGGAATATTTGTAAATGAATCATTGAAATATAAAATACGTGAAGACTTAAAATTATTTGTGAGTGAAGTAGAAAGTATGTTTGTTGAACTTTTTTTCAACAGGAAGAGTGTCATAGTTGGCGTAGTATACAGACCACCAGGTCAGACAATTCTTGCATTCAAGGAATCTTTTGAACCAATCCTCTTTAAAGTTATTGGTGATCACAAACCTTGCTATATAATGGGAGATTTCAATATAAATCATTTTGTTGGAGAAGAGATGGAGCCTAATGATTTTGTACAATTTATGAATTCCTATTCTTTTTCTCCTGTAATATCTAAGCCAACTCGAATCACTATAGAAACCTCAACTTTGTTGGATAATATTTTTGTTAACAGCACATGTGATGATTATTTGTCTGGAATTATTACATACCCTGTAAGTGACCACATGCCTATATTTTGTATTTCTAATCTTATTATGAATTCAGACCAAAATGTAAGGTCTGCTCGAAGTGTGAGGCATATTAACGAAGAAAATATAATATTATTCTGTACTGAATTGAGTAAGGTGAACTGGGAATTCATTTTGAAAAATTCAACTACTGATGTTAACCAGTTATACAATTCATTTTTTGAGGTTTTTGGCTCTATTTATGATCATTGCTTTCCAAAACAACAATCCAAAGATAATCGAAAAGAAAAACGTAACCCATGGTATGATCATTCTTTAAAAAAGCTTTGTCGTAAGAAAAATGCTTTGTATCACAAATTTATAAAAAATCCCACCCATTACAGAGAAGATGTTTACAACTACAAGAAACAAAGGAATATTGTAAATAATGCGATTAGAAGTGCAAAACGTGACTATTATCAAAAGAAATTTTATGGTAAAAGAAATGATTTGAAAGGAACATGGCGTGTTATAAACAATATTTTAAAACAACAAAAGAAAATTGAATGTCCAAGTCTTTTAAAAGATGGACAAAATATTGAGGAACCATCAGAAGTGTTGCGAGTTTTTAATGAATATTTTGTTTCTGTTGGTGAGAATGTTGCAAACAATATGCCTAATACTTTAACAGACCCTATTAAATATTTGTGTGGTGATTATCCACAATCCTTATTTTTCACATGTACAAAGGAATCTGAGGTAATCAATACAGTGTTTTAGTTTAAAAGAAGGCAAAAGCGCAGGTTACGATGATATAGACACCAAAGTTTTAAAACAATGTATACACATTGTTGCTCCAGTGTTAACTCATATTTTCAATACCTCTATAGAAACAGGATGCTTTCCAGATGCTTTAAAAGTTGCTAAAGTTTTGCCAATATTTAAAAAGGGAGATAAATCTTTATGTACAAACTATCAACCTGTGTCCCTGCTTTCGGTCTTTGATAAACTTTTTGAAAAATTGATATATGCAAAACTTATGTCTTATATATGTAAACACAATATTTTATACAACAGACAATTTGGTTTTCGCTCTGGACATTCTACATCTATGGCCCTACTTGAATTTATCGATCAACTTAATACAGCTTTTGAAAATAAGAATATTGGACTGGGAATATTTTTGGACCTATCAAAGGCATTCGACTCAATCAATCATGATATTTTGTTACGTAAGTTGAAATTTTATGGTATTAGAGGAATTTCTTTAGAATTGATACATAGCTATTTATTTAACAGAAAGCAATTTGTTTATATAGATGGTGTTAACTCAACATTATTGACACTCGCTGGAGGTATTCCGCAAGGGTCAATTTTAGGTCCATTAATTTTTCTATTATATATTAATGACATTCAATACGTAAGCCCAAACCTTTGCCCAATCATATTTGCAGATGACACAAACCTCTTTGTGTCTGGTAAAAATATCTATGAAATATCAACCATAATTACTTCAGAAATACCAAAAATTGAGTTGTGGTTTTTGGCTAACAAATTACTTATAAATTAAACAAAAACTAATTATATGATATTCAAGCAGAAAAACAAAAAACTTTCAGGTCAAAATAACTATAATATATTACAAGTTTCTAATACTGTATTTCTTGGAGTGACACTTGATGAAAATCTTACTTGGGCTCCACATATTAATAATACCCGGCGGAAGATTTCATGTGCAATAGGTGTATTATATAGAATACGACACTTGATTCCTCTAAATATATTGATTAATATCTACAATGCAATCATTCTTCCTCATCTGTCCTATTGTACTTTGATATGGGGACATTGTGCAAAAACTTTAATGAATCAAGTTTATGTTTTACAGAAAAGAGCACTACGTGCAATTACAAATTCTCACCCCAGAACCCCATCTGAACCGCATTTTAGGAAATTAAATGTACTTACCATATTTCAAATACATGAATTGCAAGTTGGATCATTTATGTATATGTACAATAAGAATATGTTACCTTCTATTTTCGATAATATGTTCAAAATAACAAAGGATGTTCATCCTCATTACACAAGACATGCTAATGATTTATATATTCCATTGTTAAAATACCATACTTCACGTAGATCAGTTAAATATTCCGGAGTAATTAGTTGGAATGCAATACCTACCCATATAAAAATGTGCCCATCTGTTGCCTCATTTAAACGTAAATACAAGAACTATTTAATGAAGGAATTCCTATCGTATGTTTAATTCATTTAGCCTGTACTCATTTGTTTATTTACTTACTACCCATTGTTTATTTTTTATTTTTTTCTCTGTACTTTGTATTATTAGCTGAGGACACGAGCCCAGCCTTTGAAAGGCCAATGGCCTCTGCTGGCTCCTCCATATTCTTTGTATTATTTATATTTATATATTTGCTTATATGTATAATGTATTGTTAAATGTATTTTTATACGAGAAATGGAAATAAAATGAACTTGAACTTGAACTTACACTAATAGCTGAGACAATGATAAAGACAAAGTTGAGAGCTGCTCATGCAATTGGAAAAGATTGTTTTCTTAAGGAAGAAAATACCAATATGTGTATATTCTGAGGTCTTGGAATCATCTACCTGATAAGATATTGGCAGAGTCTTACTGAAAGCTACATGCAATCTAAACTGTAATGGGAATACATGTTAATGGGACTACACAACATGTTGCATAGAAGTTTGGTCTTAACACTGCAGCTATTTCTTGTTGTATATTTCAAATATGAGGTCATTTGAGAAGCGATTCTTTTCAGAAGACACTGTTTCTAGGATATTCTTCCACATTGAAATAGAAAGATAAAAAAGTTCACTGCTTATTTGTCATCTTTACCAGAACTCAACTTTGTCTGGAACTCTTCTCACCTTTACTGCAATATTGATCTGTTGAGTGCTTGCCCCTGCCTTCTCCACTCTAACATTAGCTACACTGCCCTCTGCTATACTGACTGCTGTGTCTTGAAACCTTATCGTCTGAGCTTGGGTTAGGGCCACTGATGCTGCCAGCAGCAACAGAACCCCACAAACATTACACGGCATGCTGCAATCTGCAAGACAAATGAAGTTTGGGTTACTCAAACATGTACCATACAAGCTTATGTAAGATAGCATTATACAATGGATGGCTATAAAAGCGTGACTTGATTTGAGCACACACGTATCTTCCAAATTTTAAAATTAGCCCAGGCACCCGTTAGATCTGACAAAAGAAAGCCTGAAAATACCATATAATATATGATACGATTATAAGACTTTCCCTGATTTTCAGGATTTTGACTGATATAAGTCTGGCACAGTTACTTATCAGGTCTGTATTTGAGGGGTTAACTGCAGAATAGGCACATGCAAGATTGTGATTTTAAAAGTGAAATTCATCAATAAACATTTTTGGAATTATTTTATTTTCCACCATTTAAACACACATGATAAATTTATACTTTTTCTAATACATTGTGAGCTAAATATACATTTTTACCTTTATTTTCAACTGGTGCAGTGTGGGCTCAGGGAGATCCCATCTCCCTTAAAAACTAACTCTAGGGAGCTCCGCCACCAAAGGAAAACAATTAAAACAGCAGGTTTGGTCACATTTTCAAAGAAAAAGATCCCTTCTCAACCTTGTCCATATTCAGCAATTTCGAGCGAACAGGGCTCTATACATGAATATTCGTATTTGCAATTTTCTTCACTGCTTCAAAATCATCCTTAAAATTTTTTTTAGAAACGAATTTGATACAAGGTCCGCGAGTGTTCCCTGTTTCTTGCGTGTTGAAAGTTAGGTAATACATAGTTTGCATTGACTCGCGCACGAACAAATGGCTCGAAAAAAAATGTCAAATGGAGAAATAAACAAGCTTTGGTATAGTTATTAGAGATCTACCAAGGTTTCTTTGTCGTTTTTATATATTATATAGTCTCAATTAGAATTCAGAATTATCTCACTGAAAAGTTAAGAACACCGACGATGTTCTCGATCGTAGTTATTTTCATTTTGCCAGCAGTCGATCTAGCGTTGTTTTGGCAAAAGCTAGCCAGCCAGCTTCCCAACGCAAATCTTTGGAGTCCCGCTAAAATTTCGCGCTGCAAATCTCCAAAGGTGCATCGGTCTCCCTAGCAAACTCCCAGCCCGCTAGCTTCCCACGACGGACCATTCGTGGTATGTCGAGAGTGTGTGTGCGAGGTACGATTTTGATTTCGAGAATGCACGTAATGCAACCGTGCACGTCATTTTCAGCTGCCGAATGTCTTAGGACATTTTTACATGTATGATTTTTAGGAAGAATATTTGGTCAGTTTTCTTCTTATATCTTTCGTTGTAGTCTACAACAATTAAAAATATATTTTCTTTAAATTTACACCTGACATGGTTCAGACTAATTGTCTGATGTGTTTTCAAGTCAATTTTTTAATTTATTTTTTGTATGAATTTGCCCATCTTCGCCATGTTGAATTGGATGATATACAATTTACATTGATGAATTGGGTTGGGACAATTAGAAATCCCCCTTCGAGTTCGAGCATCCGTGAATTTATTGACTGTAATTCTAATTATGATCGCTAACGGCTAAGTTCACGCACACAGTAGCGCAGACTGTAGTGTTATGAAAACCGTTAGAAAAACGCAAAATTTGGTTTCGATTTCCAATCATAAATATCTTGATAATAAATCAGACAGGTGATTCCTAGCTTGTAAAACTAGATTAAAGGAGCCCGTTTTCGGCCACTTAAGACAAAATCCTATTTTTAGGACCCTTTACTTCCTATTTATTATCATTTTTTGTTCAAATCATGAAGCAAATATTATTATTATTTAAACAAAACAAGAATCCCAGAAAAAAATCACGAATTGCCATGACAATATTCATTTCAATTTTCACTGTTTCGGAGTCAGTTTTCGGCATAGCGTACCAGTTTTCGGTCGCATGTACAAAGTCAATAGGAAGCGCGCGCACGCGCCGTGCATTTCCGCGCTGATCTATAGCACTAGCGGGCGGAGCAGATATCCCACGCCGGAGCTCACCGGAGCTCGCCAGGCCGAAAACTAGTACTGTGGTGATCGGATATTGGAATCTGAATTAGACAGAGATATCGTGTGTGCGTTGCGGTGTGCGGCTGCATTGATTTAATACATGCGATGAGATACTTTTGAGCTTGCGACTAGCACAAAATCGGGCTCTAAATCTGAAAAATACTTGAAATAAAGCTCATTTTATGGTACCCATATTTCTTACAGACACGCGTAAGATAGCCTACTCGATTTTTCAGATTCGGGTAGCGGGACCGCCGATTACATCGCTAAAATGTGATATTTTAGGATATATTTTTCATTGCAAATGTGGTTCTTCAGTGACACTGGCATGGTATGGTATGTGTGGGATATGTGTTATGCTATTATGCGACGTATTTTAGAGTGATTTTACCTTGCATCCAACCAATCGGCCGAAAACTGGAGCTGGCCGATTACCGGCTCCTTTACTCTAAGTAAAAGTCATGGGGTTCCTGACTGACCTAGATCTAAGGATTTATAATTATAATTGCAGCATGAGTTAAATCCAGGATTTTGTTTCAGAATCTGAGACAAAGTTACCAGATCCCTTTAACTTTAAGGCTAGGGATCCCCATCATTATTTTCCAAACACCTGTCGAGCTGTCGTTGCATTGCCAATCGCCCCATAGTATTACACCTGTTGCGCGATGCCGTACCTCCCCGCCGATAGATCCATTTAAATTCCTGGCTGTGCACTTTCACCGTTACGAAAATTCCCACTTTCACCTACGCATATACAAGCTAAGAAATAATTGTGCGTTCCATTTAAAATGATCATTTTAAAGAGAAAAATAGGGATTTCACTTACATCAAACGCCACTCTTTGTTGAATGCTCTCCAGGACAACAGTCGTGAAATTTGATATTTCTATATGAAAATATCGTTAGGCGTCTAGCTCTCGGCGTCTGTTGTTTCTACGGGTGAGTAATTGAATGCGCTGATGACCTCCGGAATTTCGAATTTGCGTTGAGCTCAATGCAATAAACGGGGAACAGCGAACGACCCTAAGTGAACGTAGATGGCCGTTTTTTTCTTTTGACTGTTATTGATTGAATGATGATTCATTCACATGCATTCATTAACAATGGGCGTGCCTTTGAAATCAATCAAGTGCGGAACAGGTGAAAGTGACAAATTTTAACAATAATCGATTTGACGTTCATATGTTCGGGAAGATATGAACGTCAAATCGTCAAATATTATGTATTAATGTTTTGCAAGCTCTGTCATCCCTTTAGGCAGGGGAGGCCCCAGAAAGTTTGGAATAACATTACAAAGTAGGCATACGATGCATTTCATAATAATAACAAGATAAAGGCCTACCTCCAAGCGGTTTAAAAGCAAAATAGTGTGATCAGTTGAAAAAAAAAGGACTTCGATCAATTCACTATTACCGGTTCCGGCAAATTGAGTTCGTATGCCTGCCTTTGGTTGACCACTTGGACCTCGGTCTCGCCAAGGTAATGATAATTTTTTTCAAAATCAAATTGTAAATGTAGAAAAGTTTGAGTTTGAAAAAGGTTAGATGGGCCCTGGCAGTGTCCAACTATTTTCTCGTTGCGAAAATTTGTTAAGTCTGACTTGGCTTTTACCGGGACACAGAACTTGTGGATGATTGAAACCCCTCTTTTTTCTTCAATATCTTCTACATAATATACGCATGTAATGTGCAAGCTTTAGTGCAGCTCGTTATCAGAGGGAAAAGGTCTTTGATATTTTATAACAGTTTCAAAAAATATTAAAATCTACAAATGCAAAAAAATATACTCAGTTATTCCAGGAGATAAATGCACCGGCTGAATAACATGAAAATAACACAAGTGGAGAAGACATGGAGAACGAGCAAGGGGAAAACATTTTAAACAAGTATAGACTTGGATGCCAAGCCTTATGTAAAAGTCTGTCTCCAGTAATTATATAAGAAACTAAGTAAACACAAACATTATTTTAATAAGACTCCTTGGCCTTTTCTCTTTTTTGGTGCTTGAACAACAAATCATTATACACCATTATATGCCTCACTCGAACCGGGTTGGCATCACTCTCCTACTCGATGGGTAAGAGGATGATTATAGAATGGCGCCCTCTCGATAAAAGCAAATGCGTAAACATGTGCAAGATACTGTGGGGGATTCAAATACACTCAAACTGCGTTTCATACAGCCAAATTATTGAACCACAGTGCACGAGGGGGGGGGGGGGGGGGGGGGGGGGGGGGGGGGGGGGTACTAGCCTAAAACGGTATACACGGTGTTACCGCCCCAATGGGTTACGTTTTTGCAACAACAAAAAATCCCTAAGCATGGGTAGGATTTTGTGCAGGAAAATCCCTGGAAGTGAACACTCTTTTTAGATCTTGGCCTTGCACATGATTAAACATGCATGATTCAAATTCAAGCAGATTATAGAAGTAAAATCCTGATGTGATAGTACAAGCATTTACAAAACATTTGAAAGACTAACAAAATCATGGAAAACGACAACGTTTTAGAGCGGAGGGAGAGAGTGGGTGCAGGCGCGGATCCAGACTTTTTAAGGGGGGGGGGGGGGGTAGGCCTAAATTTGAAATCAATCTGAAATTTTGTGTGCCGAAATTTGTAAATCGTGCCGAGGGGGGGGGGGGGATAGTGAAAACTATTTTTTTTTTCTATTTTGACCCCTAAAATTTGAAAATAGCGCCGGCCGATATTGAGAGCGTTTTTTATCTGACCCCCCCCCCCCCCCCCCCCCCTCTTGAACAAAAAATAAAAGGTAATTTTGTAGTCACAATTTTTTTTTTTTAAACTTTTTTTCTTTGCCCGTCTCTTTTATTGCTCTCCCCCCCCCCCCCTAGATCCGCACCTGGGTGGGTGAAAGGATTCTTTCTTTCTCTTTTCATGGTGCCTTTTCACTTTCCTTTTCTTTTACTCTCCTTCTATTTCGTTCATCCTTTTTTTCTTCTCTTTCTTTCATTTCCTTCTGTTATCTTTTCTTTGTTTCTTTCTTTCTTTCTTTCTTTGTATAATTACTTATTTATTTTTATCATTTGAAAAGGGGCACGTGGCCCATGGGGCTACGCCACTAGTTCCGTGACATTGCAAAGACATCTCTATTTTCTGTTGAAAGCTCCTCGATTTCCTGAAGATGATTTTGTAAGTGCAGACTCACACTCCCTCGGGATCTTTCGGAAATCCTAATTGGCACATCGACTTTTTTTTCGTGTTTCCAGACAGATTGACGCATCTATGTCATGCTGTCATTTATTTTACGCAATAAATCCATCTCGTTTTGTTATTCTACACTGAGGTCAAGATGAACATACAATCTAATTTGTAATGGTGCTGAGCCCCAACTATTCAACGTGATTATTCATACCTTAGCTTTATACAATCACATAAAGCATGTGTATGGCTGACAGTAACACACAGTTATTATTCAGGGCGAGTACACCTTGCATGAATTGTATTTGATTTCTTGATAAGAGAAAGCAGTGTGAAAATTAAAGCAAAAAGAAAGAAAAATGAAAGCACTCACGGTGACTCTCAGTAATATTATGGGATGATTGTGTATTTGCAGTGTTTATAACCAGGATATTTCGTAACTATCTCGTTACAACTATCAATAACCTTATCAAGCACTTTGCTCATTGTTAGGCATAGTGACGTGAGTTTGATTTTGAGTTTGAGTTTATTCATCATGCACGGTTAAACTGCTGTTCTTTGGCAAGAAATTCATCTACACTTAACATTTGACCCAGGTGAGATTAACTGGTACCTGACAGGAATTAATTCCTCGAAATGATAGAGCGTCATAATGGCAGCCATGCTAAAGCTTGGGTAATAATAATGTTAAGCATCAAGAGTGTAAAATTTGACAGGCATGAGCGCTATACAAGAATCCACTATTATCACTATTGATTATTAAACACTGTCATCACCTGATATCTGATTTTCAGTTAGGCCGTAATATACGAAATAATAGAAACACGACGATGAAATACTTTATATATAAATAGAAAAAAAAACAATGAAAAACCAACTGTTTAAGTATAGACATTATAAATATATTTTAAGAGGCAATTTTTGTTCTACAACAACAGAAGTACAGTTAAGACAAACAGAAAAGGGGAAAATTAAAGGTATGTTTCTATTACCAACTTTAAACAAAGCATAAGAACCAAAGACTTTACATAATTTATAGAAGTTATAAGTTAAAAATCTAAAAGAGAATTTGAACGAAATAGGGGCAATAACAGAGGTACAAACAGAAAAGAACAAGGGAAAATAATTTTTAAAAGGTGGGATGCCATGTGAGACTTTTAATAAACTGATCGAGACTGGGTGCCTTTCCAATGACGTGACTTTAGTGTTACAACATGAAATGCCCATTTAACCCTCGTATTCTCATCGTGTAATCATAAAGACACTATGCAATACTTGACTTATGCTCTGAGCTTTTTTTTTTTTTTTTGGTATCACACATAGTCGCACATAGGTGTTCGAGGAGTGGGCGGTGGAGGCTTGGGCTTCAAGAATGTTTAAATAACCAATATTCGAGCAACCTGGACTTCATATTGAGACTGCGTATCTCTTATTTTAATACTTGAAGCTTCTTGTAATTTATCTTACACATTTTGACAACTAAATCACATTTTCACTATACAGTTTCAAACTTGTTACTCTCTCGCTCTGCTTGCTCGAAAAAGTTTAGCAACTGAACATTGAGATTTGGGCAAGCGACGTCATACCTTAGCAAAAACGTGCCCTTACGTCTACGAGGAGATTGTATTTACACATTTCACTCTCTGTGACTTAAAAGCTTTGACGTAAGATGTCTGGACCACATTTGTAAAAACCCATTCGTTCTGACCGTTTTCAGACCTTTCGAGTCTCGAGACACTCCTATTAAGGTCTTGAAATCTGAAACAACACATGCATTAAGGCATTTGAAATCTAGCATCGACTTGCATCTTTCGGATGTATACAATTTATTTCCCGTCGGCGATCTTGACGAATCACTCATTATACCCCTGGATGGCGTATCCAGCAAAATGCGAGAAATAAAGTTCAAGATTATTGTAAAAAAAAAATCCCTTTTTGCATCAGAAAAATAATATATTACAGTACTGTATTTTCATAACTCTTTGTTGCATTGATTGTGTTTGTGAAATGTACGTAGCATGCGGATGACTATTGATCAAATTAAGTATACTGGATATAATTTGCTTTAAGTATAACATCGACAAAATCGAGAGAAAATTAACATGTTCGGCTTCTAAGCTTGATTAATGGGGTGTCGGTGAAAGCAATGCCCCCATCCAAAAAGGTAATATTCGAGGAATGATTGGCATAGATAATGTTCCTCACAGTGGAAATACTGGCTTCGCTACTGGCTAATATAGCATGGTAGTATAAGAGCATATGGTGTGACACCCCCTGTTTGAAGGCTTTGGAGATCAATACAACTATACAGCTCACTGGGAAGTCAAGTATGATACGCTCGACCCCCCCCCCCCTACCGCATGGAGAGCAATCTCATATACGTGTCACCCATTTCTCAAATTCAAATTAGAATGTATAAATTAGAATCCCATCATAGAAGATCATTCTCAATTTCATTGTTAACAAAGGACAACAACAAAAATCAAACTTATTGTGTCAAAAATACAGTTAACAAATTTAATTTAGTGGCAATATCAACATTACAAGTGACGAGAACCCAATTTTGTTGATGCACCACGGTTTTAATGATCGTCCCCCTCTTACTTTCCTCAACTATCCCGGGCTATTCCTAGTATTTCACTATGAACATCTCGGACAATTAAAGCGGACAAAATATACAGTTCCTCAGGTATACAAAGGAACATCCCTTTACTGCTATTATGTAAAATGTGTAGAACAGGTGAATATGCATGTGACACCTGTTCTACACATGTTTACATAATAGCAGTGAAGGGATGTTCCTTTGTCTACCTGAGGAACTGTATATTTTGTCCGCTTTCATTGTCCGTCATGTTCATAGTGTTTCCTACTATCTCGTAACACGTGATGGTCTCCAGTGTTGGATTTAGCGGTGAACAGGTGCATTGTCCCTCACTCTTCAGACCAAACAAAGTGAAGTCTGCAGTACTTGAATTAAAATTCTGAATATTTACCTGCACTCACATTTGCATCTTTCGATCAAATCTGAGGGCAGCTGGATTTGTCAGGGATTTTGACATGGGCCCCTTCTTTCCCTCTCCTTGTCAAATAATCTTGGATCTGTCACTGGACTTACACTAAGGTATGACCTTTTCCAACCATCATTTAAGTCCAATTGGGACGGTCTTGAATTTCATGCCCGACGTTGGGGAAGTTGTCAAAGTTTGGGAAATCAAGCACGATTGAGGAATCCATCAATTTACAAGGGATTTAGTCTAATTTCCTAAGAGATGGGAGACAGAAATCGACTTTGAGGGTTTTAATGCATTAGGAATGTTTTGGGTGAAACTTATATGAAAGCTTAAAATTACTTTTTGTGTTAGGCGCTATATAAGCACTGTAATTATTATTATTATTATTGTCTTTGTTTACATGTAAATACATATTATTTTGATTTCATTGATTTCATTGATTTCATTGATTTTTTTTTAATTTGATTTACCTCTCTTTAGAGTCTTTTTCTTGTTCAATTTCCAAGTTGATTATAACACAATAAACAAAGAATGTGATGAAGACTAATCAAACTAAAATCATTGCAGTATAGTATTATCATACAAGAATTATAAACAAGGATTGTCACATAAAGCAGAGCATTATTATGTAACAATACTTTACAAGATATAACAATTTCTTTTCAAAAGAGAGATATTCGGAAATAAATACTTTTCGTTATACTCACAGAAATAAAAATCAGTAAAGAGTTAGGGTGAATCGGGATATGTGAGAAAGATGGAGGAGGTGGGAAAGAGATAAAGGTCGCGACTGTGCAACAGAAAGAGTTTAGAGAATTATGCAACGAGAAGGAGTGAAGGTAGAAAGTGCCGGTAGTATAGATTGACCGAGAGAGAGAGAGAGAGAGAGAGAGAGAGAGAGAGAGATAGTGAGATGGTGAGAAGGAGAGGGAGGGGAGAAAGAGTGGGAGAGGAGATGTAGGGAGTGAGGTAGGGTGGGGAGGGGGGAGGAGAGAGGAACGAGGAAAGAGGAGAGAGAGGAGAGAAGATACATGTAGTGTATTATGTACGTCCAGAGTCACCATATTGTTTTACTTGGCTTGAAAAGAGTAAAAAATAAGGTTGTGACTTGACTGCATCTATTTTTAAATTCATTAAAACAAATTTGAAACGTTGGAACAGAGAAGATATTATTGAAAGAACAGAAAGCATAAAATAAAAAGTTTAAACAACAAAATGGTGGAGCAACAGGGAGATGGAGGAGAACAAGGATGAAGAAAAAGTCAAGGAGAGAGACAACTAGAAAATAAGGTAAGGGGGAGGGCGTGACCGAAAGAATACAGACAAATGGACAAATAGAGAGAGGAGAGGTAGATTAAAGAGGGGAAGGAAGGAGTGAGAAAGAGTGGAAGAAAGAGAGAGAGAAAGTGAGTGAAGGTGGAAGTTTAGTCGTTGATCGGTGACGAAGAGGTCTGGCATGCGTGTATTGACATAGCACACCAAAACGGACAGATTGGTGAAAGGTTGTCAGAAGGGCGTGGCCTCACGAGACACTGATTCATGCGATTGGCTGGAAGTGTGACGAATGATACGCCTCGCTGCTGATTGACAGTTCCGTTAAACGAGACACGATTGGTTGAATACCGTAAGATGCGAAGGAAGACCGATCCATTTATTTCAGAGGGGTAGCCTCGAATTGCTTTACCGCGATGAAGAAGTCCGTCCCCTTTACGCAGCACAGCAGGTTCCCAAAGAAACCTGCGTTATTACCTCGCAGTACGTGACGAATTACCCATTTCACTTTGGTTCTTAACCGCCGTCTGGATATACAAAGCAATGTGATTATCAATGGACTATGAATGGCTACCACAGCAGAGCTGGTTCACACCTTTGAACATTAACCTATTAACATAATTGTGAGAAGAAATGTTCTTCTTTGAAAGTAGTACTGCTTTGGAAGTGCATAAAATACATCGCGATAGAAGAAGATGAAACATTTTGGAGTGGCTCATATTTAGGCACATACATCGATTGTCTTATGCAAGCCTCAGGGACGGAGGCTAGCTGGTACTGACTGGAAGTTATCACGGTCATGTTTAGGGAGCGGACCCGCTATTGTCAAAGTAGAGATGAAATGACCAATGGGTACATGTACTGAAAAGAATAAAATATTTTCATTCAGATACTGGTTTTCTCGCTTACTTTGCCTCTGAAACCAGGTGATTAGCCCGTACCTTGTGGATAAACTTTCGCTGAATACTTCCCTCTTCTCTACCACCGATTCCAGGAAGCTTTCAACATCCGCAGATGTTCTTTCATCTCCACTTCAGGTCTGGAGTATCATCTATAGTTAGTGACCAAGAAGATTGCTTTAAAAGGGGCTAAAGTAAAGAACCAACATTACCTGAGCGTCGCTTTTGAATCCCAATATTGACTTTGATTATTTGAGTTTCGTCTGACTACTGGACGTTGACAAACAGACCAACAAGAGGGACTTTACTCATCGTTCTTCCCTACGTCAATATTATCGCGTGAATGAGGTAGTAAAGCCAAATTGGAGCACTTTCTCTTTCAAAAAAGGGGAAATATTTGGTTACCGATAATTATATCCTTTACGTTAAACATGAATCCTCTAGCGTGCATCCAAAATATATTTCCTCTGATTATTTTATCGATATTCGGGTCGTTTGCTCTGTCTCAGCAGGCAGAGTCATCGAGACAGATGAGGCATGCGAGGGGTACTGCGGGGGATACAGAGTTGGAGAAGCTACAACTGACGGAAGAAGAACTCTTGCAGGACCTGGAAGACCTGCACCGCCTCGTTCGACGGGGAGCGGAGGACCTGACAAGCCTTAATTGCCCTCCTTGTGAGCGGCTTCACTGCAGCCCCAAGAAGGCCTCCAAACTCAACTGTAAGGGCGAGATCACGTTGGGAGTATGTAACTGTTGCCCAAGGTGCGCCAAAGTAGAAGGAGAGAGCTGTGGAGGAAAGTGGGATTATCTTGGACGTTGTGAGTCGGGATCAGAATGTGCGCCCGATACCAGTACGGGAATACAGATTAACAGCCAACCTCAACAAGGAGTCTGCAGGAGAAGATTGAGTGAGTATGTAGCCCTTACTAAATACCATGCTGGGACTATAAGAATGATAACACTCCGTACTTTAAAAAAGCGTGACACCATAATGTCCCTATGCACCGCCAATGAGCTTTAGCTCTGGCAACCGTTAGCGTCATGACAGCGTATTTTGAAAAACGAATCCTACCAGGATCCCACTTAATACACCTGGGTAGAGAGAGGTAAATGTAGATTGATGTCTTGCTAAATGGCATCAGTGCCATTCCAGAGGTCGAAGACAGTTAGGACTTCGCATCCTGTCTTTATATTTGTTTTGAAACCAGTCAGCCCGACATCTATAAATAGGTAGGGGTATATACATCATTTAACTACCAGAGAGATCAACTTAATGGTATAATAATTAATATTATACGACACCATCTCCAAGTAAAACGGTAAATCCTGCGTCATCTTGTTTAGTAACAACGACATTTTCAAGAAAAAACGAACTGTTTGAATTATCTTCTATTCGTCCATAGGGAGTTGTGGTGCAGCTAGCTAGCTACATAGTTCTTATATGTTGTCGAATATGAATGGTATTATTTCATGATTAATGTCAAACTTTCCATATTAAATAACTTAAAAGAAGTATTACTCCGTACAAAAATACTAATAAACAGGAAGAAAGTGCTGTGCTGGATAAATATCGGCAGAATTCTCTACCAATATTAGTGGGAGACGTGGGGGTATGGAGGCTGGAGGGGGCAAACCAGGGTTGTGATTATAAAAATATAAAAAAAATAACACAAACGATCCCAAAATACGTTTGTTATTGTTATAAACATATTCTATTGTTTTTTATTTAAAACTTTTTTTTTTATTTACGGAAACGTGTTTTTCACTGCGGTAATTCTCTCAAAGTCGTCAACAGTAACATTAGTAGTGACGACTGTGGCGTAACGATGTATTGATTGATTGATTGATTTGTATTCTTTTTTCACATGGTTACATCTATATACAGTACATAAAGCATAGGTCAATTGAACATATTTTAAATTACACATTGCTCATTAATCAGCGAGTGGGTCATATTAATTAATTAAGCTTAACCTGTATAAACACAACACTAAATTTTTTAACAATAAATCATATTTTAAAAATTTTAACTATATGAGCACTTATGGTCTCATTAACAACAGTATATTTAATTTAAATATTATGGCATCTGTGACAAATAATGAAATTGCTGTATGTTTTTTGCATTTTTAACCAAACAAAATGCAATTTCTTTTATGCATTTCCCCCCATACAAATTTGCATGGGAGCTCTGAAATCATAAGCATATGGGGGGGGGGGGGCTAAGACCTGATGGCTGAATGTCAATCATAAATGTCACGAGCGAGCAAACAAAAACAATCTTCATTATGGCTAAAATATTACTTCGATATCACAATAAATTCAATCTGGCTACCTCGCTCCATAGATATTTAAAAGTCCCTGACTGTAATTGAAGAGAAGTCTTTCACATTTTGAACACTGATTATGAGGATTAAGTACATGTAGTTTTCTATTGACTTCTTTCTCAAACCATAATTCGTTCAATAATTAAGGATTATGGATTTGTATCTTCCTTTCCTCCCTTTTCTCTTTCTTTTTTATATCTAAATTTTCTGCGGCCCTTCAAGTTCCACTCGGGTCATGTACCCCCTCTGCCCCCCCCCCCCCCCCATATAGATACGCCACTGAATAAGACACTCGTAACGGGCCTTTCTTGGGCCGACGATATGATGTACTGTCGATCGCTAGAACCCTCATATAACGTATTAGAACTAGAAGACCCACAGGGTGGATAAAGATTTAACTCCACTTTTATTTTAATAAGTAATTATGGAATCATGTACATGCCAAAATAAATGCAAAACCAAGTAATTTAAACAAGAAAATGATGTTAAATTGAATAAATAAAATACATATAAAATGTATAACTCCTATGTCTATGGAGGCTGTTTAAAATCATTTTTTTTTGTTAACGTAAAGAACGAAGGGCGATTAAAAAAATGTTTGTTTTAACCCTTAGGGCAAACTCATCCATCGTAATGACACGGTCTATATGAAGATACACGATTAATTTGAAAATCATCACGAACACTATACCCCTACCACGCCCCCCCCCTGAAATGTGAAATGGTAAACAGGCAAAGAAAACAAGTGTTGATACGATTATGTAATCAATTCGCATCGATAACTATTATCATGCCATACATAATCCTTGACGAGGAGTACGATGGATGTGAGGAGGTAAAACAAAGACAGAATCGATTCACAGGGACCGTAACAAATAACATGGTATGGATTAATAGATTGCTCCCACTTAATGATACCACCCTTGTAGCTTAAGCTGGTGCAGTCACTGTCATTTGAATTTTGAATGAAATGATTACTTAAGTTATGTAATTTTGATATTCTAAAATGTCAAAAGGAGGTTTGTGTGTATAGGGTGGAATTAATCAGATAATTTGGCAAATTTCATGTTTTGGAATTTCTCATTTTTCTGTCTGTGTACTACTCTTTGAGATTAAGACATTGGTAGTCGTTACATAAACATGCAAAAAATAGAAGGGCGGCGATTATTCGTTGGATCGCTAATGCTTTTCTCTATTCCTTCTCAAAACCAAGGATAGAATTTACAGGCACGAATAAATCACTCTTGGGGAGTGTTCCACAAAGACTAAGATCGACTTTAAGTTTGACTTAAATATGGCAGGCCGTTCGTGCAACTGTTTGCTCTCACAATTAAGATCTTTAGATAATGTTTTTTCCTTCAATAATGAATTATCAAAAAATATATATTCTATAGATTTGTGACTATGATTTGTACATCCCTTGAGAGACCAATGCCAGTAAACGATGAGAGATAACAGTGTCATGAGTGGCCTGCCATAGTTAAGTCCAACTTAAAGTCGATCTTAGTCTTTGTGAATCACCCCCCCCCCCTGATGTCAGTCCGTCTCCCAGGTTTAGCGTCTGTGCTTCTAATATTTCAGCTAATTAACTTATGAATGAAAGTTTGTTTAGTGTTTTATTTTGTGTGCGTGATAAAGACATCGTGTTGAAAGAAGTCTTATTATTCACTCAATCAACTTACATATTATGGGGCAGATGTATACGTGTAATTGCCCCAATACATGCTATTCCATATTTCCACTCCGAACCCAGGGTTTATGTAGGTTAGGAAATAGACATTATCTATCCTGCTATTGGACATTGCTTGGACATTTGCACACTGCAAAGTTAAGTGTGTATATTATATCAACCATAAAACAGATGATCAGGAAGTTTTAAATCGATTTCTAAATTTCTTTTTGGGGCATTAGAAATGAAAGCTAAAATACACAACAATAATTGTAATGAGAAATGAAATTTTGAATTATCAGGTGAATGAAAGAATAGTGGCTCCTGAATCAGACTAACAAATTCATATCAGTGAGAAAGTTCGTCATACTTACGTGTAAATGTATGTTTACCCGAGATAATGTGTACATTTCTCACCAAACATTCGCAATCTTGTCACTTGACATATACACTTCATTCATAGACCAAACTGAAAGCATGACTTGTCGATGAAAAAAAAGTCATAACACGTTTTTTTCCACTTCTGCTCTGCTGTATTTTCCGACGTAAGATGATCAATGTATTGATTACAGGCCCCGGGTTCATTAAACAATGTGAATTTGGACATGTTAGATGGTATGTAGTGGACTATACTGGTAGAAGTTAGATGGGAAGGGAGTAGTGTAATCTAGTATTGTTTATGATGGTTTGATTGCAATGTGTCGTACTGAAAAGTAACTTAATTATGAGCTTTCATGATTTCCTGTCAAGGTATATAATGTGTATTTTCTCATCTCTCTTGTATATGCCATACAGTAAATGAACTCTTACGTGACTACGAATAACATTAATCAGTCAATCAATCAATCAAACTGTTGATCTATTTCACACAATAAAAATAATGGAAATATACTTCACTTTACTATTCAGTCTATCACAATCTATGTACACAAATGAAATATAACATAGACCAAACATTACAAAATTGAGAGATAAAGTCAAACGATTATTGAGAAAAGGTCAAGCCCCATAAATTTAAAATAAGCCAAAGTGCATCCCAAAACATTTATGGAAAATAAATACAACTTTTAAAATCTCTTTGAAGATGCTTTATTATTCACACTTTTCCCTTTTAGCAGTTTCGTATTGACGGACGCAACTGAAGGTGTTTAAAAAGGGGACGTGTTACCTTTGATTTGCCATTGAAGAAATGTCACATCTAATCTCACCTTCAATATATGTTTTTCTCGTACTACTTCGGCCCAGTAAACTCAGCCAGTAGGTCACGACCCGAAAATAGCTTTAATAATGCAAGTTTTTATCAGAATTAGTCGATTCGCACGCACAGTAGGCTCTACAAATTTGATTTGAGTGCTTGCTCTCGACCTCTGCCCGAAATATACGTCATTGACACGATCTACTTTTCCTTTATGACATCATAATGATCGGTATGACATCACATCTTATCGATATAATGGTTCGCAAACAATGAAAGGGAATAGTTTATACCGGTGTGTTAAGATCTTGAAATTCATTTCGTCATTTTACTGCATGTCACACGCGGAACAAAAGGTCAAGCGCGAATTGATTTGATCAGGGAAGATGCAAACTTGATTTCGAAGAGAATTATGACATTTGTACGTGTGCGGGCTGGTAAATGCCCCAGCTCTTTCTCTCTCTCTCTCTCTCTCTCTCTCTCTCTCTCTCATCCTGAATCGGCGACGTGCCCCTTTCACAAGAACTTATTTGCGCTTCCTCCCTGCTACCTTTCTCTCCAAATTTGATTTAAATACACCGCCCCCTCCTCCTCCTCCTCCTCCTCCTCCTCCTCCTCTTTCTTCTCCTCCTCTATACCCATCTTTTTTTTCCTGGTATCTCTTTAATACTTTTTAATTTAATTTCTTGATTCATTTATTTTCACACTGCATTCATA